TATGGGAATAATGAATGTGAAACAAGCAGCAAAGCTCTTTTTCCATGAAGTAGTGCGAGTTCGTGGTCTCCCTAAAGAGATGATCTTAGATAGAGATTCGAGGTTTATGAGGAAGTTTTGGGGCAGACTGTTCCAGTTGTTTGGTACTAAGTTAAAGTTTAGTACGGCTTATCATCCTCAGACTGATGGGTAGACCGAACGCATGAATGCTCAAGTTGAGGATTATCTGCGGTACTATGTCGCGGCGGACCAACGTGACTGAGTTGAGCATTTGGATACAGCAGAAATATGTTATAACAACACATTTCACAGCGCTATAGGCTGTTCTCCATGGGAGATGTTGCAAGGAAATGCTCGTGGGTTCCTCAACAGATCGTTGTACCAAAACCTATGTCTGAAGTGTTGGTCCCGGCCGTTGAGACTTATGCGGAGCAGCTACGCTAAAGTTGGTCTAAACCTACTGAGGTGATGGGCAAAGCTCAGGATAGGTATCGACGTGATAAGGATCAACATTGTCGGGATGTATCTTATCAAGTGGGAGATCAAGTGTGGCTATCTTCCTGGAATTTGAACATTAAGGGTTCTTTGTCTCGAAAGCTCTTGCCAAGATATGTTGGACCCTATTGGGTGCTAAAACGCATTGGTGATATATCCTATCGGTTGGATCTACCTGCGGAGATGTCCAATGTTTATAATGTATTTCATGCCAATCTATTGGCTCCTTACACTATGAATATTGCACATCAAGGGGAGATTCGTCCACCACCAGATGTTGTGGATGGTGAACCTGAATATGAAGTTGAAAGCATTCTGTCCTGTCGCCGGAAACATGGAGCTCGTGCGAAAGAATATCTAATTAAGTGGAAAGGTTACCCAACTTGTGAATCAACCTAGGAACCTCTTAGTAATCTTACCCATGCTCGTGAGCTTGTCATGGAGTATGAGAATCGTAATAAGGATTAGCTTTTGTAAAATATTGTAATAAATCTTGCAAATTAATAAAGTAATATATTTCTATAAATCAAAGTGTCATTTCTCTCATTCGATAGTACTTGGGTCAGTTTAGGCAGGCTAACTTCGGCACTTCAGTGCATGGGTCCAATCCATAACTATGGGGATAACTATTATAGGCTGATCACAAGTCCCCACCTCTCTCTCGATGACTCCTTTTTGAAACGGGGCATGGTCGTGTAAACAACTTAATCTGCCAGTTTATAATAATTGTCTAAATCTTCCCGACGGGGTTGATTTCTTGCTCAGGGGCAGTTGGGCCTCTGGCCTTCTCCCTATATCCCTGCGGGTAGGGATGTATCATTCCTTTGTAAGCCGAGTGGTACTCGGAGCAGCAAGGGTGGCTAACTCTATTAGTCATTTCCTTGTCGGTGACGGCCAGAGGGTGTCTGAGTCTTAACATCTTTGGATGTAGAGGAGAGGTTGTTCCTTAACTCATTTAAGTCGGTGTATTTCCCATATAGTGTGCTTTCCATTAACTTTCGAAGTTGTTTCCTTGACGGTTTGCTAGACTCGAGTATGCATCGACAAGGACGTCGATCTTCCCCAAGGGGGGGAGAGTGTCTCGAATGTGACTTCGGGTATCGAAAGATACTTGTCGACCAGTCCTTATGGGCATTCTTTCCTTACTACCATGATGGCAGGAGGTCGATACTGCTAGTCCCTTTCATGGTCTCTACTCAAGCTAGTTGAGAAACTGGTCATTGCGTGTGCACTTGACCAAATGAGCATAAGGACGGAATTCCTACGTGCTATTTTTCAAGCATGCTTGACCTGGTTAGAGAAACTCATTCGTTGACTTGCACTTGCTAGTGTTGGGAACCCCTGCGATATTGAGACTAGTCCCTCAATATTCGCTAGATGATAACTTACCATGTCTACCAAATACCCTCGCTATCACGCCTTTTGTGTTGGTCTCATTTCGGTCCCAAATGCTATTTATGGAAAGTGTCTAGATTAGCTCATTTGGCATATCTACGGAATGTAGAGATTGGCCTGAACACAGTGGTGTTCATCCCGTGTCCAAATTCGCAATCTAAGGACATTCCATATTTAGTAAGTTTCAGACTTGTCCCAGAGACTAACTCCTGGTACTAAGGGAGGCTTGGGGTGAAAGCCCAAAGCATGTGTCCCTCAAGGGAAGGGGGGGGGGGGGGGGGGGGTTCCAAATGTATAGTAGGGATAGTGGTTGGAATGTATGTCCGACCACCTAAGACATTAGTTTGGCTCCCCTTGGGCTGTGTTGCTCCTTGTTTTGCGTCCGGCTTGGGTCTAAGCCCAAGCTCCATGCTGCTCTAGTCGATGGGGTACCCTCCTCCTCGCGTTAGGCCACCGGTATACCAAAATTGTGCCGAACTCCATTTTGCGTGCAGGTGCTGAATATAGGGAGCTGGTGCTAGTGGGGTTGTACTGGACCCTCGTTTTGTAGTGCAACGGGCTTGGAGTTCGGCTCCAAATTCAGGTGCGCTACAAAAATACTCAACAAAAATACATAGATGTTCCTACTTTATGTTTATTTAGCTAAATATAAATGTTAAACCCAATTTACTAACACTTGAAAAATAGGGCTAACAAAGGTAACCAACACTACCGACTTCCTACTATCATGGCAGTAAGGAGAGAGTGTTTGTAAGGATGGTTGATAAGTATTTTTCCATATTTGAAGTCATATTTGAGACAATCTCTCTTGATAAGATGATTGATCTTAGTTTTTTTTTTTATATACCTTTGGCTTTTTATCTTACTACATATTTTTTATGGTTTATTTAGGATTGGGTTTAAAGTATTAGTAGGATATTATTGATACTTACTTTAGCAACTTTAATTCTACTAAGGTTAGTTATGATATATTAGAATGCCATTTCCTTCAAGTAATATATTTGTGAGCATTTTGCTTATCCAGTCAATGATACTTTGTGTTCTTTGAGTTGTATTATGTAAGTTGTTTAACATGCTATCAATAATATTTGATAGTTAAGCTTTATTATTGGTCTAATAATACACTTGCTATTATATTTTATTAGATGGTTTTTAAATAATAATAATCTTAGTCCTTTACTAGTTTTTAAAATAATAACTTAATTAGAATACTCTTGTGTTCTAATTTAAGATTTATTCACTAATAATTCCATATCTCTAAGATATTTTGTTTATAACTTTAATATGGTCAATCATGTTGATTTTAATGTTTGGGCTAGTATAGGCAACCTGGCTTTAGCATTTTGTATGTATGGTAAAATCCTTAGTCATAGAGTAGCTACTGGAAATTGGTCATATCAATTGCCTCTTTCTTAATGTTCCTAATTCTATTTAAAATGACATAATTATATAAACAATTCTAATTGTTTTTTTATAGTAGTCTATCTAAACTTTACTAATAGGTTTGGATTGTTTGCTTAGGAGGGTTAAAACCTTTAGTTTATATCTTTATGTCATCTACAAACAGGGGTATATCATATTTTGTAAATTATGTGACACCTAGAGTAACAAAGGTGGCTAACTTTGTTAGTTAATTCTTTGTTGATGACTGTCAGAAGGTGTTTAAGTGGTAGCACATTTAGGTTAGATAAATGAGTTGCTCCATAACTCATTTCATTTGATACATTTCTCACAAAATATGAACACCATAAACTTTTTATAAAGTTATTTTTTTTGGCAGTGGTTTAGACTAGAGTATGCATCAAAAAGGAGGGGAGTGTGTCATAAATGTAACTACAAGTATCAAAAGTTACATTTTAGTTAGTTTTTTAAGATATTTTCTTTTTACTACTACAATAGTAGGAGATTAGTATTGCAAGACCCTTTATTAGTCTCTGCAAGACCATTTTAAATTATATTAGTTATCCAAGTTGAGTAACTAATTAGCATATATGCACTTAGATTGAAAGGGCACTACTAAGTTGTCATTTAGTTAAGTATATTTGACACAAATAATGATAAATTCATGTTGTTAAATTGCACTAGCTAATGTTGGGAACCCCCCACCCCCCTAATATTGAGTCTACTCCCTGTATGGTAATTTATTATGTCCTCCAAGATATCACTCTCTATGTTCTATATAGTCTCATTAGCTATTTATAGAAAGTGTCTAAATTTACAAATAAGGCCTATATACTCTAATACATACTTTTATATAGGGGGTAGGGGTATAGTAAGTGGGTAGGTTGGGTATAACCAACTAATATAAAGCATTGTTTAGCTCCCTACTAAATATGTCTATCTTTATTCTGTTGGCTTAGATCTAAACTTAAGTTCCTAGTGGAGTACTTATGTCTTTGCATTAGGCCATTAATATGTTAAAATTTATTTAACTTTATTTTGCATCATACGCTTATCATTGAAATGTTAAATAGTCTAAAACTATTTTAATGTCACTCCATACTCTTGTCCCTTCACTCTTTGGCTATATACTTAAGAGTTTAATTTTGAGAAGTTTGGCTTCAAAACCCTGAAACTTAAGTTCTATTTCCATATGTCCAAAGGTTAAAGTTTCGCTTTGTAATTATTCTATAGTAAACCATTATAAGGTAAAAAATAAAACTCACATGTGTTATAAGTTTTATTATTGTCACATAAGAAGCACAAAGTGAATGAGATAGTGTTAGTTTATAAAACAAATAAGGAAAGAGTCATCTCTCCCGGATCTACGAGTGGAGCCTCTTCTCTTAACAATGAGCTATTAAAGAAGTTCATTACAATTCCTCAAGGATATAGTTAAGGAGGCTGATTATGATCAGGGTATGTTTATGGTATCATCACGGTCAAAAAAACTCCAAATAACTGCTTCTTTAGAGTTGACAATACATGGAATAGAAAGGCATAAGGCAAGAAAAAGAAACTATCTGGTTGATAATAAACAAGAGAAACATCAAACCTTTGTCTATGTTTTCTAGTTTTAGTAGAAAGATCAAACAAATCATAATATTGTAGCTTTTAAGGATTTAGCACAAATAACAATCAGCTTATGTAAACGTGATAATTTCCTATTATATCAGTAATAAATTTTATCTCATGTGGTCGTAGGACAAGCTTTCTGATTGGGAAACAAGATTTCACCAGAGTCATTCTCCACCACACGCTTCTTCTCCTATTAAACTAGGCTGTGGCCTCGTTGCTGGATATGGCGTCCCCGCTTCAATGCGGCAAGACCGTCACAAGGCTGGGCAGCACCTTCGCCTCAGGCGACAGCCCAGTCTTTGGAGGTTCCCAAAGACTCAATGCCCTCAGACAAAGTTCCTCCTCGTCCGCTTCCAGGGGATCCCAGCTCCACGTCTTTGCCATGGCTCCCAAGAACAAGGTACTCCATTCCAATTCTTCGGCCTTGAAAATCTGATGGAACTTCGCCCCCATTGAAGGTGAACGCCTACGACGATGACTGGAGCAAGCAATGGTTTGGCGCGGGGATCTTCAACGAGGACGCGGAAAATGAGCCCGTTAACATCGTGAAGAAGCTGGAAAAGAAGAAGCTACTGAGCCAAGTGGAAAAGGCCGGCCTCTTGTCCAGAGCTGAGAGCGCCGGGATTAGCCTCTCCCAGATCGAGAAGCTGGGACTTCTCTCCAAAGCCGAGGATCTGGGCTTACTGAGCCTCGCGGAGAATTTTGCGTCTTCGTCCCCTGCTGCTCTGGCCTCCCTTTGCCTGCCTTTGCTCGTCGCTGCCATTGCCACGATCGTCTTCGTTCCCGATGATTCTACCGTGCTTGTAGTGACGCAGAATGTGGTAGCATCCTTCTTCGCAGTTGGAGCTGGAGGCCTGTTTGTAAGTTCGATCATACTGAGCGCTCTCCAAGAAGAATAAAAAGCTAATGATAATGAAAGAGAGTTCTCGTAAGCTTACCTCTGAGGTTGTAAAAGAGCTGGCTTCTTGTTACCTGGAAAAATCGCTAGTTAAAATTCATGTGAAATTCTAGTTGGAGTAGAAGGAATGTCTTACCTTTAGCTCATGTCACGACTGTTCTTAGCTTCTTCATGTTGGAAATGGCCCCAAATGGAGTCCTTCGAGAGTCACCTTCACGTAGATTGCAAGAATTAGCGTCGCGATGGTCCCCAGGACGGTGAGAATGACAGATATCACATTCTTCAGCCAGGACATGCTGGAGCTTCCCTTGCCCGCCGAGGAAGCGCTGGAAAGATTTTGACCTTCCACGGCCGTCTTATCGCTCCCAGCCGTCGACTCGCCGAAAGAAACCTCGCTCGTCAGGGAAGACACTTCGAGCTCCTTGAGCTGCTTCTCCACATCTCCGAGCCTGATCTCCGCGGCGCCTTCCTCCAGGATCGAGATCTGATCATCCTCGATCCCGGGAGCTTCCGGCTTCTTTGCACAGACCTCATCGCCGTTGGTCGCATTCCTCCCCTTTCTCGGTACGGATTTCACAGAGAAATCGTGCGCCGGATTCGCCTTTGCTGGCGTCTTCTTAGCCCTGGAGATCGATCTGCCGAAGGCCGCCATCGCCCGGAAGAATAAAAGCCCTAGCTCTTCCCGCTCTAATTAATTTTAACAGTGAATGGATTAGATTAGTATACATTAACAAACTACTGTTAAACTAAACAAATGCCCAGAGTTAGGGCAAAAATGCTCTAGCAGCAAATAGGGCATCGAATAAGTCCGTTCTCGTTGCATTCAAGGCACTGGATCTTCTCTCCACTCCCATCCTCCGCCAAGATCTTGCAGCTACCGTTACAATCCAGGCACAGCATGAATCGAGCGCCGCCACAGCCATCGCAAGCTTTGCTGTGATCCTCTCGCCGAATCCCCTGGAGCAATCTCGCCAGCAGCCCCTTCTCGTGAGCCCTCGACACCTCCTCCAATCCGCCGATCAATCGCCCCCTCACAAACAGCCTGGGAACCGCGCAGGATTGCGAGAGCTCCTTGAGCTCCTGCCGGAACGCCTGATGCATCGATAGATCCCTCTCGCCCACGCTCACGCCATAGCTCCTGACGATCTCGAGCACCGTGCTACATTCCTCGTGTGTTCTTCGCACCCCTCGCAGGCTCGTGTAGTAGACCACGGCCTTGGATTCGCCAGCCGGAGGACAGAGGAGCTGGAAATCGCGAAGCTCCGCCGGATTCTCGTCTAGAGACCTCGGATCGTCTTTCGGATCGCAATCGAGAGGCCTCGCTGCTGAAAGATCCCGCTGGCTATCATCCGATGGAGATTTCTTCGAGTTCCAGTCCTCCTCTGAGATTTGCTCGAAAGCCCTCTCGATGCTCTCCAGGAGATCCGGATCGAACAGGCTCCGGCTCGTGCTGGTGCTGCTGGACGAGGTGGCTGTCTCCACGATCGAATTGCTAGCCTTGGACGAGAGGCATCGCATTTTCTTGCTTGAGCGTTGGTGGTGGTGCTGGCACTGCTGCCGCGGCTGCTCCTCGAGCTCCTGGTCGGATCTGTGAAGCTCGCGGACGATGTCGTATGTAGAGGTGGAGGAATTGCTGCTGGAGCCCCTTGGGTGATGCGAGGTCTGGCTGAGAGCATAGAAATCCTGCTGCTCCTGTTCCTGGCGATTATCATCGCCTTCCAGCCCCTTCATGAGCTCCACGGCATTGATCACCTCTGGGCGATCCTTCTTCTCCAGCTTGCCATCGCGATCAAGGACGCCATACGTACTGGATGTGAGCGCCACAAAGTGGCTCCGCTGGCGCTGCTGCTGGCGATCGTCAACGAGATCCTCATCCGCTGCGCGGGACCTCTTCCTCGATCTCTTGGGAGTGGCGCTGACGCCGGGATTATCCTCGCGCTCCGCCTGCAAATGCATCACTCGCGATGACGCGCACCCCATGTCTATCCCGGATCGATAGAGTGGAAGCCCTAGCCACAAAGAAATAAAAAGATTGTTACACGGGGCTTCTTAAGTATCTTCAGGGCATCTGGAGCAGCCATGGCAACCATCAATGGCTGTTTTTTTCATCCAAATAGAACACATTCCGTTTAAAACAGTCACTAGCCGTTAGAGATCAAAAAACTATTCTACGAAATTCAATCTTAAAGAATATGCTACGAATATTTTGCCCCAAGAATATTTCACGTGTATTTGTATCAGTCTTTTTAGTCACTTCGCTTTGTTTCCTTTTCCACAATGGAGAGTTAACATTCACAGCACGAGAGCATTCCTTCCTAGTCGAGCATACCTTTACATGGACCGACGAAGAAGTTCTCGCTCACTCGGCACCAGCGCTTTGTTGGAGATTGTTCGCATCGTCCAGGTATGTCTCGGAGTACTCCGGGAAATCCTGGACACTAGCCTCGTAGTCCACCTTTGGGTACACTGCCTGCTGCTGCTCGCCACCGCTCTTCCTCGCTGGATCGTTCATCCGTGACCGCTTCGCTGGGGGTGGATTCCCAGTTTCTTTTATTTCTTCTGGGGCATCGGCCTTCTTGTCCGAGCCTTGAATGCCCCTCGTCTGGATCCTCAGCTGCTCGTTCAGCCTTTCGTGCTCCTCGATCAGTTTCTCGAGGTACTTGGTCTGCGTCTCCAGCCGTAACTGGAATTGTCGTTGGACCTGTAAGGCGACATGTTTCCTCTTTCTTTCAAAAGGAAACGAAAGCTTTTCTAACCTCCAGCTGGTCTTGCAGGCGTTTCTGGACTTCGACTTGTACCCGCACAGCTTCCGCAAGATCGAAGGCTCTGTAAGGCGATCAGGACAAGCTCAAAAACGGAGGAAAAAGAAAAATGAAAAACGTACGAGTCAATGTGGGGAACCATGTCGTCCATTTTCTTTTCATGGTCGCCTCCTGGAACAAAACGTCCACAATGTCAGAGAGCTAGAAAGTTTCTCGTTCATCATCACCTTCTATCATAGCGCCTGGAGTCGAGAGCCTAAACTTCTGTGATCGACGACGGCGTTTAGCGACAGTAAAAAAATGATTTTATTTTCCAAACACTTGCCTGCAAATGGCTCTTCACGTGATAGACCGTCAGTCCTTTCACCTCCATGTACCTCAAAACACCTTTGGGCGTTGCTCCTGTTCACACACACACCACAAACAAAAAGAAGAAAGCAGCAAAAGCTCAAGCTTGAATCGAAAGGAACAAGAAAAAAGGAAAGAGGGAGCGCTTTCTTACTGTCAGGACCACCAAGAGATTTCACAGCGTCCACGAAGCGATCGTGCAAGTCGGGCGTCCAGCGGAGGCGCTGCTTGACGGAGTTCCCAGCTCCAGAGATGCCGGGGCTGTTTGGACCACTGTCCTCGGAAACGATGTCGGGGGTCTCCTGCGTTGGCTGCAGCAAGCTCGCGGGCGAGAGCTTTTTGTCCTCGTACATTGTCTAACCAAGAAACGAAAGAACAAAAAAAAAAATTGAGAGAAAAAAAAAAATTTAGCCCCACGCACGGAGAAAACCCTCCCTCTCGTAACTAACAAAACTGAAAAGAAAGACGACGAGCGATCCGAGACGCCAAGAGGCTCGAATTCGCCAATTCGTGGCACGAATTAGGCCTAGAACACCACTGATTCTCGCGGCGGCGCGAGACACACAATTCAGGCGCTACGAATCTCACCATGGGTAGAGCGTTGAGCGCCCCGCTCCCGCTGTGCCAATCTTCCGCCAGCGATCGCCGCCGCGCAGCGCCTATGGCTGTTAGTGAATCTTGGGTCCGAGAATCTGTTCTATAAACCCTAACACAGGCACCACTCGAAGCTAATAGACGATCGCGGCCGTCGGATCTGTGGATCCGACGGCTGCCGTGCTTCTTGTTCTAAATGGGATCCCTGCATTGAGCGCTGCTTTCAAGAACCCTTGGCATATGCTGCTTTTTCAAAGTGTGGGCATATTCTTACGTTTGATTCATGCATATAGATTTACTGCGTAGGAACCAATTCATCAAATCCATGGCCGAAGCAGCAGCTATAAACCCGAGCTCGCGAAAGAAAGAAAAACTTGTAACTTGTTGGGGGAGTCTCTAGAATAATCCTAAAGTTCTAGCTAACAATCCGCGCTCGTCTTTGATCTTTTGTCATCAAAATCCTGGGCGAGGCGAGCGGGTCAACTCTCGGCTTTCGCAGCGTCTGGAAGCTCCTCCGGATCTGCAGACAGTAGAATCAGTTTTTCTTTTTCACGATCTTCCTGAAAGTACCAGCTGTTTTCTCCAGCGTCGTCGCTGTGTCGGTTTTTTTCGAGGCGTCCGGAAGAGTCTCTGGATCTAGCAAAACGATGAAATGAGGAAACCAGAGAGAAGACTACACTAGGAGCAAACAAACCTTCATCGTCGCTATCGGCTTCATTTCCACCCATGTCGAAGTTCTAAACACGGAAGCAAAAGAAACGTAAGATTCAAGACGAGCGAATGCGAGAAACAAGCATACCGAGAGATCACCAAGCCCGCCTAGTTCGAAATCTTCCGCTATCCGAGAAGAAGTTAGATCAAGACTGGAAAGGACAGAAGAGAAAATGGACAAAAGATCACTCACCACCACCACCACCTCCAACCTCGTTCTCCTCATCTTCATCAACCCATTTGTTCCAGTCCACTTTCAAGTAAGGAGGAGCTCTTCCCTCACCTTTGATTAGCCTCGGCCACCACATCTTCTCTGCTTTCTCAATGACAACGAAAATCTGGCGCGCGCCAGTGCTAATCTTACTCGCCTGCAAGCGAAGAACACCCTATTGTTAATAACACAAGGAAGAGGAAGAAAATGAGGGAAAGGAGAGCTCACCTCCACGTTAATTTCCTTGAACAGCTCCAGCTCGACTTCGTATTTCTCATCGCTAGCTCCAGCCGTCGCGGAGAACTTGAGCTTCCCTTGCGGCTCAATCTTCACAACCGGAGACTTGGCATCGGGCAGTTCAATGGTGAGAAACACGCGCTCTGAATGCTGCGCCCACACAATCTCTGGATGCCTGCTCACAAAACCATCAGATTTTCTCTCCACGCGCCACAGATTCGCAAAGAACAGACCTCATGGCGCTTCTCCGACGCACGAACAAACGACGACCTAACTGAGAACCCTAGATACCTAGTAAAGAAGAAATCGTGAGCCGTTGGATCGGCACGAAGCTAGATAATCCAACAGTGTCAGATGCGGTACCGGGTTTATTGGCGGTTAAAGCTTTCTTATTACATCATCTTCTTCGTGGCACCAAGAGTTATAGTCTTGGACGATTCCTTTGGATAGATCTCGCTCCAGGCTTGCCAGGATTGTCTCCATTGCCACATCGCCGGCGAGCTTCACTGCTTGATGCGGGAGGATCGACGGCAAGTCAATCGCCAGAGCCAGTGTTACAAATCCCTCAAAAGAATGTGGCTCTTCTCCTTCATCTGTCCTGGGAAGTAAAGCTCCATACCTTTGGCGCTGTTTTACTACGCGGAGCTGTCCTTGAAGCGAGAAGTTTATGTCGAGATCGGGGCCTCCATGGAACTTGACGCACAACTGTTGCGACTGGATCTTAAGAAGTTGCAAGGCTTCGTCAAAATCCACCCTGCGCGTTTCAATCAAGAGTTGAGAACCATGACTAGATCGCTGTGGAAAACAAAAACAGAGGAGAGCTTACTTGAAATCACAGACGGGTGTAGCTGACATAGAAAAAACTGAAACAGTTATCAGCCGAGCTCGCCAGAGTGATCCTTCAATGTGCTGCGCACGAGCGGGCTCCTGGAATGTGATCCTTATAACACGATCCACCTGTTTGAGGTACTCTTGCGGGGATTTTTCCCTCTTCTCGCACGGGAGAAACAATTTTTTGCTTCGTTGAAATCTCGCAAGATGGCTCTTCACGGGAAAGTGAGCCGCCGGGTTCCAGCCTTGGATACGAAGCGCCATTGCTTCAGCTTGTTCTTCGACTTCCTGGAAACAATTAAAAACATGCCAATCCAAAGTGCTCTTGCTGATCTGTTTACCTTGCGTGTTGACAAGAAAGTCAAGGCACCATCCTAAGCAGCTGTTGTTTCTAAACACGCAGGATTTCCACAAACAACGTGCCAATTAAAACAGGAACACGAGACAAGGAGACTTCATACCTGTTCATGACTACAACGTGTCGCGAGTTAAAGGAGCTTGTGTAGAAGTATTCCCCTCACACTTTCGGTTGTTCTACGTAGAGTTGTACGTTGAGAAACTGACTTTTCATCGATTTGATGGGCGTGATGAGGGGTGGATGCGCCCAAGCCCCAATTTCCGTGGGAATCCAGGCAAGATCACCGCTGCTTTCAGTAGTTTGCATCTGCTTTGAATACGCAACTAGCTCCCAAGAGCAATCTGTAGAGATCGTTGTAAGTGAGACAGAACAATAGAACAAGCAAAAGAAACAAACAAAAAAAAAAAAAAGCAGGGAGTAGGACCTGGAGGTAGAGGTAGCAACAAATGACGAGAAGCGCCAATCTTCATAAAAAACGCTCGCAGATCCGGCTCCAAGTCATTTAACCGAAACTCCCCCTCGAAAGAAAGATCAACTTGCAGCTTAAAGATGTACTTTTCCACTGCTACGTTCTCCTTATTATGCACCACGAGAGCTATTTTGTCGACGACACCCTGTTCAAGGCATGAGCGAAGAAAGGAAGACAATGCGATATACTGAGATACCTGTTTGATCCAAGTGTGCAAACTATACACAACGTTATGGATGTATTGCTGGAGCCCGGGATGGCGAGCCCAGTGAATGAGACAATTCATGTAGCGCCGCCGCTCGAAAACTTCTGTAATGAGCACGCCATGAGATCTTTGGAATCACAACTATTAAAGCACGCAGGAAGTGATTCTAATGCGGAAGATTCAAACGCACGAAGAAACGAAAATGCAGATGAATAGAGCGGCCACAAAGATGCAAACCATTGCGAATCTCAAAATGCTCCTCACCTGGAGAGTATAATCCACGAATCGAGAGCAGTAGATGGACGGCGGCTTCCAGAAACTCGCACAGGAGCGTCGCAGCTGGACCTAGACACTCCAAGATCAATCAATCTCGCTGGAAAGCGGTGGAAACAAAGGCGGATGAGATACCTGTCGCCATTAACCCCGTAAGTCCCTGAAAAGCTGCCCTAAAGAAAGTGGAATATGCATTTGGCGACCGGGGCAAGGCGAAAGCACCGATTGACGCATTTGATACCAACAAACGGTGAGCGTATCAAACCAGGCAGCTTAATTTTTTCTCACTACTTGCTATGTAGCGGCCGAGCTAGTTCTTTTGTCGCGCCCTTCCTTCGTTCTTTTCTTTCCCAAGACCGTGGTGTTCTTACTTTGGCATTTCGTGGCGATAACTGTTCTTCCTATAACTTTTTTTCTCGCTTTAGTTTTTTCGTTTTTTCATGAAGTTTTTCATGGTCTGGGATTGAATGCTCGATCCAAATGCCTCTCTATCTCTAGTGTGGGTGTTTTCGATTGAACATCCACTAAGAATGGTTCTAAGGCTGTGTTTTCTCGTTTTTGCTTGGTTCTCTCTCTGATCTAGCACCTCTCTAGCACCTCCATGCCGACGCTCCAATGATCGCTCGGTCTTGCCACCCGAGTAACAAGCAGCCCTTGTCCTCCACAAGCGTGTATCCATCCGTCTGGTAGAGCCTGAGCAGAAGCTTGGACTGATGAACAGCACTGGGACTGAGTGCTACGTTGTAGAAGCCAATGCTCTCCATGATCTTACACCACTTGTCCACCTTCTCGTGCCTCACGATCCTCTGGCTCCCCTCGCAAGCCACAATGTTCATGATCTCGGACGAGAACACCACTTGCTCCACCTTGGCTCTCTCGGGGCTCACCTGCGGCAGCGTCGCCTCGAGCGAGTCGAAGATCGCCGAGTAGTAATGCATCGCCTCGAGAAACCTCTTGAGGAACGAGTTCGTGTTGTGGTTCGCCTCCTGCTCGACCAGCGTCACGATCCTCGGCGCTTGCTCGCGTATCATGCTGAGGATTCGCACCACCGGATTCACGACCAGATGGTCGTCGGTGAAAAGCCTGTGGAATCGATCGATGCAGTTCACTGCCAGTGCCTCGCCGTGTCTCCGGTGTAACATATGAGACTGCAAGTCCTCGAGCCTCTCCCCGACGGCGTGATACTCGAACGGGACGCGTAGAGTGGCGGCTAAGTCGGCTAGTCGCTTCCCAGTTTCCTGGACTGCCTCGAGCGGCATTCCCACACCCGTGATTCTCAAGTGTGGAGCTCCTCCTTGCCTGGCTGCGAGTGCTTGCATGAAGGCTGGCCACTGATAACCCTGCAAGATCTCCAGGTCGATGATATGGACGCTTTGCTCGCCCTCGAAAGCTTCGAAGATCGCCTGGTTTGAGGTGAAGTGCGCGAACTTGATGTAGGGGCAGACTTGGTAGAGGATGTGGTAAGCTCCCAGGATTTCTTCCAGAGATGCTGGATCGTAGGCTCGCAGGGCAGTGTAGGATCGATAGCCGGTTCCGTTGAGACGAGCGTAAAGAGCGTCCGTGAAGTGAGTTGCGACTCGGTGGATGGAATCGCCGGTTGGAGAGGCGAGCTGCTTGAGTTGGTGGAGGAGGTTTCCAGCGTAGATGTAGTCTTCTTGGTCGATTTTCTCGCCGCAGCCGAGCAGCATGTGGATCAGCTGAAGCCCACCGACGTGAACAGTCTGTAGAGAGGATTTAGCAAGCCAAAATCTGGTTTTTGCATTCTTCCGAGAGGATTGGAGGAGTTTACCTGAGCTCGCAGCAGTGTCGAAGGATCCTGGTCCAGCAGTCCCTGCAGTGGGCTTGTGAGTGAAGATGGAGATGGAGGAGCTGGAAGTGGAGCGGCCATTTTCTTGCTGGAAGTTCCTCCCGGAGAGTGGTGGTGATTTAGAGGCGACGTCGAGTGGTTTAGTGAAGTTGGCATGGATCGAGGAGCTATGGCGATGCTCGTAGTATTTGAAGAACAAAACGACTTGGTCTTCGATAGGTTCTTGGTGGTTGCGAGAGAAGAAGGAGAAGAAGAAGAGGTATGTTGGAAACTCTCCAAGTGTGGAGCACTGGGAACTTTATGGAGCAGCCCCGAGTCGCTGCTAAACATGGGCTCGCGGAACAAAGGCTCGAATTCCGCGCTGTAATTACCAAAGTGTTCTTGCGATGGCGAGGAACTGGACGATCCAGCAGCAGAGATGCGATCATACTTCGGTGGCAATGGTGGTGGTGTGGCTGTTCTTCCGACGATCGATGCTAGATCATCTCCGGACGATGGTGGCGGCTTGATCACCTCCTCGTCAAAGCCAAGCTGCTCGAAACTTCTCTCCGGGAGAATCTGGTGGAGGCTCTCGGGCTCGAGAAGATCGTCCATGAGATCCATCCATGACGAATCCGGGGACTGGAGGAGACAAGCATCATCCAGCTCGAAGATCTCGGCTTTTGGATCGATGAGCGCCTTTGTTCCACACAGAGAATCTTGCATCATGTTTGCTTCTCTCCTCTCTTCTTTTCCCTTCTTTTTTTACTTCTATCAACTATAGCATCTCCTTTTGAGCATAGATCTTTCTATCTCCTCATCTACGAGTCTATGACACTAGAGAAAGCATGGCACACGATTAATGGAGGGCGACGTAGATATCAAAATTGCGACTACATGCAAACCAAACTTACGTTGTCCCGCAGCATTTTGGCGGGACATTGAGTTGTAATATACGTTTTTTGTCTCTAGGGCTAGGGTTTTTGGAGCGCCACGAAGGGCGATGGTCGCGGCAGCAATGCCGGATCTTCAGGCTGCGGTCGACGATTTCGTCATCAAGCTCAAGCGCAGGTGTGAGAATCATCCTTTCTTTCGTTTGATTCATTTCCTGGTGGAATCCTCATGGCTTAATGGCTGGCGCATTTGCTTCTCGCTCACCTGATTTTGTTCTTCGATGATCAGACAAGTGGAGGGGTCTCTGGCCACCGCAAAATCGACTGTGCTGCTACTTAGGCAAGTGGTTTCGCACCAAAGAATTCCCTCGTCCGGCCCAGCTTCGAGCCTGATTGATGCTGTCAAGTCTGTGGGATCGCGCTTGATAGCAGCCAACCCCATGGGTCAGTGTGTTGTTTTCTACCTCTTCTTTTCTCAGTTTTCTTTTTTTCTTGCAGAGCTTGCTGTCGGTAACATGGTTCGTCGAGTTCTACACATAATTCGCGAAGAAGAAGCCACGATTGTTGCGGCTCAAGTTGGAGTTACTCCCGTGTCCGACAGTGATGACGATGCGGACGTCCATGGTGTTCCTGGACTTTCGGCTGTTGCTCTGGCAGCTGCAAATAGAACTGCTCTGAGAGCTCCTTCGCTTCACAATCTGCTGGAATCACTTCCAACTTCTGCCGGAGCTAACGTGGAACCTGTGCCCGAGTCCGATACCAAAAGCAGATGTAAGTGTTTTTATTTCACTTGCAATCGCTGCTGATGTTTGTAGTTTTTGTGCAGCGAGTGACAAGAACTCTAAGAGCTGGAAGCTGAAGCACGGTGTAATCGACGCCATTGGTCTCCTTCTTGGCGAAATCGAGAACTATCATTCGGAGATTTCAGAGCAAGCGCTGGAGCATATACACCAAAAGCAAGTCCTTACTTTCTCTGGCCTTGACGTGTAAATGTTCTCTGCTCGTCCGTTACAGCGAGGTGATCCTCACGCTTGGACGATCAAGGTCACTGCTTCACTTTTTTCGAGAGGCGAAGAAGAAAAGATCGTTTCAGGTTTTTGTAGCTGAAGGAGCTCCAAGGTAACTTAATCTACATTCTGGCATATACATTTACTGATTCCAGAGGCAGGTACCAAGGACATAAATTCGCCAAAGAGCTTGCTGCAATGGAGCTACAAACAACAGTTATCACAGACTCTGCTGTGTTTGCATTGATCTCTCGCGTCAATATGGTAAACGTTGGAGCGTATCCTGTAGATACTGGAAGCTGAGAATTTTCTCTGGAAGGTTATTGTAGGCGCTCATGCTGTTATGGCCAATGGTGGGATAGTCGCCCCGGTTGGCATGCATATGGTGGCTCTCGCAGCTCGTCGTCACGCGGTTCCTTTCGTGGTTCTCACAGGTCTCCACAAGGTGAGCGAGAAACTCACTACATGTATATCCTAACGTTCTGCCTACGCGATCCAGCTCTGTCCATTGTACCCACACAATCCATCGGTTGTACTGAACGAGCTAAAGTCGCCTTCGCAAGTTTTGGATTTCGGAGAGATGTCCGACTGTCTGGATGGCACCGACGGCTCTCCAGTTCATGTGGTGAATCCCATGTTCGACTACGTGCCGCCAGAACTCATCAGCCTGTTCATCACCGACTCGTAAGTTTCCATGAGTTGTTTGATCTGTGAACTGATTCGAGTCACACATTACTTTTTTTTTTGCAGTGGTGGCCACAATCCATCCTATGTGTATAGGCTCGTAGCGGAGATTTACAGCCCTGAGGATCACTAAGTAGGAGAAGCGCGAGAAGACGAAGTTTGTGAAGGTTTGGATCATTTCCTCTACAGATGTTTTATCTTATGAGAGCTGTGCTATTTGACACAGCTATTTTTCTCAAGAGGCACTCCCGAATACCATACAAAGCTCTAGCTTTTTTTTGGATTATAAGGTGGATCTCATGCATCTTCATGGAAAGAAGCCAATGCGTGGAGCTCATCGAGAGTTGCAAGAGCTTCACAGCAGCGCAGGAGCTCCACAAAAAACTGCGCAACTCGATTCGCTCCACCGATTATTTTCTGTGCAACAAGCTCATCCAGATGCACACGCGCTGCGGCACAGTGAGGCAGGCCCGCGAGATCTTCGACAGCCTCTCAACCAAGCGGGCCTTCTCCTGGAATCTCATGCTCTCCGCCTACGCCCGGAATGGCCGCCTGGAGGAAGCGCAGGACCTCTTCGACGCGATGCCGGAACCGGAGCTAGTGACCTGGAACACCATGCTCTCGGGGTATGCCCAAAGTGGGCATCTCCGCAGAGCCCAAGAGATCTTCGACTCCATGCCGTGCAAAGACATCGTTTCCTGGAACGCCATCCTCGCTGCGTACACCCAGAACGGGAATCTCGACGAAACCGAGGCTCTTTTCGATCGCATTCCTTCACCCAATCTCGTGTCTTGCAACTCGATTCTGGCAGCATATGCCCACAGCGGGCATCCCTCTAAAGCTAAGAAAGTTTTTGACACAATGCCACTTCAGGACTTGATCTCCTGGAATGCTTTGTTAACTGGATTTGCGCAAGGTGGTGAAACGGGTGAGGCTGAGAAAGTCTTCCTAGCGATGCCGCAAAGAGACATAATCTCTTGGAATGCAATCATCACAGCGCATGCCCAAACTGGGCATATTGAGCGTGCGAGAGATGCCTTTGATCGGATGCCAGAACACGATCTAATCTCGTGCACGGCTTTATTGGGCGGGTTTTCTCAGAGCGGCGACTTGGAAGCCACAAAGAGACTGTTTGATTTGATGCCACAGCGTGATTCCGTTGCCTGGACTGCAATGCTTGCAGCATATGCCCATAACCGGCATCTTGCAAGAGCAAAGGAAATGTTTGATGAGATGCCAGTCAGGGACCGAGTATCTTGGAACGCCATGGTCTCGGCATATGCCCAAAACGGGCATCTCAAAGATGCACAGAGTATGCTTGACCAGATGCCGTGTGGCGATGCCGTGTCCTGGAGCACGATGCTCGGCGCATACGCTGCTGCTGGTGACGTGGCCAAGGCGGAGGGGATATTCAAGAAAATGCCACAGCAGAGCCTTGTGGCGTGCAACGCGATGCTGTCGGCATATGCCCATTACGGGCATCTTGAAGATGCCAAGCACGTGTTTGAGTATATGCCCAGGCAGGACCTTGTATCGTGGAACGCAATGCTGTGCGCATATGCCGCAAACGGGCATCTAGAAGAGGCTAAAAGCATTTTTGTAAAAATGCCTCAGCAAGATGTGGTGTCGTACACCGCCATGTTGGCTGTCTTTGTACAGCATGGGCATGTAGAAGAGGCCAAGTACATCTTCGATACAATGCCTCAAAGGGACCAAGTCTCGTGGAACGCAATGCTTGCGGCATATTCCCAGTCGCGGCATTTGGAGTATGCACTTCAGTTATTCCACGGGATGCCACAGCGTGATTCCGTGTCTTGGAATACAATGGTGTTCGCATACTCACAGGCCGGTCACCTGGAATGTGCGTGGAAACTTTTCAATGCAATGCCTGAACGAAATGTGATATCGTGGAGCTCAGTATTGGCTGCGTATGCCCAGAACGGGCATACCCGCGAGGCTTTTCAATTGTTTGATAGCATGAAAGTAGAAACCATACCGGATGAGATTTGCTTTATTCTTGTGCTGATCGCAACAAGCAGAGCTGGGAAAGTTTATGACGCAAGGACTCGCTTCGTTTCCATGGTATATGATTTTAGAATAAGAGCTTTGAAGCAGCACTACTGCTGTCTTCTGGACGTGATTGCGAGAGCCGGATACCTTCACGAAGCCGAGGATCTTATCACAAGTATGCCTTTTGTTCCAAAGGTTTTGGAGTGGACATGCTTGCTTGCGGCCTGCAAGAGTTACAACGATCTTGAGAGAGGAGCCAGGATGACAAGCCGAGCTGTGGAGTCCGACCCCAGCAATGGATCTGTCTACGTGCTGCTTGCCAACACTTACTATGGAGGGGTCAATGCGTGAGCGACATGAGTGGAACTGTAATTGAGCATCTAAGATCGCTGGACTCTGGGTAGTCGGCTCGCATCTTAGATCTCAACTGTGAGAGGATATCCATTTTTTTCTGACAACGAACTTCTTTTCTATTATAGAATGTTCGCAATGATCCATCCATTCTTTTCCTTGTTGCTGTTGTTCTGTAGACTTTTCTAAGAGGTTTATTGATGCGACTACAGACTTAGTATATAACATACCCTTTCTCTACTGTGCTTCTGTCAACATTTGATTTGTATGGGATTCAAATTTTGTTACAAGCACAGAAAGGTGAATACATGATATTTACATATTTACTGAAGATCAGTAAAAATCTATGGTATAATATTTGGAATATATAATTTACTCATTCTTAAATAGCACACCTTTGATGTTATAAGATATATATACATATGTATAAACACAACTATTATATGGTGTATAGATATAGATATATAAGGATAACAAATACAATTAGGATTATCCTAGTGCACTAGGACATATTACATAGATATACACTATTAGAACTCTAATAATTTCTACTTTAATTAGTACAGAATTAAACTAAACTAAAAGTGATTACATGTTTTTTATTTTTATGTTTATTGATTTTTTATATAGCAATTAACAAGGAATAGTAAAGAAAAATAATTTCTTTATATAAAGTACTAACTTTTTTTAGCTTTTAAATATTTTATAAACTTCCTTATAATTATAATATTTTAAGACTAGAAACCTTAGTAGAAAGTTTCAATTAAAGAAGCTAAAATATATAATTTCAATAGTTATGAATTTATCTAAAACTTCATTAAACATGAAAATCTTAACCATCTTTATATTTAGTGTAAATATCTTATATAGTATATATTGTTTTATTCCTAAAGGAACTGTTTTATGGGGCAGAAATAACACTTTAAATGAAGAAGAAATTGAAAATGTCTTAACTCAAATAAATAATCTTATATCAGAAATAATAACAACAAGATATTATCCACATGATTATGAAAATTTTTTATCTTTTGATTTTTTACGAGGTGTTATTGTTACACAAATTGAACGTATACCAAATAATTATCAACATTGTTTAATTAGAAATAAAATTTTTGTAAATGGAGCCTCACTTTCTAGAAGTTTACATAATTTATTAAATATATATAAGAATGATATAATAAATACTCGTTCAAATTCTTGTCAAATTAATGGTTATACATATCAAATTCGATACTCTTTCTTTTTTATAAAAATTTATTAAACTCATACTTATTTGATAATAAAATAGCTATAAAAGATACATGCCTAACAACCTTAAATGCTGGATTTGAAAATAATATTCTTTATACAGGGCAATTTTTAAGATCTACAAATGGAAAAAACATATTATTAATTGAATCAAATTGTAAAGTTTCATTATATTCTGGAAAAAATACTTTATGGAGATCAAATATTAATGAAACTTACTATGGTTTGTGCTTTCTAAAAGTTCAGATTGATGGTAATCTTGTACTATATACAAAAACAAATAGAGTAATGTGGTCTATTAATCAATACTGTTCTAGTAGTCCAAATTGCTTTTTATTTACTTATATTAAATTGGAAGATAATTGTAATTTGGTATCTTATATAATACATAGTAGAAACGTTTGGTGGACTACCAATATAATTGATAAAACTGGATGTTTAAATTAACAATATATTTGTTTTAAGCTATCAATAAACTTAATAATGACTTTTATTAACTTTTGGTTTTCTTGGGTGTAAAATTTTCCTAGAATATATAAGTACATTCTTTTCTCTAATTCTTTTCTACTCAATTTTTATCACTAATTTTCTCTATTTACCATATTTAACTCTGTAATTAAATTGTTAAATATTCTTGTTAAGAATTAGAAGTAAAACATTACAATTTTACTACCTTTCTGGATAGACTTAGAAACATACCTTTAACTTTCTTCTATGCTTCTATACATGTATCATAGTAAGTTTCAAGACTCTCATATCTGGATCACTTCAAACCTCCAAGAAGTACCCTGAAAAGCTTCTCTATAGTGGTAATAAGTGCAACAAAGTGGGATGATTGAGAGAAGTGGATGGAAAATTAAATGCCAAAAGTCATAAGGCTTGGTTCCATGTGTCCCTCTAGAGGAAGTTTTTTAAGGGGGGAAACTTTTAACCCCTTGTTCCATGCACCCCACCAGTGACATGGTAGTGGAAATGGGAGGAAGGGGGGAATTGGGTGTCCTCTTTGAAAATTTCTCCAGGTGCCTGGAACCTGGTAGAACAAGTCAATAAAATAGTGCTATGTGTAAAAATAATAATCATTACTTAAAAAAGACAAAATGAATTTAGCTGAGTTGGCAAAAACTATATTATCATGTGGCATTTTCAAGGGTGGGTTACATATAACCTTAAGATTTTAGAAGAGGGGAGTTTTTTTTTCTAGGGTGGAGAAATTTCCAGGTGGGGGACATATGGAAACCAATAGTTGAATTATGCCAAAACACTAAAACTCTACAATAAATAAAGTGTATTGCATTGGAGAAAGTCCTCATAGTACCAAAGAGAAAGATGAAAGATGGAACAGTTGGACGAATAAGCAATGTTGTGGAGAATGAATAATGAAGAAAAATAGGACTGTGAAAAGCGTGTAGATGGTGAAAAGAGAGGGTTGAAAGAGATGTGAAAAAAATTGATGAATGTAGCAAAACTTGGGAAAACTTGAGCTTTTAGATGATCAAGATTACCTAAACAAGAGATTGCTTCACAATGAACCTATGACTTCAGATTTGAAAGTAAGACAAAGAAAGAAAAAAAAAAGAGAAAAGAAAGTGGGGAAGAAGTCATTGCAGTAGAGATGGCAGTGAGATGATGTGTCATGAGGATGTAGAGGGCTGGAAGCTCTAACACAAGACATGCTGGATGTCTTCTGTCATTCTAGATGCCAAAGTCAGGAACTTGCACCAATATTCTAAACTCTGTGATGTTTAGGTCACACAAAGCCGAAAGCTGTGTTGTAAGGGTTGCAAGCTGAGTGGAAAACTCTAAGTTGAGATCCCTTACCCATGCAGTGTAGGAGATGGTGCAAAGAGTCTTGGAGATCTGAGAGTCAGCCGAAACACTTGCTTTCACCACCTTTGTCACTATGAAGCTGTGGAAACAGCAAACTGCTCTAAACAGGTGAAGTTGTGCCATGGCCATGCAAGCTGTGCAGTGCAGCACAGATTCACAAAGCCGGCAGTAAAACCTTGACTGGTAAACCTAGTGGGTGAAATTGCTTTAATGTTGAATTTATATTATTTTAAGGGCTGAGATTAAAGGCAGTATTTTGGGTTTATAATCTAATAAAAATGTTACTAATAGAATCAGTAAAGTCAAACAATTCTCTATGTCTTTAATTATAATGGTTTTATGAGGAGAGAAGGTCTTTCATGTTGCAAAGGTAACCACATGACATCTATGACAAAGGCCTTTAATGTTTTTGCAAAATAATAAGATTCTAAATTAGATTATAAAATCAAAAATAAAAAAGTATAAGACTAATTTTTCTATGAACTTTATAGTTGATTTAATTAATTCTAACTCCCTGGAGACTTGGCTCTCTAAGCCCCCATATGTTAAAGGAATTTAAAAATTAATTATTGGGTTTGTAGTGTTTTCCCTCTATTTTAAAAACTAGCTCTCATATTTAAAACTAAAAAATAATTAAACTTTATTTTCAATTTTTTTATTCATTAATATTCTATTTTATACAAAATTGATGTAATATCCAGAAAAAATGGAAATGTACTATGAGACATCTAGAGCAATTTTATATATATATATATATATATATATATATATATATATATATATATATATGTATTTTATAAATGAAAATGTTTCTATTGTGTCTCTAGAAGATCCATAAAAATTATAGTTTAGATATGATAGAATTTCATTTAAAATGATTTTAATATTATTTACTTAAATCCTTTATATAAATATAAATATGTATATACATATACATACATACATATATGGCCAATTATAAAAAAACCTTGCAATAATATTTATAAAGAGTTTCATAATTGTGACAGTGTGGCTCACCAAGTATATGGTATTATTTGACCACTCTTTAGACACTTATTGGTGTCAATGATGCTGTGTAAGTAGATGCCCTAATACTTTAGCTTGCAATACAGTGTAAAAAAGTTATGTCAAGACCATATATTCAATGTGCTAAGGGAAATTTACTGTCAATATATTAGAGTTTCATAGATGACTGCATGCTGAAACCATATGAGGAATCAACTTTGCAAAACTCACTCTAGGCAACTATGAGTTAATGCAACTCTTATCACTCTCTAATCCATTTTATATCCTGTGTATATTTGTTTGCCCATAATCCCCCATATCACACATTATAAGAAAAGCTCCTCAAGTGAACCATAGAAACACTCTTGAGAGGATACATCTCTTCCCAACCTATAATTTTAAGATACCAATGCAATGTGCATCAATCCATCCCTCAATTTAACACTCACCATACAAAAACTTCTTTATTTGTTACAAAACCATTCAATTACAAAGTGTTTTTTATTACCCTCAATGCCCTGTGATGGCAAACTCAACTTGTGTTTAAAATTTAGCTTGTATACTGAAAAATGTTATGCCTACAAAGTCTAAACCCTATTGTTGATGTGTCAAAAAAGCTGATGTGAAATTAGAACTTATACACTGAAAAATTGTATATGTGGCATTCATTTGGACTTTACTATGCATATGACTATATTCTATCTATAGAAAAATCATTGTGTTGACATATATGTGTATAACAATTCAAATACAAATTTGTGTTAATTTTATATATCTTACAAACTTTTACATTTTTTTACAAGGCTGCCCACCTGAGTTACTCCTACCAAAACCTACCATCACAAATCTCAAAATTTATATTGGTGGATTTCAAATAGGAGGAAAGGTCCTCTATATTTGGTCCTTTACAAATTGCCTTTTGAGTTTTTTTTTTTAGTTCTTTTTAATTCATTATACTTTTTTGCAAGTTTATGCTTTTGTGAATGAAATTTAAAAACTTTGAAAGCATTATTCTTTTGTCACTCTACCCTTTGGGTCAAGTTAACCAAACCAGATTAGATTGCTAAATGTTAATCTCAATATATAATATAATTTTCAAGCTAATAAATAAAATCACTTACTCTGGTATCTATCTATTTATCTAAGATATGGAGAGCTCTAGGCTAGAGCATTCTACACAATGGGGCAAATGGCCTCCTCTGGAATTATGATCTTCTTGATCATCCTGGCATTAGCGACATCAGCATCGTCCTCCAAGGTATAGATTCCATTTTCTTATCGATGCTTTGAATCTTGTGAAGTTGTGAAACAGTGAAAGACCTACACCTTCCAAGGCCAGTCCCTATTTACGGACACGGGGATCAACCAAACCGAGTTCTACGTTCTTCCCAAAGACAACGCTGGTAGACCGGATCAATGCAGACATTCGCAGCCCCATTCTCGGTCTCCACCAAGGGCTATACCAGGTTATCCATGGGACATACATGGGAATCCTTGCAAACACCGGCCTGGGAGCTTCCAGTCCTCGCATTGCTCATTTGCTGATGGTAGCAGCCTCGAGTTTCAAGGCGAGGCCGGGAGCTCGACCGCTGGATCTCAAGCTCTCTTCGCCATCGTTGGTGGCACCAGAAGATTTGAAGGAGCCACGGGCACAGCGAAAGAAACAAGCAAAGGAAACAATCTCTATGTCGTGGAATTCATCGCAAAAGTCTGCAAGTCTTGATCATAACTCAATCTAGTTTGATCAAGACTTAAAGGCAGTTCCCTTTAGGTCACGCTAATAATCGTTGTTTAATCTCGCCATGACTGTGTGGAGAGCGGTCGAGACTGGTGAGTTGGTTGTGAGCGAGGAGCTGTCGTCGTTGAGGAAGATGTACGATGTGGGTTTTGAGCTTGGAAAGGGAGGGCAAGGCACTGTACACCTTGTAAGCTTTAGAATGGGTGGTAAGTTGCTAGCGGCTAAGAGCTTCGAGAGGTCGGGTGAGAGAGAGAAGGAAATCATGCTCAAACTCAATGGCTGCCATGGTACACTAGAGATCTACGACATGGTCGAGGAGGAGCGCAAGGGCCGCTGGTGGGGATCCCTAATCTTGGAGCTCTGCTCGTGCACTCTCCGGGACAGGCTAAAGATGGTGGGGAGGCTGGCGGATGACGAGGCGGCGTTTGTGACCAAGAGCCTGGCCGAGACGCTGAGGGAGATGCACAACCTTGGGGTGGTGCACAGGGATATGAAGCTGGAAAACGTTTTGCTGACGCATCCAGCGCAACCTTACGAGGTGAAGCTGTCTGACTTTGGGGTTGCGACTGACCGGGCCGACGAGATGCACCACCTTTGTGGCACCCCTGGGTATATGTCGCCAGATGTTCTCAGGGCTGGTGAGGGCGGATGGCCGAAATACTACACTCAAGCGGTGGACGTTTGGGGGCTCGGACTCATTCTATATGAGCTCCTTAGCGGAAGGGTGGCGTTCCCTGAATACCACTCTGATTATGTGGAGTTATTGCTGAAAAGCGTGGACAATGTGGAGTTCGCATTGGATTGGAGTGATGTGTCGAGCGAGGCAAAGGATTTGATCATGGGGATGTTGGAGGTTTATCCGAGCCGGAGGCTGACGGTGGAGCAAGTGCTTGGTCACCCCTGGATCGTGAACAACACCAGCGAGCTGTTTACCAGGAACTTGATTTGCAAGATTATGTAAGAACAAGACACAAAGAAACTGTTTGTAGGTTATCGGATCCCCATGTAAAATCAAGTGACACTTGCCATTTTGCAGAGATTTGTTTCCGGTTGCTATTCATGTAGCAAAATGCCAGAATCAGTTTGACTTGTAAGAACAAAACAATACATATGATTATTTGTGGCAAGTCGTGGCAAGTCGCTTATCGTGCGGCAAATACCGATTCAAGGCATTCCACGGAATCTAAAGAATATATAGTGTGTTTTGCTGGTCGATCAAGGCCATGTGATCCATCTTAGCACTCCCATCATCCCGCTCAACAAAATCGGCAGCTTGCAGGGGAAGGACTTTGAGTTTAATGGAAGAAGCGGGAAAGATTGCAGAAGCTAATGCTGCCCCCAACAAAGAAGCATTGAAGTTTGCCAAATTGCTGATTACGCCTTTCACTTTTGTGGCTTCTACATGCCTCCAGTCAGGAATCTCCCTCATCAAAGAGAATGCCACACCAGTGGAAAAGGGGCGTTGCTTCCACTTCCTTCTCGCTTCAGCCATCTCAGCATTTGGATTGGCATGGTGTCTAATAGCATTTCTTGATAACGATCAGGGAAAAGCTCTAGAGGCCAAAAGGCTCATGCTCTCTATGTGGATGATCTTCTTTGCGAGCTTGTCCGTGATGATGACACCACTCTTTTTCAGCCTCCTCTATGTTGTCTACGACTTTAGTGACGCGAAGGCATCGTGGTCGACCATGGGTGCGTGTGTTCTCGTCGGCATTCTAATCCTCGTTGGTTCCTACGTGAAAAGGCTGATGAGAATTCCTCTGAGGGGCACTTATATCACGTTCGTGATCATCATCGCTGCTAATTCGTATGGTTACACCCTATACAAGAAGTGAAGAAAGAACACAAGAATTTCATTTCGTGTGGTAAATCGCCTACAAAAGAAAATCCAAAAGCCTTTGTTTGTTGTTACTTGTGAGAGCTAGCAAGCAGACTAGCCCTTCGTTGTCTCTCCCTGCGCTGGAGGAGGCTTCTTATTCTTCTTGCTCTTCGATTTCTTGTCCTTGGCTCGCCGCTTCTTCTCGTTCACGTCCACCCAGGTGTAGTCACTGGGGATGAGAAACGGATCCACCAAGTCGGGCCCGTGATCGTCCGACACCGCCGACGAGCTTGCCTGGCTGTGAGGTCGCATCCACGAAAACCATGAACTCGCCGATGATGCCTGTGCTTGCGGAGCATCGCCCTCCTTGGCTTTTGCGTCTTGGAAGTGGCGAGGACTCGAGAGTGGCGTGGAAAACTCCTCCGACGGCGCGCGGATCTCGTCAAAGCGAGTGAAAGTCACGACGACTCTGATGGTAGGCACTACTGGTATGGCCAGCTGAGACGAAGGAAAAAAGAAAAAAAGTTTGGTCACCGAAGAACTGGAGAAACGAGAACAGAAAATAAACTTACCTTGACTGGAAACGTTCCAGTCGGTAGCTTGGTTGTCAAGAGCTCACGTAGCCTCCGGATCGCTTTCACTTTGTTGGACAGAATGTCCAGCAGCGGCACAAACTCCTCAGTGCTCAGAGGAAAATCCGGCGTGAGCCACAGCACCGGCCTCAATCCCTTCTGGTACTCGTTTTCAGCGCCAGCCTTTCCAGGCTTGTGAATCGACTCCCTGCTTACGCTCTTCCTGGCAGGCTTGTCCATGTATCCCTTCTTGAGCTCGAATGTGTCCTCCGCTCTATAATTCGATGGTCGCCTGTCGAAAGACTTTCTGCTGTTATTCCTGCCACCCCGCTCTACTTCTACGCTGAGAGACTTCCTTGCCGGCTCCACCTTCTTTGCGTTTTCATGCTTGACGCTCTTCTTCCCCCAGCTAAACCAGCTTTTCCTGTCCTCCCTGTGGATATCCGAGCCAGACGAAGCACCCCCTACGCTCATATCATCGTCGAGCAATCCGTCCAATATAATATCATCCCCCCCGTTCTCCAAGCGCCTGCGAAGCTTGCTGTTGTCCTTGCCACCCTTGTCAAATCCCTTCTCGATAAACTCGCCATTCTCGGCCTTGAGCGCCGAGTCCAGTTGCTGCTTCTCCTCCTCGGTTAGAAGATCGGTGTAGTCTTCGTCGTCCTCTCCCTCGGCCTCTTCTGAAGCGAACAGCTCCTCGTCTGTCATGGCTCCTGGAACCCTTCGCGACCGGACACTGACAGTCACATGATGCATGTCGTATATCTTCGCCTTCCACGAGCCCACCATCTCGGTTTTCTCTTGCCTCCTCCACGTCAAATGCGGCTGGAGCTCGGCCTGTGTGACATCGATCCCCGGCCTGTAGATGTTGGTTTGTGACAAAACCGCCACCTCTTGCGCGATCTCGGACTCCGTGGGCTGGACTCCGGCACCGTCCAAAGCGTTCATAATCTCCTTCTCTTTGTGACTGAGAACACAGAGGGTCCCGGAAGGGAGCTTGCCGTCGTCGCTTCCATCGCCCAAAAAGAGAACGCTCTGGTCCAACCTCTGGATCCTGAAACCATCGAAGCCCGCGAGTGTCATGTCCGCCCTGAGATTGGCAAGAATGGGGCTGCAAATGTCTGCATTGATCCGGGTCTACCAGTGTTGTCTTTGGGAAGAACGTAGAACTCGTTTTGGTTGATCCCCGTTTTGCCATTCCTTCTATTTCTACTTTCGTTGCTTGGTAGAATAGTTCTTAGCTCTTCAAGTGGAAGCGTATAGGCACCTGGACCATTGGAATAACTGCGAGACGAGCATCCACGCTTCCAGAAGTTTTCTGGCAATCCTTCCAGAGCAAATTGTGCGCTGGAACATCTCCATAACTATGGTAAGGAAACGATAAATGAAGAGAAAACTACAAGTTTCTAAATACCTGGAACCAAGCTCCTTCAATCGCTGCTCGCACCAGCAAAAATGCCGGCTCTCGTCGTCCGCAACGTGAGCAAAATCCACGAAAAACTGCGAATCGAGCTCGCCACCCGACGCCGAGAAGCGCACCACAGTGTCCCATGCAAGATCCACGGCGTTGAGCTCGATGTGTGCCAAGTTATGGATCATATGAACTCTGGGAGATAGCCCCAGAACTTTGGCTGTTGGAACTCTCCTTGGATGCACCTATAGGCACAGCAAGAACAAACGAATGTCTAGAACTTCGAGAAAAAAAAAGAAGAATCTTACCAGCTGAGGCTGCTCTGGCCTTGCGGGAGAATCCATGGCGGCCGCTACACCAATCGGAAGAACCACTGCACCAAAGCTTGTAAGCGTGGTGCGTCAAGAGGGCTTTGGAGAGTGGACGAGGGGTGGCGAGGATCAAGGCGCCCCATTCCGCGAGGCTGCGAGGGGGAGGAGAGAAAGAACCAGCGTGATCTAAGGGAGTCGCCACCATCTCAGGGCCGGCATCCCCCCAGCGGCGCCGCTCATTGGGTGGCGCCGCCGGGGACCTCCACGACCGGAGCCCCGCCCACTTGTGGTGTTGCTGCATTGCCCACGAGCAGCTACTAAAACCTTTAAACCCCCTCATCAAAATCTCCCAAGATTCATGCCACTATTTTTCTATGTATCTAAGAAATGGATGAGCATTAGCGACATCATCGTCCTCCATTTTCTTATCCATGCGGTCAATGAAGACATTGGCAGCCCCCTCTTAAGCTCTTTTCGCCATTGTCGGAGGCACCATAAGGTTTGAAGGAGCCACAGCACTGCGAGAGAAACGAGCAAACAAACAAAAACAATCTCTGTAACAAAGGAAATTGTAAATCTATCACGTTATAAAATTAAGTCTTTTATTTATATAAAGTGTACCCATATGTATTAGCAGCAAAGATGATACGTAAAATGACAGGAGTGCCTCTCAGAGGAATCCTCATCCTTTGGAATAGCTTTTTCACGTAGGAACCAGTAAAGACTACAACGACCAAAACTAAATACGCACCCATTATTGACCACGATGCCTTCGTTTCGCTGATGTCGTAGACAACATACAGGAGGCTGAAGAGGAGCGGCAACATCATCATAGACAAGCTTGCAAAGAAGATCACCTAAAGAAAGGACATGAGATTGTCGAGCTCCTGAGCTTCTTTCCTTGTTATCAACAATTGCTATCATACACCCTGCCAATCCAAATACAGAGATGGTTGGAGCCATAAAGAGGTGGAAGCAACGCCCCTTCTCTGTGGGCGTTGCATTCTCTCTGATAAGGGAGATTCCCGACTGGAGTCATGTGGAAGCCACAAAAGTGAAAGGTGTAATCACCAATTTGGCCAGCTTCAATGATTCTTTCCCGTTAGCCTCATTAGAATTAGCAATCGTTGCCCCTTCTGCCATGAACTTAAACGTGAAAAAATTGAAGCAGAACCCTGGTTCTTGGATGTTTGTAGGAGACTAAAGTACGATCCAGATGCGAGGTTTGAAGGTAGATAACTAGTATAGGATTTCATTCCTTTTTTTTTTTCCTTGTTATCATTCCAATTTTATTTGGTGTCTCCGAAGAGACTTTTTCCTAGTTATGTCTTTTTGAGATTATATGGGAATTCAAATTTTTGTAGTCCACACATTTTGATATGTAGGATCCTATCCCTTACACCCTAAGCCAACTGGCTAAAAGAGTGATCACTTGATTGTAGGGCTCTTTCTTTATCCTATTATCCTGATTTAGTGCCTAACAATCCTCCCTGTCGTCAGGGAATGAATCCTAACAATGGTATTGGAGCCCAGTTTGATTCTCGTGGCTGACGAGTGGGACAGGAACATTCCTTCACGTGGGACAAGAATATTTTAAAGGAATATTCAACATGGTGGATCTAGAGGGAGAACCAAGGTCACTATGGTCTTTCTCTTAGGGTCTACCAAACCTTGATTCTCCCTCTAGATCCACCATGTTAAATATTCCTTCAAAATATTCTTGCCCCACTTGTCAGCCATGAGAATCAAACTGGGTTCCGATACCATTGTTAAGATCCTATCCCTTACACCTTAAGCCAACTGACTAAAGGGGTGATCACTTGATTGCAGGGCCCTTTGCTTATCCTATTATCCTGACCTGGTGCTTAACATATGAAATACACAATTCTATACTTGAGAGATCGAACAAATTATCCTTGACTGTTGTGTTGAGAAACCAACAGCGACATGCATGAGCTCTTCTTGCCAAGTTTTGTTTCACAATCTCGTCCTTCTTCAGCCTCAGCCCAGTGTTAATGGATCGACACTCACGTATTTCACGTGTACTCTGGTATCTTTCTATTTATCTAAGATATGGAGAGCTCTAGGCTAGAGCATTCTACATAATAGGCCAAATGGCCTCCTCTGGAATTGGGATCTTCTTAATCATCCTGGCATTAGCGACATCAGCATCGTCCATCAAGGTATAGACTCCATTTTCTTATCCATGCTTTGCATTGCTAGTCAAGATCTTAAGAATTTCTACCATCTGGATCTTGTGAAACAGTGCAAGACCTACACCTTCCAAGGCCAGTCCCTGTTTACGGACACGGGGATCAACCAAAACGAGTTCTACGTTCTTCCCAAAGACAACGCTGGTAGACCCGGATCAATGCAGAGATTCGCAGCCCCATTCTTGGTCTCCACCAAGGGCTATACCAGGTTATGCATGGGGACATACATGGGAATCCTCGCAAACACCGGCCTGGGGAGCTTCCAGTCCTCGCATTGCTCCTTTGCTGATGGTAGCAGCCTCGAGTTTCAAGACGAGGCCGGGAGCTCGACCGCTGGATCTCAAGCTCTTTTCGCCATCGTTGGTGGCACCGGAAGATTTGAAGGAGCCATGGGCACAGCGAAAGAAACGAGCAAAGGAAACAATCTCTATGTCGTGGAATTCACCGCAAAGGTCTGCAAGTCTTGATCATAACTCAATCTGGTTTGATCAAGACTTAAAGGCAGTTCCCTTTAGGTCACGCTAACAATCGTTGTTTAATCTCGCCATGACTGTGTGGAGAGCGGTCGAGACTGGTGAGTTGGTTGTGAGCGAGGAGCTGTCGTCGTTGAGGAAGATGTACGATGTGGGTTTTGAGCTTGGAAAGGGAGGGCAAGGCACTGTACACCTTGTAAGCTTTAGAATGGGTGGTAAGTTGCTAGCGGCTAAGAGCTTCGAGAGGTCGGGTGAGAGAGAGAAGGAAATCATGCTCAAACTCAATGGCTGCCATGGTACACTAGAGATCTACGACATGGTCGAGGAGGAGCGCAAGGGCCGCTGGTGGGGATCCCTAATCTTGGAGCTCTGCTCGTGCACGCTCCGGGACAGGCTAAAGATGGTGGGGAGGCTGGCGGATGACGAGGCGGCGTTTGTGACCAAGAGCCTGGCCGAGACGCTGAGGGAGATGCACAACCTTGGGGTGGTGCACAGGGATATGAAGCTGGAAAACGTTTTGCTGACGCATCCAGCGCAACCTTACGAGGTGAAGCTGTCTGACTTTGGGGTTGCGACTGACCGGGCCGACGAGATGCACCACCTTTGTGGCACCCCTGGGTATATGTCGCCAGATGTTCTCAGGGCTGGTGAGGGCGGATGGCCGAAATACTACACTCAAGCGGTGGACGTTTGGGGGCTCGGACTCATTCTATATGAGCTCCTTAGCGGAAGGGTGGCGTTCCCTGAATACCACTCTGATTATGTGGAGTTATTGCTGAAAAGCGTGGACAATGTGGAGTTTGCATTGGATTGGAGTGATGTGTCGAGCGAGGCAAAGGATTTGATCATGGGGATGTTGGAGGTTTATCCGAGCCGGAGGCTGACGGTGGAGCAAGTGCTTGGTCACCCCTGGATCGTGAACAACACCAGCGAGCTGTTTACCAGGAACTTGATTTGCAAGATTATGTAAGAACAAGACACAAAGAAACTGTTTGTAGGTTATCGGATCCCCATGTAAAATCAAGTGACACTTGCCATTTTGCAGAGATTTGTTTCACGTTGCTATTCATGTAGCAAAATGCCAGATTCAGTTTGACAAAACAAAGAAACGTATACATATGATTATTTGTGGCAAGTCGCTTATCGTGCGGCAAATACCGATTCAAGGCATTCCACGGAATCTAAAGAATATATAGTGTGTTTTGCTGGTCGATCAAGGCCATGTGATCCATCTTAGCACTCCCATCATCCCGCTCAACAAAATCAGCAGCTTGCAGGGAAAGGACTTTGAGTTTAATGGAAGAAGTGGAAAAGATTGCAGAAGCTAATGCTGTCCCCAACACAGAAGCATTGAAGTTTGCCAAATTGCTGATTACGCCTTTCACTTTTGTGGCTTCTACATGCCTCCAGTCAGGAATCTCCCTCATCAAAGAGAATGCAACGCACGTGGAGAAGGGGCGTTGCTTCCACCTCTTTATGGCTGCAACCATCTCGGTATTTGGATTAGCAGGGTGTATGATAGCAATTGTTGATAACAAGGAAAGAAAAGCTCAGGAGCTCGACAATCTCATGTCCTCTCTTTGGGTGATCTTCTTTTCAAGCTTGTCTACGATGATGTTGCCGCTCCTCTTCAGCCTCCTGTATGTGGTCTACGATTTCATCGGAACCAAGGCATCGTGGTCAATATTGAGTGCATATTTAGCTTTGGTCGTTGTAGTCTTCACTGGTTCCTACGTGAAAAAGCTGTTCCAAAGGATGAGGATTCCTCTGAAAGGCACTCCTGTCATTTTACTTATCATTTACAATTTCGTTGTTACAGAGATTGGTTTTGTTTTTTTGCTCGTTTCTCTCGCAGTGCTGTGGCTCCTTCAAACCTTATGGTGCCTCTGACAATGGTGAAAAGAGCTTAAGAGGGGGTTGCCAATGTCTTCATTGATCGCATAGATAAGAAAATGGAGGATGATGATGTCGCTAATGCTCATCCATTTCTTAGATACATGGAAAAATAGTGGCATGAATCTTGGAAGATTTTGATGAGGGGTTTTAAAGGTTTTAGTAGCTGCTCGTGGGCCAGCTTCGATGATTCTTTCCCGTTAGCCTCATTAGAATTAGCAATTGTTGCCCCTTCTGCCATGAACTTAAACGTGAAAAAAGTGAAGCAGAACCTGGTTCTTGGATTTTGTAGGAGACTAAAGTGTGATCCAGCTGCGAGGTTTAAAGGTAGATAACTAGTATAGGATCTCATTCCTTGTTTTTCCTTGTTATAGATTATATGGGAATTCAAATTTTTGTAGTCTATGCCCTGTATGGTGCAGCTGGGACTAATATGAAATGCACAGTTCTATACTTGAGAGATTGAACAAATTATCCTTGACTGTTGTGTCGAGAAACCAACGACGACATGCACGAGCTCTTCCTGCCAAGTTTTGTTTCACAATCTCGTCCTTCTTCAGCCTCGGACCAGTGTTAATGGATCGACGCTCACGTATTTCACGTGTTGTTATACCAAATGTAAACTCTTGATTTAAACCTCAAAATCTCAAAAATCTCAAATTAAAGTTAAGTTATGCTTTAACAATGCACATTCTTATTCCCCCGTATCTAGCCAGGGAAAATATCTAAAGAGTATTTCTAATATTCCAAAAGTAACTACCAATCACACTTTGCCAATCCAAATGTAATACGGCACCTTCAGAATAGGAACGTATGGGATTTTGCCAAAGCTGTTATCCTCGTAGACTGAAGAAAGATTGTCAGGTAGCATATCCATTGAAAAGAAAAGCCTTTACCAGTTGCAAGTCGATGCTCGAGATATTGTCGTTGTTCAGGTCCCAAGTCAATACAATCCAAATCAAACACGGCCCTCCAAAACCAACGACGGAGCCAAGAGTGCTGCCGCTCGGGCTTGTCAAACTTTGCAGACGTCGTGAAATCGGCCACTCCCACGATTCCATCCACGTCGAGATAGGACAGAGCCCGGTCTATCACCTTGATAAACTGCGGTATCACTGTCATGAACGACGACGAAGGAAAACTTGAGTGTCACGGCGAGCTCGGAAACAAAACAAATGTGAAAGAGTCTGCTCTCGCTTACTTGACAGGGAGTACGAGAATGTAACGAGAGTTGCGGGAGCCGGAGGCCGAAACTCGCAAGCGTCCTCTTCAATCACCTCGACGTTGGTCCATCCGAATCCCTCCACCTTTGCGGCAGCCACATCGCACAAGGCGGAGCAAAGATCAACCACGTAAATATTCTGGAAAGCCGAGAGGTCCAGGCACCTGGATAGCATTCTCACGTTCTCGGCGGTGCCCCCTCCCAAATCGACCCACACCATCCCGGATCGTCCCTGGAGCCGTGACGCACACTCAACCAGCATTTGTTCTCTCCCGTGGAGAAAGCCGGCACGAAAAGCGTCGTCTGCAGTTAACCATCATCTCAGTCCTTCCTCTCTCTCAAGAGAAAAGAAGCAGACAAACGAAAGAGGATACTTACATGCCTGTGCCTGCGAGCTGTAGAATGCCTGGAGCCGCTCCTTGTGAGTGTCACCAGTGATCCTCCCAAACCACATCGCCGCCAGGCACTGCATGTCTTGTTTCACGCTGTGGACCATCTGCGCCATAGCTGAGCTACAATCACCCAAAACAGGACAAGCTTTAAGGGAGAGAGGAAGAGAAAAATATCATCCAGAGTAAAAACAAACCTATCTTGACGTTTTGTTCTTCGATGGCTACGCCGGCGAAATAGCTCCTGCGATGATTGAGTAAGTTGCTGGAAGAACAGTAGAACAGCAGCTCCAAGAATATATCTCCTCCCACCTTGAGTTTTCGAGTTCCTCTCCTCCACTCGAGCAGCTCCAAAGTCAAAAGCCATGGGTGTGGCAGTAGCAGCGGAGTCGGAGAAACGAGGGGCGCCACGCCTCCGCTACAACAGCCCTCTTGTCCAGGTGATCCTCATCGGCTTCGTCTGCTTCTGCTGCCCCGGGATGTTCAATGCCTTGAACAGCATGGGAGGCGGAGGCCAAGTCTCCAAGACCGCCTCCAACAACGCCAACACCGCCCTCTACGCAACCTTCGCGGTGTTCGGAGTCTTGGGCGGCGGGATCTACAATCTCCTCGGCCCCCGCTTCACTCTCCTCTTCGGCTCCAGCTTCTACGTGCTCTTCGCCGGCTCGTATCTCTTCTACAATCACCACCAAGACGCCAAAGGTGACGCCTTCAACATCACCGCCGGAGCTCTCCTCGGCATGGGAGCCGGGCTCCTCTGGGCTGGCCAGGGAGCGATCATGATGTCCTACCCCCCGGAGAGGCTCAAAGGCCGCTACATATCCATCTTCTGGAGCATCTTCAACCTGGGAGCTATGATCGGTGGCTTCCTCCCCTTCGGCCTCAACTACAACCGGCCGAATGCCCAGTCCGTGAACGACGCCACCTACATCGGCTTCATGGTGATCATGTCCTTCGGCTCGCTGCTCACGCTGGCCCTGCTCACGCCCGACCGAGTTGTCCGAGACGATGGAAGCCGAGTCACTGCTATCCGCTACTCCAATCCTTTCACCGAGGGATGGGAGATCCTCAAGTTGTTTCGAACACCCAAGCTGCTGCTCCTGGCCCCTGCTTGCGTCGCTAGCAATTTCTTCTACACGTACCAGTTCAACGGCTTCAATGCGTCGCTCTTCAACGTGAGAACCCGCGGCTTCAACGGTGTCTTCTACTGGGGAGCTCAGATGCTGGGAGCCACTGTTCTTGGATTTCTCCTCGACGCCTGCCACCCGAGGAGGAAAGTTAGAGGATTCGTCGGAATCGCTGTGGTGGCGGTGTTTGGGATGGTTACCTGGGGTGGCGGCCTTGCCAAGCAGCTGGAGTACTCGCGGTATGATCTCCCTCCCGAGCTCGACTTTAAGAGCGGACCTGAGTATGCCGGACCGTTTATCCTGTTCGTCTGCTATGGACTGCTCGACGCTATGTACCAGACGCTGTGCTACTGGACGATGGGAGCTCTCACTGACGATGCTCTAGCGCTCAGTCGCTGTGCTGGCTTCTACAAGGGAGTGCAAAGTGCTGGAGCAGCGGTGGCATGGCAACTGGACGCACACAAGGTCAGGTTTTTAGTCCAGCTGCTCGTCAACTGGGGACTCTTGGTGCTCAGCGTCCCTCTGCTAATGCTTATAATGAAAGACGTCAAGGACTCCTGTGCAGGAGATGCACCACTTACAGCCGAGAGTAGCACTAAAGACGGTGAGACCGCCAAGGAAACAGTATGAAGCCATTGTAAAGTCACTGGAAGGAACAAAACAAAACAGAGCTAAGTGTTTTTCAGCACGTAGAATTCTGGCCAAGCACCTGTGGATTGCCGAATGTATCCTCGTCGCCATCCTCGACTTTCTTTCGCCTCTCCGCGATCATCTGTGTGTATGCCTGCGCGGGAAGAACAGTGAGTGCTACAAACAAAGATAGAACTAGAAAAACTTCTGAAAGTTTACCTGTGGATACGAGTAGAGGAACACAAACCACCATGCTGCGATTACCAAGGTGACAAAAGAAGTAACCGGAATGGAGTGGAAAACTGGCCAAGACGCTCCAATCGTCAGTATTCCTGTGGCTACAATGCTCCAAGGCTGGCACCTGGAAGCAAGTAGCAAGAGTAGAACAAAGGAGGAGCTTTCAGGACGTACCAGGCAGGCTTTGTATCCCAAACGCTCTCGTATTCCAGCGACAAATCTTCCAAGTATCGTTCCATGTCGTCCACGGCTCGCTTTCCAGCGCTCCCATTCCCTGAAGAAAATGCCACAGTTTCCCGCTTCCTCGGTTCCCTCCTGCCAATGGCAATGGGCCTGACATTCCGGCGCTGGCTCACAGACTTGAGACAATCTACGCCCGTGAACAACGAGGGGAGGAGCAACAATGCCGCCATAGCCAGAATTAAAACGAAGCCACAAAATCCCTATAAAGGCAGTAACTCTTTAAAGAAGAAAGCTTCATTTCTTCAAACTTACACTACATTATCGTCACCATTCAGAAACACTGCTGCTTTGCTACCTTCTTTTCTTCTTCTGCAACGCAAGGAAACAAAATCAAGTGAGTGAACTCGCGAAGAACTAGAAAAACGGAACTTGCAAGAACTTACAGGATGAGGTGTGTACGCAGCATCCACTGCTGCCGATTGCTTCTTTTTCTTCGTTGGCGGTGGCTCGTCCTCACCATCGCTGCCAGAGAGCTTTGGCCATGATCTCCTTGCTGGAGACGCATTCTGGAACGTGTTTGATGCATGTGTAAGAACGTGTTAACAGAAAAGATGAAGAGCATTGTTTTACCTTGACGAGCTTCTGGTCTTTCCTTGTATGTCTGTCTAGTTCCTGAATCTCCCTCTCGATCAAGCGGATCAGCGTGTCGCACCGCCTTGCGAGCTCTCCCGGGGTTCTCGACTTGATGAACCAGTCAAATCTGAAAATGGGTGACATGCGAATGGCGGTTTTGATCTCGTCCCAGTTGCCGTATCCGAGTTTATTCGTCATGCAGATCTGGAGAAAACGATCGGTACGGTTTGTGGTATGAAAAACAAAACAAGCTTACCAAAAACCTGTCACATTCTTCATTGTATAGTTTACCCTTGTTCTGACCGTACTGGATTTTCAGCTCTTGCCACGGATTTTTGTATCGGTCCAGCTTCTTCCCAATAGTTCTCATGATTTCATCTTTTCTTGCGATGCGAGCCTCCCCGCGTTCAATGGCTCGCAAAATTCTGTCGTAGTCTAAATTACAGCAGCAAAACAGCTTAAACAATATGTTTCTTGACAAGGAAAAGCTTACCATTGAGCTCTTTGTAGCGTTCTTGAAATACCCTGCAGTATCGTTCGACTTCCTCTTCGGTTTTTCCTTCCATTTCATTTGCAATGCTTGCAAAGTCGAATCTCCCATACTTCTCGCAACCTCTTACAAAAGCATTGAAATCTCGACGTGTCCAAGTACAAAATCCCTGGCAATGCAGAATGGTTAAACTTCATGAACCACATCCAGTGGCAGTACCTCCTGAAGCAGTTGCTCCTTTTCTTCTTGCTCTTCTGCCGTGAGAGGCTCTCCATCTGCTAAAAAATGTTCGGAGAGGACTCGTTCAATTCAAAAGACCAACCTTCAATCTCTTCCGTCTCGGCGTTTCCTTCTTTTTGAGTTTTCTGATAAAATATCAGTCAGAGCTAGAACTTTCGCAAATCGTATGAAAATTACCAAGCGAAACTTGACTTCTTTCTCGTACAGTTCTGTCAGCCGGTGAATGTTGAAAAATTGAAAATCATGTCTATGTAAACGTTAAGGCCCCCAAGTAAAGCAACAGAATTTTACGTAAAGGATACAATTGAGGCATTCGAGGAATTCGTGGCTCTTTAGATTTACTCGATCCACCGGTTCTCATTGCTTGCTTGAAATAATCGGATTCAGAGTAGCTACAATAATCAAGAGCATTAGAAAAAGGTTGTTTATTCGAAGAAAGACTCACTTGCGTTTCCTTTCTCGCTTAGGTGGCTCAATCCAATTATCGGCAACTAGTTTTTTAAAGTCAACTTTACCTTCCTCCTGCACACAGGCAATTTGATTATTTTTTACTAGGCACAACCAGATACTCTGACCTTGTCATCGTTGCCATCAAAGTCGTAAAATTCGGCAGCTGTTAAACGAAACGCTAGATAAGGAGAACACAAAAACGCACTAGAACTTACTGTCGTCCATCTTAAATTTGATGGCGTCCTCCGTAAATTTCTTCATCTTGGCATCAAGTTCAGCAGTGGCTTCTTCTCCTTTTGCAATGATGCGATCAATATCTTCCTCCGTGATAGTGCTGTCATTGGCGCTAAATACCATCTCCGCGCCAAATCTTACCATCTGCAAGAGCTCATCTTTGTTGACAGCTGCAGCGAAACGGAATGATTACAGAGTTTCAAACACTATAACAGAGTTTGAGGAACCTCTCTGTTCGGCTAGTCGACCCTGTTGGATCACCAAAGCATCCAGTGCAAGCTTTTTGTACGCGCGTTCAATGACTTTCTCTTCAATAGTATACTGAGAAACAGAAAACGAGTCAGCAAAGAAATAACACACAAGTCATCCTTTTACCTGCGTGCAAAATCGGAAAACTTGAACTTCTTTTTTCTGTCCAATCCGATGTGCTCGATCTTGCGCTTGCAAATCGACTTGAGGATTCCTGCAGCATAATTTCTAAAACATGCCACTCAGAACAAATCATTACTATTACCAGTCACTGTCATAGAGAATAACGATATCGGCAGTAGCCAAATTGATGCCAAGACCGCCGGCTCGGGTCGAAAGCAAGAATATAAACTTCTCACTTCCTTCTCTGTTGAAAGCCTCAATGGCAAACTCCCGGTCCTCACCGCTAGTTCCACCATCGATTCGGCAAGATGGATATCCTCGAAAGATACAGTAGTCTTCTAGAATATCTAGAAGACGCGTCATCTAGAAATGTGTAGTGTGTCAAGCATTGGAGCAGATCAAGCTCAGCTCATACCTGGGAAAATATTAGTACGCGAGAACTTCGCTGCTTGAGTTTTGGGAGAAGCTTGTCTAGAAGTACCATCTTGCCTGCAGAAGTTCGTTTTGTAAACCTTCAGTCATGCAAATTCGGCATACCAGAGTTTTCCACAAGATGCTCCCCAGTGAAATACGGAGGCCCAGGTTCGGCACCCTGGAAGAGGTATGGATGGTTGCAACATTTACGTAATTGCATGGCTATGTTTAATAACCGTCTACGCTCTCCGCCTGTATTAATAGCGTCGATGTCTTTCTGAAGTAAAGCCTTGTAGTAATTTCTTTGCATCTGAGACATCCCAACTTTGAGGATTGTCTCCTTCTTTGGGGGCAATCCTCTTTCAACATCCGACTTGAGACGTCTTAAGAGAAATGGGCGTAAGACCTGAGAAAAAGTGTTACTCATGGTTGATTTATAAATGCTGGATAAGTACCTTGTGAAGTTGCTGAATGACCTCCTGCTGATCATTTTCTCCAGAAATCTGAAACCACTCGTCAAAGGTCTCAGCAGAGCTAAAGATTTCGGGCAGGAGAAAATTCAAGAGCGCCCACAGCTCGTGCAGGTTGTTCTGTGGTATAAAAATGGGAAAACAAGGAAAAAGAGTAAAATAAAATAAGCACGTTCACAACTATCTTGTACCTGAAGCGGCGTTCCAGTAATAAGAAGCCTATAGTTTGTGGAGAATAAACGCATGGTTTTCGCAAGCAGAGAGTTTTCATTCTTGATGCGATGAGCTTCGTCGATGATGATGTAGCGCCAACTGAATTTCTTCAAGGCCGCCCTTTCTTTTATTGCCATTTCAAAGCTTGTTACACAAACATCGAACTTGCCAGCAACAAGCTGATAATCCCTTTGTTGTGCCTGCAATACAAGTAGACAACTGTTGAGCGCACAAAACAAAATAAATCGAGTTTTATTATTACCCTTTCGTCTTGAGTTCCATGAAATTTGAAAGCCCGAAGCACGGGACAGAACCTCCGTATCTCATTCATCCAGTTGCCTAGAGTTGATTTCGGTGCAACCACCATATGTGGACCTGAAATGCCTCTGGACTCGTGGAGGTAAGCCAGAAGAGATATCGTCTGTAACGTTTTGCCAAGCCCCTGCAGTCACAGAGAAATTTTTTTGAGACAAATCATAGAACTAACAGAACATTTGCTACCATTTCGTCGGCGAGAATTCCATTTATCCCGTTTTCGTAAAGCCTTATCAACCAGTTAAGACCCGCAAGTTGATAGTCCCGCATTTTTCCAATAATGCCTGAAGCAGTAGTTAGTGAATCGTAAACAGCAAAGGAAGCACTTACAAGCTGGTTGTGCGACGAGCCTTGTACCTCCGGAACCCCCTGCTCCATCACCCAAAGCAATTTCTTCTTCCTTCAAATACTCAGCGTCCTCCTCTTCTTCTGTCATCTTCGACGCATGTCTACCCCTAATGAGCAAAACAGTCGTAAGAAAATGCTCACGAAAAATCTCATGAACCTTACTTGCCGCCAGCTTTTTTCGCTTTGGCTTTCTCGGCTCCCTGTGCAAAGTGAGCAAAAATCTCCGTTTGCTCCAACAGAAACTTGAGCCGGCCCTTCGCCTTCGTTTTCTGAACAAGAAGGAAAAAAACGTTATTCGTTTCAAAGCATCCAAAGAACAACGGAAACTTGCCATGTCCGCATCAACGAGGGAGTTTTGCTTCTTGAGAAACTTGTCCACTTCTTTCTTCTTCTTCTCCTTGAGCTCCTTGAGCCTCTCCTTCTCCCTCCTCGCAATCTCGCGCTTGGAAGGCGAGCCAAGCTACGCAGAGAGAAAGCTCGCACCGATAAACATCTCTAGCTACATTCTTGTACGGAAGAACACTCTGACTAGTCTAAAACAGACCTCATCGTCGGAATCGTCGTCCCCGTCGGCCTCGTCCGCCATGGATTCTTCCTCCTCGCCAGCTGACTCGACGTCCTCAGCTTCCACATCTTCTGGCCGCGCTGCTTCTTCGATCTCCTCGAGTTCCTCCTCCTCCTCCTCGTCATTCTGTGGCACTACCTCTTCCTCCTCCTCCTCCTCCTCCTCGGACGAAGGAGAGGGAGATTTCCGGCGCCTCGCCATCGCTCCCCAGCAAATAACCTAGAATGCCGCTCCCTCCCCTTTTACTCCCTTTTCCCTCTTTCCACTACTTAAAGCCACTGGAGAAATATTATAGGGCTTGAGGGAAATGGGCGGGGCGGACATGGGAGGATCCGTGAAGCGAGCGACGATCGATGCTGTCGCAGGCGCTGTAGCTGGAGGAATCTCCAGGACGATCGTGGCGCCGCTCGATGTGATCAAAATCCGGTTCCAGGTAAGGCGATTTCCTCGCTCACAGGCTCAATCGCATCGTCTTCTCGCTTCCCAGGTCCAGCTAGAGCCGACGAGCCGGCGATTGAGCCAAGGATCTTCATCCTTGCCAGGCGGTGTCTCGAAATACACGGGCATCGCACAGGCTATGCGAGACATTTTCCGCGAGGAAGGGATCCCGGTAAGAGAAAAAATCCTTTTTCTTTCTAACAAAGGGATAGAAGATAGATCGCGTTGCATGTGATAGGGCCTATGGAGGGGAAATGTTCCAGCCTTGTTGTTAGTCATGCCGTACACTGCTATACAGTTCGTCGCGCTGCAAGGATTTCGATCCACTTTCTCCAAGGGAGGTCGGCATCTTCTCTAGAACTTTGCATAGAGCATCCTCTTCTTTCGTCTCTTTTACTACGTGCCTCTTTTTTGGCATGCCAGCATCGATTTTTTAGCACCATTGGAGTTTGATCCTTCCTAAGTTTTAGCGGTTTGTGTGCAGGTGATGTTAGTCCCGTCCTGTCGTACGTGAGTGGAGCTGCTGCGGGGTGTGCTGCAACTATTGGATCCTATCCTTTTGATCTTCTACGTACGATTCTCGCTTCGCAAGGTGAACCAAAGGTGAATATTTTCTTTCCCGTGTTTTGCCGCTGAAATATGTATATGTTCTTCAGATTTATCGTTCTATGAGACACGCATTCGTAGATATACTACAAACAAGAGGATTTCGAGGCCTCTACGCCGGACTAACTCCTTCCCTGGTTGAAATCATACCTTATGCCGGGCTCCAATTCGGCTCGTATGACACCTTCAAGCGATGGGCACATGTAAGAAGACTTGTATTTGGTTTCACTTAAAGTTTATCCCTATCTCTCTCTCTCATTCGTTGTGCAGCGTCTGGATCAGTGGAGGGGTGTAGACCGCCCGGAGCTTTCAGGCATGCAACACTTTTGGTGTGGTCTAGCTGCGGGTACGTTCTCCAAGACGTGCTGCCATCCACTAGACGTTGTCAAGAAGCGATTCCAGGTGCGAAGTCTCTGTCAATCGCTTTCGTTTTTCATCTTCTTCCGGTGTAAAAACACCCTTGTTTTCTCTTGTTTTCAATCACCCAGGTGGAAGGCCTAGCTCGTCACCCACGCTACGGTGCTAGAATAGAACTCAAGGCCTACAAAAGCATGATCGACGCGATCCGCCGGATTGTACAGCAAGAAGGCCTGGCCGGGCTCTACAAGGGGACTTATCCGTCAGTTATAAAAGCTGCGCCAGCCGCTGCCATCACATTCGTCGTTTACGAGAAGGCTTCAAAATGGCTAGAGCTATGGTGGTGACGAGGTGATATCTATCTTCTATCACTCACATACATGGTTTTAATTTCTCGTCAAGCACAGTGACAGGGAAAGCACGCACACCACCACCTCTGACAGCGGTGGTTCGTGAATCCATCGCTCGAGTGCTGCTATAACTTCATCGATTTTCCTTCAGCAGATTTCTTTTGTTCTTCCCGAGAGAGGGGGAGAATTTTTGTGGAATTCAACACCGGGACGCTTGTCTCTTCGGGGCTTGTAATGTAAAGATGAGCTCGCACTTTCACAGAAATGGGGCTTGTAAGTTAAGGTTTTTGATTGCACATGGCCCATCTGGAATCCAGCTTTTGGTTCTTGTGAGGAAAATCACTGTGATCACTGCGAAGAAACTATTTTCTAAGGTTTGTAACTCACGTAGTTTTGTTTGTTCTTGGCGATCATAGAAAAATAGCCATAGCTCTTTCTAATGCTACAAATATCTTACCTCCATCCGGTAAAAAATTTCTTAGAATTTGAGGATCACACATGAATCAAATATAGCAGTAGTACGTACGTGTCAAAGTAGCCAAAATTATGAGAAAATTACCTGACAGTTACTGCCAAAACTTTACCCCGCGCCGTCGAGTCGTCGTTGAGCGGAAATTATTCTTTTCTCGAAAACAACGGAATATTCGTCCGGCAGGCAAAGAGTGATGCCGTTTGCACGGCCGAGATTCGCTGCTCGTTTTGGTGCCCAGTCCGCCATAGCCAACGAAGAAAGAAGGCGAGCCAGGGTAGCCTTCTTGCTAGGGTTTCGCATTCTCTCCTACCCCAGCTGGTTTCTCTGTGCGGCTGTGCGCATTCTTCCCTCCCGTGCTGCTGGATTTCGACCATGGCGTAATCGCGTACCAGGTTTGCAAGGCATTGTGATCTTCTCCCCAGGATCCAGCTGATCCGTGGGCTAGATCTCCCGAAAGCCCTGGTTCTTGCGGGGTAGTATGAGATGAGCAAGACGATGGGGCAGGAGATTAACCAGTACGCCCACAGCCCCGTCCACTGGGCCGTTGCCAGGGGCGATTACCCGGCGCTCAAGCGGATTCTCAGTGGCCTTCCCCGCCTCGCCAAGCCTGGCGAGGTTCGCACGGAGATCGAGTCGATCCAGGCGGAGGTCAAGGCCGACGCCATCGCGGCGGTGATAGATCGCCGAGATGTGCCCAACCGGGAGACGCCACTGCATTTGGCGGTCAAGATGGGTGACGAGACGTCGGTGGAGATGCTCATGCAAGCCGGGGCGGATTGGAGCCTCCAGAACGCGCAGGGATGGAGCGCCCTCCAGGAGGCGGTGTGCGCGCGAGAGGAAGGCATAGCCATGATCATCACGAGGTACTATCAGCCCATGGCTTGGGCGAAGTGGCTCCGGCGGCTGCCGAGAGTGGTAGGAACAATGCGGCGGATGAGAGACTTCTACATGGAGCTCACGTTTCACTTCGAGAGCTCGGTCATTCCTTTCATCTCCAGGATTGCTCCCAGCGACACTTACAGGATATGGAAGAAGGGTGCCAATCTCAGGGCGGACATGACACTCGCGGGCTTCGATGGTTTCAGGATCCAGAGGTCGGACCAGAGCTTTCTCTTTTTGGGCGATGGAAGCGACGACGGCAAGCTCCCTTCCGGGACCCTCTGTGTTCTCAGCCACAAAGAGAAGGAGATCATGAACGCTTTGGACGGTGCCGGAGTCCAGCCCACGGAGTCCGAGATCGCGCAAGAGGTGGCGGTTTTGTCACAAACCAATATCTACAGGCCGGGGATCGATGTCACACAGGCCGAGCTCCAGCCGCATTTGACGTGGAGGAGGCAAGAGAAAACCGAGATGGTGGGCTCGTGGAAGGCGAAGATATACGACATGCATCATGTGACTGTCAGTGTCCGGTCGCGAAGGGTTCCAGGAGCCATGACAGACGAGGAGCTGTTCGCTTCAGAAGAGGCCGAGGGAGAGGACGACGAAGACTACACCGATCTTCTAACCGAGGAGGAGAAGCAGCAACTGGACTCGGCGCTCAAGGCCGAGAATGGCGAGTTTATCGAGAAGGGATTTGACAAGGGTGGCAAGGACAACAGCAAGCTTCGCAGGCGCTTGGAGAACGGGGGGGATGATATTATATTGGACGGATTGCTCGACGATGATATGAGCGTAGGGGGTGCTTCGTCTGGCTCGGATATCCACAGGGAGGACAGGAAGAGCTGGTTTAGCTGGGGGAAGAAGAGCGTCAAGCATGAAAACGCAAAGAAGGTGGAGCCGGCAAGGAAGTCTCTCAGCGTAGAAGTAGAGCGGGGTGGCAGGAATAACAGCAGAAAGTCTTTCGACAGGCGACCATCGAATTATAGAGCGGAGGACACATTCGAGCTCAAGAAGGGATACATGGACAAGCCTGCCAGGAAGAGCGTAAGCAGGGAGTCGATTCACAAGCCTGGAAAGGCTGGCGCTGAAAACGAGTACCAGAAGGGATTGAGGCCGGTGCTGTGGCTCACGCCGGATTTTCCTCTGAGCACTGAGGAGTTTGTGCCGCTGCTGGACATCCTGTCCAACAAAGTGAAAGCGATCCGGAGGCTACGTGAGCTCTTGACAACCAAGCTACCGACTGGAACGTTTCCAGTCAAGGTAAGTTTATTTTCTTTTCTCGTTTCTCCAGTTCTTCGGTGACCAAACTTACTTTGTTTTTTCCTTCGTCTCAGCTGGCCATACCAGTAGTGCCCACCATCAGAGTCGTCGTGACTTTCACTCGCTTTGACGAGATCCGCGCGCCGTCGGAGGAGTTTTCCACGCCACTCTCGAGTCCTCGCCACTTCCAAGACGCAAAAGCCAAGGAGGGCGATGCTCCGCAAGCACAGGCATCATCGGCGAGTTCATGGTTTTCGTGGATGCGACCTCACAGCCAGGCAAGCTCGTCGGCGGTGTCGGACGATCACGGGCCCGACTTGGTGGATCCGTTTCTCATCCCCAGTGACTACACCTGGGTGGACGTGAACGAGAAGAAGCGGCGAGCCAAGGACAAGAAATCGAAGAGCAAGAAGAATAAGAAGCCTCCTCCAGCGCAGGGAGAGACAACGAAGGGCTAGTCTGCTTGCTAGCTCTCACCAGTTACAACAAACAAAGGCTTTTGGATTTTATTTTTTGTAGGCGATTCACACGAAATGAAATTCTTGTGTTCTTTCTTCACTTCTTGTATAGGGTGTAACCATACGAATTAGCAGCGATGATGATCAGGAGCGTGATATAAGTGCCCCTCAGAGGAATCCTCATCAGCTTTTTCACGTAGGAACCAACGAGGATTAGAATGCCGACGAGAAAACACGCACCCATGGTCGACCACGATGCCTTCGCGTCGCTAAAGTCGTAGACAACATAGAGGAGGCTGAAAAAGAGTGGTGTCATCATCACGGACAAGCTCACCAAGAAGATCATCCAAATAGAGATCACGAGCTTTTTGACCTCAGAAGCGTTTCCTTGTTCGTTCTCACCGATCGCTATTAGACACCTTGCCAATCCAAATGCTGAGATGGTTGAAGCGAGAAGGAAGTGGAAGCAACGGCCCTTTTCCACTGGTGTGGCATTCTCTTTGATGAGGGAGATCCCTGACTGGAGGCATGTAGAAGCCACAAAAGTGAAAGGCGTAATCAGCAATTTGGCAAACTTCAATGCTTCTTTGTTGGGGGCAGCATTAGCTTCTGCAATCTATCCCGCTTCTTCCATTAAACTCAAAGTCCTTCCCCTGCAAGCTGCCGATTTTGTTGAGCGGGATGATGAGAGTGCTAAGATGGATCACATGGCCTTGATCGACCAGCAAAACACATTATATATTCTTTAGATTCCGTGGAATGCCTTGAATCGGTATTTCCTGCACGATAAGCGACTTGCCACGACTTGCCACAAATAATCAGATGTATACGTTTCTTTGTTTTGTTCTTACAAGTCAAACTGATTCTGGCATTTTGCTACATGAATAGCAACCGGAAACAAATCTCTGCAAAATGGCAAGTGTCACTTGATTTTACATGGGGATCCGATAAACTACAAACAGTTTCTTTGTGTCTTGTTCTTACATAATCTTGCAAATCAAGTTCCTGGTAAACAGCTCGCTGGTGTTGTTCACGATCCAGGGCTGACCAAGCACTTGCTCTACCGTCAGCCTCCGGCTTGGATAAACCTCCAACATCCCCATGATCAAATCCTTTGCCTCACTCGACACATCACTCCAATCCAATGCAAACTCCACATTGTCCACGCTTTTCAACAATGACTCCACATAATCAGAGTGGTATTCAGGGAACGCCACCCTTCCGCTAACAAGCTCATATAGAATGAGTCCGAGCCCCCAGACGTCCACCGCTTGAGTGTAGTATTTCGGCCATCCGCCCTCACCAGCCCTGAGAACATCTGGCGACATATACCCAGGGGTGCCACAAAGGTGGTGCATCTCGTCTGCCCGGTCAGTCGCAACCCCAAAGTCAGACAGCTTCACCTCGTAAGGTTGCGCTGGATGCGTCAGCAAAACGTTTTCCAGCTTCATATCCCTGTGCACCACCCCAAGGTTGTGCATCTCCCTCAGCGTCTCGGCCAGGCTCTTGGTCACAAACGCCGCCTCTTCATCCGCCAGCCTCCCCACCATCTTTAGCCTGTCCCGGAGCGTGCACGAGCAGAGCTCCAAGATTAGGGATCCCCACCAGCGGCCCTTGAGCTCCTCCTCGACCATGTCGTAGATCTCTAGTGTACCATGGCAGCCATTGAGTTTGAGCATGATTTCCTTCTCTCTCTCACCCGATCTCTCGAAGCTCTTAGCCGCTAGCAACTTACCACCCATTCTAAAGCTTACAAGGTGTACAGTACCTTGCCCTCCCTTTCCAAGCTCAAAACCCACATCATACATCTTTCTCAAGGACGAGAGCTCCTCGCTCACGACCAACTCACCACTCTCGACCGCTCTCCACACAGTCATGGCGATTAAACAACGATTGTTAGCGTGACCTAAAGGGAGCTGCCTTTAAGTCTTGATGAAACCAGATTGAATTATGATCAAGACTTGCAGACCTTTGCGGTGAATTCCACGACATAGAGATTGCTTCCTTTGCTCGTTTCTTTCGCTGTGCCCGTGGCTCCTTCAAATCTTCCGGTGCCACCAACGATGGCGAAAAGAGCTTGAGATCCAGCGGTCGAGCTCCCGGCCTCGCCTTGAAACTCGAGGCTGCTACCATCAGCAAAGGAGCAATGCGAGGACTGGAAGCTCCCCAGGCCGGTGTTTGCGAGGATTCCCATGTATGTCCCCATGGATAACCTGGTATAGCCCTTGGTGGAGACCGAGAATGGGGCTGCGAATGTCTGCATTGATCCGGGTCTACCAGCGTTGTCTTTGGGAAGAACGTAGAACTCGTTTTGGTTGATCCCCGTGTCCGTAAACAGGGACTGGCCTTGGAAGGTGTAGGTCTTGCACTGTTTCACAAGAAGAAATTCTTTAAGATCTTGACTAGCAATGCAAAGCATGGATAAGAAAATGGAGTCTATACCTTGGAGGACGATGTTGATGTCGCTAATGCCAGGATGATCAAGAAGATCCCAATTCCAGCGGAGGCCATTCGCCCCAATGTGTAGAATGCTCTAGCCTAGCACTCTCCATATCATAGATAAATAGATAGATACCAGAGTACACGTGAAATACGTGAGCGCATCGATCCATTAACGCTGGGCCGAGGCTGAAGAAGGTCGGTGACGACGAGATTGTGGAACAAAACTTGACAGGAAGAGCTCGTCGTTGTTTTCTCGTGGTTCTTGGATGTTTGTAGGAGACTAGAGTACGATCCAGCTGCGAGGTTTAAAGGTAGATAAAGATAACTAGTATTGCTCGTGTCTGATGTCATTCCTGTTTTTTTTCCTTTATATGGGAATTCAATTTTTTGTAGTCCACACATTTTTTGATATGCCCTGTGTGGTGCAGCTGCGACTAATATGGAATGCACAGTTCTATACTTGAGAGACTGAACAAATTATCCTTGACCGTTGTGTGCGTTCTGCTTCAATTTTTTCACGTTTAAGTTCATGGCAGAAGGGGCAACGGTTGCTAATTCTAATGAGGCTAACGGGAAAGAATCATTGAAGCTGGCCAAATTGCTGATTACACCTTTCACTTTTGTGGCTTCCACATGTCTCCAGTCGGGAATCTCCCTCATCAAGCACGACGCAAAGCCCGCGGAGAAGGGGCGTTGTTTCCACCTCTTTTTGGCTGCAACCATCTCCGTATTTGGATTGGCACGGTGTCTGATAGCAATTGTTGAGAACAAGGAAAGAAATGCTCAGGAGCTCGACAATCTCATGTCCTCTCTTTGGATGATCTTCTTTGCGAGCTTGTCTACGATGATGTCGCCGCTCCTCTTCAGCCTCCTGTATGTTGTCTACGACATCAGCGAAACGAAGGCATCGTGGTCAATAATGGGTGCGTATTTAGTTTTGGTCGTTGTAGTCTTCACTCGTTCCTACGTGAAAAAGCTGTTCCAAAGGATGAGGATTCCTCTGAGAGGCACTCCTGTCATTTTACTTATCATCTTTGGTGCTAATACATATGGGTACACTTTATATAAATAAAAGACTTTACAATTTCCTTTGTTACAGAGATTGTTTTTGTTTGTTTGCTCGTTTCTCTCGCAGTGCTGTGGCTCCTTCAAACCTTATGGTGCCTCCGACAATGGCGAAAAGAGCTTAAGAGGGGGCTGCCAATGTCTTCATTGGCCGCATGGATAAGAAAATGGAGGACGATGATGTCGCTAATGCTCATCCATTTCTTAGATACATAGAAAAACAGTGGCATGAATCTTGGGAGATTTTGATGAGGGGGTTTAAAGGTTTTAGCAGCTGCTCGTGGGCAATGCAGCAACACCAGGAGTGGGCGGGGCTCCGGTCGTGGAGGTCCCCGGCGGCGCCACCCAATGAGCGGCGCCGCTGGGGGGATGCCGGCCCTGAGATGGTGGCGACTCCCTTAGATCACGCTGGTTCTTTCTCTCCTCCCCCTCGCAGCCTCGCGGAATGGGGCGCCTTGATCCTCGCCACCCCTCGTCCACTCTCCAAAGCCCACTTGACGCACCACGCTTACAAGCTTTGGTGCAGTGGTGCTCTTCCGATTGGTGTAGCGGCCGCCATGGATTCTCCCGCAAGGCCAGAGAAGCCTCAGCTGGTAAGATTCTTCTTTTTTTTCTTGAAGTTCTTGTTCTTGCTGTGCCTATAGGTGCATCCAAGGAGAGTTCCAACAGCCAAAGTTCTGGGGATATCTCCCAGCGTTCATATGATCCATAACTTGGCACACATCGAGCTCAACGCTGTGGATCTTGCATGGGACACTGTGGTGCGCTTCTCGGCGTCGGGTGGCGAGCTCGATTCGCAGTTTTTCGCGGATTTTGCTCACGTTGCGGACGACGAGAGCCGGCATTTCTGCTGGTGCGAGCAGCAATTGAACGAGCTTGGTTCCAGGTATTTAGAAACTTGTAGTTTTCTCTTCATTTATCGTTTCCTTACCATAGTTATGGAGATGTTCCAGCGCACAATTTGCTCTGGAAGGATTGCCAGAAAACTTCTGCAAGCGTGGATGCTCGTCTCGCAGTTATTCCAATGGTCCAGGTGCCTATATGTTTTTTTTTTTTTTTTTTTTTCTGATCTTTAGTTCTCCAACTTTTCTATTCGAGTTTCTCTACTGTTTCAGGAAGCTCGGGGTTTGGACGCTGGGCCGAGGCTGGTGGAAAGACTGAAGCAGCTCGGTGATGATAGAAGTGCCAATATTGTGGAACAAATCTCCCAGGAAGAGCTTGCGCATGTCGCTGTTGGTGTCTCGTGGTTCCTGGATGTTTGCAGGAGACTAGAGTGCGATCCAGCCGCGAGGTTTAAAGGTGGATAAACTAGTACAGATCTTTTCTTCGATTTCGTGTCTGATCTCCTCCTTGTTTTCCTTGTTACGATCGATCAGAGTTAATGACGAGCTTGAACGTGGAGCTGAGAGGTCCATTCAACCACAAAGCGAGAGAGGCAGCTGGACTTCCTCAATCTTGGTACTTTTCATCTCATACTTCCTCGAAAATCTCTTTAACGATCGATCAATCCGGAGGTACGACACCGCTATGGATACAAAACTGGAGCAAAAACCTCTGTCACCTCAGGTACGCTCTCGCCAAACTCGCTCTAAAAGCTTCGTACTTTGCTTTTACACAGGCCGGGACCATCTCTTCCTGCCTTCCCGAGGCAAGTTCTTCTCGGTCCGTGATCTCGTCCGTCTCACATTTTTGTGTTCTTCCAGGTTTGCTCGAGATTGGCAATTGTTGTGTCTTCCGAGAGCGACAATCTCCTCTAGAAAAGCTCGTTTTAAGATCCGATCCGATCCAATCCAGCCCAGGTAACTAAAGATCTTTTGCTCAAACTTTACTTCGGTTTTTCTTTGGTTTGAAGTCTCGATCTGGCGGTGGATCCGCAGAGCCCTCAAAAATCCCGCGCTGCCGCTGCTGCCGCCGCTAGAAGAAAATTTTACACCAACTTTCATAAGGGAACGCGGCTACCTTATCTACCGTGCGAATATCCCGCCGCATATTCAGCCATTTAAAGCATCTCTCCAGGACGAACAACAAACTCCGAGAGGGAAAGACAAGAGAGAGAAGAGCTTCACACTCAAGGTCTCATTTTTTCTCTTGAGTCTTTCGATTTTCTCTCGAGCAAACGCGGCAAGCAGGAAGAGGTCTCATGGGTCTACAGGGAGAAGTAAGATTGAGCGATCTCAAAGTGAAAGTCCACAAGATCTCGACGGTGGTTCCAGCCGGAGAGACCGAGCAATGCACGCTCTTCATGTCCAACATCGACCAGGTACTGGCTTACTACGTCGAGACGGTCTACTTCTACGACAAGGGGGGTGACGCCGCGGCGGAACTTCTCCAGGAGGCGCTTGGGAGAGTTCTCGTCCCCTACCATTTCCTGGCTGGGAGATTCAAGCTCAATCCCAAGCTGGGGAGGATGGAGCTGGAATGCAACCGCGAAGGAGTCTCCTTTGCTGCCGCGAGCTGCGAGCTGCGAGTCTCGGATCTGGGCGATATCAGTGTTCCAAATCCGCTCTTCCGCAATCTCGTTCTCCTTCCGGACGAAGGCAAGGCTCTCAACGATGCTCCTCTCATCACAATCCAGGTTCGTTCCTTGTTTTTCTAGCGTTTGTTCTTGGTTCTTCCTTGGATAGAGCTTGGTTTCTTTGGGTGTTGAAATGCAGTTAATGCATGATGATCGTTTGGTTGCTGGCTTTACACTTTTTTATGCGGTGGTTTTCTGTTCTTGCCAGGCATCTCTTTTGCATTGCAGGACCGCATTTAATATCAGCGTGCTTGGATTCTTTACTCGTGAATTTTCTAGTCGTGACTCTTGATCTTTCCTTCGCGTTTTTACGTGAATTCTTGGACTTTGCGTCAGTGCTTGACCGATCTCGACTAAAAAATCCATTTTTTTTTCTTTCCACACTCCAGGTGACCAAGTTTTCGTGCGGTGGCTTCGCAATGGGCGTCTACATGAGCCACGCATCGCTCGACGGCATCGGCGCGCTCGAGTTCTTCATGAACTACTGCTCGGTTGCCCGCGGCGATGGAATGCAAGTCATCCCAAAGCCGGACCGGACGATGCTCGCCGCTCGCTCGCCACCGCAAGTAACTTTCGACCACACCGAGTACGTGAAGCTCAGCGATCTCATGGCCGCCGCCGCTGCCGCCAAGGCCACCGCCTTCACCACCCCGGACTCCGCCAACGCCGCCACCCGAGCCCCACAAAAGCACGTCTACAAGAGCTTCTCCTTCACTCCCGACCGGATCGCCCAGCTCAAGAAGGCCGTCCTCGATGAATCCACCGCGACGATCGACAAGTGTTCTTCGTTCGAGGTGATCGTCGCCCATCTCTGGCAGGCGAGAACTCGGGCCGTGGAGATGGATCCCGACTCGCCCTCCAAGCTCTTCTTCGCGGTGGACATTCGCAACAAGGTAGATCCTCCGCTGCCAAAGGGATTCGCCGGGAATGGCGTCCTCTCGGCGCCTTGCGTGAAAACTCTCGCGCGGGACGTCCGCGAGAACTCGCTGGGCTACTGCGTACGGAAGGTCCAGGAGGCCATCGCCGCGGTGACCGACGAGTACGTACGGTCGTCCATCGACCACGGGGAGCTCTACCGCGGCGTGCCGGCGCTCCACGGTGGGATATTCATCTCCCCGTGGTGGAAGATCCCCTTCCAGGAGCTCGACTTTGGGTGGGGGCGGCCGCTCTACGCGGGGCCCGTGGTAAACGACCGGGTAGAATTTGTTTTACTGCTCCACAATGGTAAACAGGATGGCGGGCTCAATGCATACCTGGCGCTGGAGCCGGCGGAGATGGACAAGTTTGAGAAGCTCCTCCAAGTTTAGCGAGGAAAGCATCTGGGCCGTTGGATCGTTTGCCTTTAAATTGAAAGGAAAAATAGGAAAATGGTTTTTTATCGGACGGTGGACGGCCTCTCCGATGTGAAGCCCATCCCGACCGTCGGATTTGTTTCTTAAACCTCTCTTTGTTTCAAGCTTTTGGCTATGGCGTCCCCATCGTCGCTGTACGCCGATCTCCGTGGCGCTCGAGCGGCGCCCGCATTGCCGTCGCAAATTTCTTCCTCCTCCTCCTCGGCCGTGGCGTTTCCTCTGCGCGCGCGGATCGGTGGATCGCTGAGCGTTTCTTCGTCGTCGATCGGACGCAGGGATCTTGGGATTGGCAAATGTAGCAGCGCAGGAGAGGCGGCGAATGTGGACATCAAGCAAGTGCCGATCGAGAAGAGTGAGTGGTTTTTCCCTCTCGATTGTCGATACTTCCCTTTGCATGTCCTTGTTTTCATGCTCTTTGGATCAGGGTTTGAAGAATTTCCTTCTGTGCTGGACATCAACAAGATCCGGGACATTCTTCCTCACAGGTACAGTGTTTATACTGTCCTTGGCATTTGTATCTCTCTTGTTTGGCTCTTGTTTTTTCATTTGATCTCTCCTGTTTTGCTCGTAGATATCCATTTTTGCTAGTAGACAGAGTGATCGAGTATCAACCCGGTGTCACGGCAGTAGGGATTAAAAACGTGACGATCAATGACAATTTCTTCCCCGGCCACTTTCCGGAGAGACCGATCATGCCTGGAGTTCTCATGGTTGAGGTAGAAAACGATGAGACAGAGAATTTTCTTGCGTAGTTCTAATACGTTCATGCTTTTAAATCTTCTGTCCAGGCAATGGCTCAAGTTGGTGGACTCGTGATGCTCAAGCCCGAAGCTGGCGGCTCCAAGGAGATTTTTTTCTTTGCGGGCGTGGACAAGGTCCGGTTCCGCAAGCCAGTGATCGCCGGTGACACTCTGGTGATGAGGATGAACCTCGTCAAGTTCCAGAAGCGATTTGGCATCGTCAAGATGGAAGGCAAGGCCTATGTTGGCAAGAATGTGGTTTGCGAGGGGGAATTCACCTTGGCAATGGCATCATCAGACGATGAAGCAACCAGCAAATGAGGTTTGGGCTTCTTTTTGCTTTCGGAGCTCATAATCAAGTTTTACACGATATTATTCTACGTTTGAATGTAAATGATAAAGATGGTCAAGCTATTGTCTGCTAGCTCCATCGATCTTATGTTCGATCTTATGCTCTTTAGTTGAACCTTGGAAAATTTAAAACACCGCCGAAGCTTTGTCTAGTCCCAAATGTTCTTCCCTGTAATGTCGACTGATATTTCCCCATCAATTACTCGGAGTAGGACCCAAATTGCGACGCATAATAACAAACACTGCTTAATATGCAAATTACCAAGTAGATTCCAAGCTGCACAACACGTTTGCATGCCTTGTTTGAATGATCCTCCCATTGCATTTCTTTCAACACTGGAGTTTTTTCTCAATAAAAGACTAGACTTGGTCTTGAGAATTTTAGGATGTGCTTGACCAGTAAATGCACCACAATGTCATACGTTGACTCCTGCAATTCTCAAGCCAGATTATGTGGTCAAAGAATGTTTGCTACTCGTTTTGCTTGGCTCTACGTTTATGCTTCCGCTTGATCACACATTATAACACGTCTTTTTCCTTTGTTAAGTTTAGGAAACTAGAATACGCGGCTATCCTTTTTGGATGCAAGTCTCAATCGAAATAGACGTATTTATAATATACAAGACAACAATTCTGCCATACGCGACCCCATGCTCGTCCTCGTCAGAATTGGACGGCCAGACCTTCTATAAAGAAGAAGACAAGGCAAATCCAGCATAGCAATCCAGAATCCCTTTAGCCAGTGCTCTCAGTGATCTACCACGAGCAATATTGCAAGTTTGGGTTAATACCGAATTCACAGCAGTGCTACTTCGATCTATCCATTCTATGGTATCTATGGCCTATCCAAAGGACAAGATTGCCTTCTTGTATATCCACACAGAGAGTGGCGAGCTTGCCTTCATGTCACAGTCTGCGTTGCAATATGTCCCAGTTACCGGCACCCGGAGTGATTTCACGTTTTCTTCCATTGTTGCAAGCAGCAATGCAGAAGATTTAGAGGAGGTCAAGAAAGGCACACGCTCCATTGCTCCGGAGATGAACAGGTACACCATTTCCATGATTGGAGTTGATTCACGCACTTCATGGGAAGCCACAGTCTATGAGAGATACATTGGCAATGGTTTCGAGGGTGTGGTTTTCACCCAGGATCCCAGCCAGGGCACTCTTCAGGAGGCTAGCGAGATGAGTTATCTGGCCTCTCTCCTGCTGGAAAACAGCGTCATGACCAGGGATTGTCTCCTGGAGCCCTTCACTTCACACACACCTCAAGAGGTGGACGACATCACCTCCCAAGTTGTGGACATCATCGAGAAGAATTACATCCACTTTCCAAACCACGACCAGTGGTTCACCAGTGGGGGCAAGCAGAGGTTTGCCGACAAGTTGAGGTACCACGTCGCAAGAAACATTCCGCTCGAGTTCATCTTGCCGGCTTTTCCTGTCAAGTCGTGTAATCCTGACAAGACACTGGGAATGTGCCCGGACAAAGCCGAGGAGCTGGCCATTCATTCCATGAAGATCGTGGCCGATCTCATCAAGGCAGTATACCCTCCAGGCGTGCACTACAACGTCGTCTCGGATGGCCATGTCTTCTCCGATCTCGTCGGCTCTGACGATGCTGCTGTGGAGTCTTATGGCGAGATGTTTTCGGACATGGCACACAACTTGTATCCCGGCTTGGTCAGTTTCTTCCGCCTGGATGAGTTTCTGCTGGACAACCACAGCGAGGACAGCATTACGAAGCTTATATCCAACACCACCGTGGAACATCCCGTTGCTACCGAGCTCACCGCCAATGCAGAGAATGCCAGGCGAGCTCTCATGTGCTTGTTTGGATGTGACGAGTCAACTGTCACCAAGGAGATCAAGGATGACCCGGAGACTCGCAATCTTTATCGTGGCTTCTCCAGATTCATGCTCGAGGACTTGTACGAACACAAGAGCTGCAAGAACCTTCCGTCAAAGTCGGCCAAGAAGAAGCTGTGTAGCCAGGTTGCCTTCCTCATGATCCTCAGGAACCGTGCCTTCTCGGCCATGGTGGAGTGGCTCTTCCCGTTGCAGCTGCGCATCTCCATCCACCCACATCCAAACAGAGGCCCCAAGTATGGCATCAACATCATTCATTCCTCTCTAGTGGCAGCACAGCGGTCCTCCGAGGAAAAAAACTTCCACATCCCAACCCCATGGCACAATACGGTGGTGGAGCTGGCGGATGGCAAGTTCATGCTGCTGCATTCCAAAGTCATCCGAGGTTCAAGTGTGCATGCTGGAGAAATGGCATGCGAGCAACTCCAGTTGAGTCAACAGTTGCTTCTCAAGCGTGAAGGCTATAGAATGATGCTGATGAGATATCCAGATGGCAGACCCAGCCACTACAAGCAAGTCTGCGTCTGCTAAGTTGCTGTTTGATTCTTTCAAGGCTTTGGGTAAATTTCCCAAGTCTAAGCCCATTCTTTTAATAAAAAATGAGTACATACCATTTTTTCTTTACTATCCTTACTGGATCTAGCAGCGTTGTCTTTGGGAGTGTGAGGTCCAACTGAAACGTTAAAGATCTTGTATTGCATCATAAGATCCAGATCTCAATCTCTTTATTTACGCTCGAATCACAATCCAATGTGCATTTTTAAGATTCAAAGGCGGCCGCCTTTTAGGTCATACCAATCCTTTAATCGCCATGACTGTGTGGAGAGCGGTCGAGAGTGGTGACTTGGTCGTGAGCGAGGAGCTCTCGTCCTTGAGAAAGATGTATGATGTGGGTTTTGAGCTTGGAAAGGGAGGGCAAGGCACTGTACACCTTGTAAGCTTTAGAATGGGTGGTAAGTTGCTAGCGGCTAAGAGCTTCGAGAGATCGGGTGAGAGAGAGAAGGAAATCATGCTCAAACTCAATGGTTGCCATGGTACACTAGAGATCTACGACATGGTCGAGGAGGAGCTCAAGGGCCGCTGGTGGGGATCCCTAATCTTGGAGCTCTGCTCGTGCACGCTCCGGGACAGGCTAAAGATGGTGGGGAGGCTGGCGGATGGCGAGGCGGCGTTTGTGACCGAGAGCCTGGCCGAGACGCTGAGGGAGATGCACAACCTTGGGGTGGTGCACAGGGATATGAAGCTGGAAAACGTTTTGCTGACGCATCCAGCGCAACCTTACGAGGTGAAGCTGTCTGACTTTGGGGTTGCGACTGACCTGCACCACCTTTGTGGCACCCCTGGGTATATGTCGCCAGATGTTCTCAGGGCTGGTGAGGGCGGATGGCCGAAATACTACACTCAAGCGGTGGACGTCTGGGGGCTCGGACTCATTCTATATGAGCTCCTTAGCGGAAGGGTGGCCTTCCCTGAATACCACTCTGATTATGTGGAGTTATTGCTGAAAAGCGTGGACAATGTGGAGTTTGCATTGGATTGGAGTGATGTGACGAGCGAGGCAAAGGATTTGATCATGGGGATGTTGGAGGTTTATCCGAGCCGGAGGCTGACGGTGGAGCAAGTGCTTGGTCACCCCTGGATCGTGAACAACACCAGCGAGCTGCTTACCAGGAACTTGATTTGCAAGATTATGTAAGAACAAGACAGAAAGAAACTGTATGTACATTATACATTATCATGTAAAATGTACATAGCAGAATGGATTCCATGTAGTAAGAACAAGACAAAGCTATAATCTATTTAACGATTCTTCCGTAATCATTCTTTCGATGATTGTATGTACATTTGTTTCATTTCTTCTCCGTTGCAACGCCAACGACGACGTTGCTCACCTGTTATCAAGCATCCTCGTTACATTGGTCGCAGGATCAAAACGCACGGACGTACCAGTTTTCCACTCTCGTCAATCGTCATCGGGTTTTCAACGACGACTGTCTGAGGCTGTGGTCGAGGCTGCGGCTGCACAAGCAACAAGAACAGCAAATCATTCTCGAGAAACTGCAAGGAATAGTTACCAATTCCTGAGTTTGGAGCAGCGGCATGTATGGAGGAGGCGTGTGCGGCGGGAAAGGAAACCTCACATTGCTCATCTGTTGGAGAGAAAGATCAGAGAAAAACACACCGATGGAAAGGATCCTTACAGTGATTGGTGTGATGTATTGGCACAAAGCGCATTTCACCGATTGTGCTCCGAACGCATAAACAAGCGTTGTGCTGCATCCTCCACAGTTTACGTGCGCTATCTGGTTCGCTGCGAGGAAGAGAAAAGATATCTCAAGGACTGGAAAAATCTACGAACTTAACTTACCATCCATTGCAACGTTTACTGTGTGGCAGCACGAGCACTGAACGCTCGTCGCTCCACGGATGTAGAGAAGCAAAGTCCGACATCCTCCACACACAAGTTGTGCCATCTCTGGTCCTGGACGTTCACAACTAGAAACCCAGACATCCGCAATCAAAAGGAGGAAGAGGAACATACCTTGCGGTGAAACTGGTGTGATGCAGCTACACAGAGCACACCGGACGTTGGTTGCTCCATGTGGATATATGAGAAGTGTTCTACAGCCACTGCAAATCAACTGGCTTTGAGCACCTGGAAGAAGTTACATCAGCTCACTATTCTATCAATGATTCAGTACTATAGACAGTGATAACTATTTTATCAAGCAATGAAAGTAACAAGAACTCTTCTATCAGGGAACGAAAGTAGCAAGAGCTAAGAACAATTCTACCAAGCAATGCAAGTAACAAGAACTCTTCTATCAGGCAACGAAAGTAGCAAGAGCTAAAAACTAGTCTACCAGTAGAAATAGAAGGAATGACATTAGTTCTATCGATCGAGAACAATGAACAAACCTGGAAGAGGAAGGAATGGGAGAAGAGGAGGATGTGATGGATATGGCGCGATAGGAGCGGGCAGAGAAGGCGGCGTCCATGGATTGCTCCTGATCAAGCTGCTGCTGCTGCTAGAACCAGCCAAATTGTTGGCGGCGCTGGTATCAGCTTCAGCAGGCGATCCAGACGGCGCCGCCGAGCTCCCCAATCCCGCCCCTCCCTGCGCCGCTACTAGCACCACCGCGGCAGCCTCATTCTGATCCGGTGGCGGAGGCGCGTCGCCCCCGCCTCCAGCGATCAACGCACTGTTGCCGCCGAGCATCTTCCTCGCGAATCATTATCCTCTGGAGAAATACAGCGAGAGAGATGAATGGAGGTGGAATCACAGCGCGCTAGGGCGGTAGAGACCTTGGAAGAAATCCTCGCGCATTGCTCATCATTGCTAGGGTTCTTGGGCAGCCGTTGAAATCTCCTTTTTCGCTACTTGCTGACGTGTCCTTCTTTAGTCTAAATCTCATGTTCTTTCTTACATTCCTGTCTTATAATCTAGTGTCCAGTGCATCTGGACACTACCACTACACTGGGTTTATTTAGGGTTCTTCCTCGCGATGGAAGGCGATGGCGCATTGCGAGCGATCATCTACAATCGGGGCAGCTTGCGCCTTCTTGACCAGGTGTGGATTGGATGCGAGCGACACTAAGCCCGAAATTCTCTGTTTTCTTGGCAGAGGGAGCTCCCTTTCAAGATTGTGTACCTCGATGTGAACGATTCGGGCACTGGATGGTTAAAATTGATGATTCTTTCCGCGAGGGATCTCTGATTGAGGTGTGATTTTGGCAGGAAAGCAATCAAAGATATGGTTGTTCGTGGAGCTCCTGCGATTGCCATTGCCGCAGCGTTGTCTTTGGCTGTGGAGGTCCACAATCTTCGCCCTGGCGAGGTCACGACTCCGCAAGACGCTCACCTCCTTTTGCGGAAGCGTCTCGACTATTTGGTTTCGAGGTACGTATGATTCATTGTTCCTTCCTTTTTTCCACTTTGGAATCCTTCTTTTTCTTTTGTAGCCGACCAACAGCCGTCAATCTCGCGGATGCCGCAGAGAAACTTAAGAGAGTGGCTTCAGTGGCAGCTAGTACCGATAATGCTAGCGCACAGGATGTGTTCCAGGTACTCGAGCACTTTGTCCATCCACATTGTGATCCATCCATGGATGCAGGCATACATTGAAGCCGCGGAGGCTTTTCTCGAAGAAGACGTCTCTTCCAACAAAGCGATTGGGGACTACGGCTCGGCGTTTCTTCTCAATGGAGCTGACGAGTCTCGCAAGCTGGCTGTTCTAACGCATTGCAATACTGGGAGGTGAGAACGACCTCTTTTGTGTGTTTTACGTAGCACTTTCTTACTTTCCTGCAGTCTTGCTACTGCCGGGTATGGGACAGCTCTGGGAGTCATTAGAGCTTTACACTCGCAGAACCGCTTGCATACGGCATTTTGTACAGAAACAAGGCCGTACAACCAGGTGCGAAAGACGTCTCGTAGAACTTTGTATTGGTGGTAATCGATAATTAGCAGGGATCGCGATTGACAGCCTTTGAGCTGGTGCACGACAATATCCCCGCCGTGCTCGTTGCAGACTCTGCAGCAGCGTCGCTTCAATCTTCCGGGCGTGTGGATGCTGTCATAGTTGGCGCTGATAGAGTTGCGGCGAATGGTAAGGCCTAGCATTGTGTTTCATCTCCGTGATTTTTTGTTTCTTCAGGTGATACCGCAAATAAGATTGGAACGTACAGTCTGGCCGTGTCTGCCTCGCGCCACGGGATACCGTTTCTCGTAGCAGCGCCATTGACTTCGGTGGATTTGTCTATCTCGTCCGGCGACCAGATTTCTATCGAGGAGAGGTCAGCTTTGGAACTGACTCATACTCAGGGTGGACAAGGACATCGAGTTGCTGCCGAGGGAATATCGGTGTGGAATCCGGCGTTTGATGTAACACCAGCAGCCTTGATCTCGGCCATCATAACTGATAAGGTACATGTCACCCGCCATGCAACTAAAGCGAAAGTGATGTTTTGCTACGTGCAGGGTGTCATTACGAAAGCTGATGAATCCGGCACCTTTGACATTCCTGCATTTGTGAAGAGCTTAGCAACAACCGCTCCCGGAAAAGCCACCACTTTTCGTCCCCTGAGCGAGAACACTGTGGCAGATTACGTGCAAAGTGTTTCGCACCTTGCGAAGCGACTTGGGGGTAGTAAACAAGACTGGGCGGTTAAAGAAGTTGGAGATGGCAATCTCAACTTTGTCTACATTGTTACGGGTGCAAGCGGCTCTTTCGTCTTAAAACAGGTAAGATTTATCGCAGCATTCATCCATTACAATGGCTCTTGTTTTCTCCATCCACAGGCCCTTCCTTATGTACGATGTGTTGGCGATAGCTGGCCATTGTCACTGGAGCGTGCTTATTTTGAAGTTACGGCTTTGCAAGAGCACGGAAAGCACTGCCCAGAACACGTCCCGGAAGTGTATCACTTCGACCACCCGATGGCATTGTTTGCAATGCGCTATCTAGCGCCGCCGCATATCATTTTGCGGAAAGGACTAATCGCTGGAACGAAGTATCCCTTACTGGCGGAACACATGTCGGACTACATGGCCAGGACGTTGTTCAACACTTCGCTTCTGGCAACTTCTACAACTGAACACAAGGCGGCAGGTTATATCCTCGTTTTTTTTTTTTCCATTCACCTTGGAATCACGTCGTCATGTGCAGTCGCCAAGTTCTGTGGGAACGTCGAGCTTTGCAGATTGACAGAACAGGTGGTCTTCACGGAGCCGTATATGATCGCGTCAAACAATCACTGGACAACACCTCAGCTAGATGAGGACGCTAAGTCCATCCGCGAAGATGATTATTTAAAGCTCGAGATTGCCTCGCTGAAGTCCAAGTAAGCCTTTCGTGCTTTCTTTTGCACAGCACCTACATTCATTCTGCTGTTGTTTGCAGGTTTTGTGAAAAGTCACAAGCATTGATTCATGGAGACTTACACACGGGATCAGTGATGGTCACTCAGGAGTCGACACAAGTGATTGATCCAGAGTTCGCATTCTACGGGCCAATGGGGTTTGACATTGGAGCCTTTCTCGGGAACCTTGCTCTTGCGTACTTTTCACAAGACGGTCATACGTCTGACAACAGCAATAGAGATGTAAGTCACTGCTCAAACTTGCAAGGCCTTTAACGCAAACGTCCACCGCTTTTTCAGGAATACAAAGAATGGATATTGAAAGTTCTACAGGATACCTGGAATTTATTCAAAGAGAAGTTCCTTCTCTTGTGGACAGACAAATCCCAGAGGATGGGCGACGCATATCCGGCGGGCGTTTACACGTCGCTTGAGACTCATAAACTGGCCCAGAAGATTTATCTCAGGGACTTGTTCGAAGATACGCTGGGTTTTGCCGGGGCAAAGATGATAAGGTAACAACAATAAGTTCTTTCGTATTGTTAACGTAAACTTTGTGCGAGCAGGAGAATCGTGGGCATTGCACACGTGGAAGATTTCGAATCGATCGAAAACCCAGAGTTGCGGTCACAATGTGAAAGACGCGCGTTAAATTTTGCCAAGGACTTGCTCAAGACGAGGTCCAAGCTCGCGTCAATTGAGGAAGTAATTCAGCTTATCAGAAAAGTGTGAGATAACAATCATACAATCAAACTCCCAACGTACTCAGCTTTCCTGAAAATAAGCCGAAAATCGAAATAAGAAACAGTTGAGAACTTCAAGCGTGGTGATTCACTTACCAGCTTAATTATATTTAGTGGAAGAGAAAATTTACTTTGCGTAAAGCACGTCTTCCCAAGGATGTCTGTAGAGTGGCTGTTTTAATCTCTTTTGATCGAAGGTATGCCTGGCAAAGCACGCGTTGTAAAAATGTGAAAGAAAAGAAGAATCAGCCATACCCGATCAAGCCGATAGTCCTAGCAAGAACAAAAAGTCCGTTGAGGTATCCGATTCCTACGATCTCATCTATTTCCTGCTGGCTGAACATCGCGCAGCTCGCGAGAAGATCTAAGAAGAGCGAGCCAATGGCACCGTCCACGTTGAGCACCAAGTTGTTCGACTTGGATAGTGTGTAACTCTCGACACGAACTGCATACTCCATGTACTTGACCGACGGAAAGAAAGTTCGGCCATAGTGCTGGAGTAGCTCAACCCTCTTGTCACGATTGTCACCTCTCTTAATTCTGCAGGTATGAAGTATAAGAGATCATATATTTCGAGAAACAACGGCAAGTACCTGTGACCAATCCCTGGTACACGAATTCCTTTCTTTTTCATGGACTCCACGAAGTCATATGGTGTCAAGTTCTGTAGAACACGCACTGTGACGAAAAAATAGAAGAAGAGAGGGTTCCACCTTGTCGTAAGCATCTTTGAAGTAGCGGGCTGCATCATCAATAGCTCCGCCAAAACGAGGTCCTATTGTAAGAAGGCCTGCACAAGCAAATAGTTGTAAAAATACAAATGAAGGAGTCACACGAACCTGAGACTAGAGATGATACTAGATCCTTGCCAGCACGGGAAGTTACAATCGTATTGTGCGCGCCAGAAACGCAAGGACCATGGTCTGCACAGAGGATGATACACATCTGCAAAATTTGAACGAAGATTTAAACGCGAGTCTACAAAGACATAACATGCCTCAATGAATTTTGTGCAGTATTTTGGAAGGCTTCTCTTGAACCAGAGCAACGATATTACGTCACCAAGGCCATAGTCCTTTTCAATGATTGTGGAAATTTGTACACCAGCGTAAGTTGGTTCATCACCTTCAGGAATAACAGGCGGACTATTAGCTCTTTGGCCTTCCATAATTCCTAACGAACCTCTGTCATCGCAGATTGTAGAGACAATGTGCGTCGGAGCTCGAACTTTTCCGTTCTTCACAGCAACATGAAGATCTTCCGGCACGGTTGGCGGTTTTGGCTCGGGAGCGGGAACAATTGTCTGGTTCGAAACCTGAGATATGGACAACAATGCGTAGGATTTGGGATCAGAAATAGTACTTGAGAAATACCAGTTTGTCGTATACGCCTTTGACGGCACTTTCCAATCCTTCGTATGACGTAGGCACAATTGCACCGGCCTCTTGAAGGGCCTTATTCTTTCCCTGTGCTGATTCCATATCACCACCGCTCTTAGCACCCTACAAACGCGAAAGAATGGCGGTGACGTAAAGGAGAATCGGTCTTGAAGCACTTACGGCATGTCCAAATTGCACTTCTGACTTGAAGAGTTTGGCACAGGTTCCACTGACCCACGCGACGACAGGTTTCGTCACTTTGCCTTGCTTCAATGCCTCAACCAAAGAATACTCGTCCCTTCCGCCTAATTCTCCAAGCACTACGATCATCTTGATCTGTAAGGAGCAAAATCAAACACAAACACAGCAACCTTTATGATCGTCTGCTAACCTGGGGGATGTTGTTAAATCGTAGTACATGATCTGAGAGAGTTGACCCAGGATAAACATCCCCACCGATAGCGATTCCTGAACAAAAACTAGATTTCGTCAAACTCAATGCAAACTCAAACTCAAATGCTTGATAGACATACCTTCATAAAGTCCATCAGTTACACGCGCTATGACATTGTACATCTCGTTAGACATGCCACCCTGTGAAAAGAAAAGTCGTTGTCAATCAGAGGAAAGATCCATTTTTCCAAATCATTTTACCGATTTTGAGACGAAACCAACTGATCCGGGCCTGTAGAGTTTGGACTGGATTATGTTCTCTAAGGTACCAGCCGTGTCTCCGATTTTGAAAGCTCCGGCTTGGATGCCTCCCACTGTAGCAGGACCAATCACAACCTGAGTATAATCCATTCCATCAGAAACAAACAAACGAAAAAAAACAGGAAGTTTTGGTTACTACTTTGTGATTTAAGGCAGCAAACGCAATGAGCTTCTTTGTGTCAGCTTCCGGAACTCCTTCCGCGATAATCACGATCACACGAATTGTAGACTGCTTCAGAGCGTCCATGGACGACTGAAAGGCACTGCAAGAGCCAAGAGGAAGTAAAGACCAACCAAGGAACCAAAAAACAGATCGATCACCTTCTAAACGATGCAAAATTGATGAACACATCCGCCACTGGATGAGCTCTACACGCAGCTTGAACACTAGAAGAAAGAACCAAGAAACTAATCCACAATGTGATCCATCCAATCCGAAGTTACATACCTCCCATAGACAGGAACAGCGATCTCTTCTTGCCCGAAGAAGAGCTTCTGGAATCCATCCGATCCGGGATTGACAATGCCGGCCACGGAAGGAATCTCGCGGCCTGGAAAGAAATCGAATGAGAGATCGATGGACAAGCGAGAGAATTCTCGAGCCGCAGGACATTACCGCACAAGAAATCGTAGTCGAGCATTCGCTGCACGGGGCTCTGCTTGTAGTTGTAGAAGAGCGCCTGCGTCGTCCGCGAGAAGAGCTGCCCCGTCGCCATGGGAGCTAGCTAGGGCAATACGATCCCTCCCCCGCCCCAAAGCGCGCTCGCGACTCGCGAGTCACGCAATTCGAGATCCCAGACCTAAAAACTGTATCGCATTCTCGCGAATTCGAGCTTTATAAGAGCGATTCTCGCGAGTGACGCCAAACGCATGCTTGTATACCAGCCCGTCAAAATGGTACGAAAGAAGGGTCTCCGGCTCGATTCCAGAGAGCTACCTATAGAGGAGCTACCTTTAGGGTTCTTGAGTAGGGGTAAAGAGGATCCCTCTTGTAGGTAGTGCGCTGTCGAGGTATCCGGGAGGGGCGTGAATTCGTCACGCAGCAGCTCTACATTTTTCGATCTCTAGGGTTTCTCGAGCAGGGAAGGAGCCATGTCGGCATACGCAGAATCTTATCAGCCGGCGGTGACGCATTTCTGCCACGGGTGTAATCTCTCGGTGCGCGCAGTGACCACGGACGATGTGATCTGCCCGTTTTGCCAGGGGGGTTTTGTGGAGGAAATCTCTAGCGATGAGGAAATTCCGGTGGCCGCAAGCACGAATTCCGCCCCTGGCAGCGCCGCTCCTCCTCCTCCTCCTCCTCCTCCGCCAGGGCCAGGATCCACAGCGCCTGAATATCCACCCAGAGTTATTCCACAGCGCCATATGTTTATCCAAACGCTGACAGCCTTGATGCAAGGTTCTTCAATCTTTTTTTTTTTGGTTTTCTTCCACGCATTGTTTACGCTTTTCTTTGCTTTGCCTTTTCCCAGGTGGTGGAGTTGGGAACGTAGAGTTCGTTGTAGACCATGGCGGCAACCAGGGTTTCGCTGTCGACAATGGCGCCAACCCGGGCTCCAACCCGGGCTCGCGCCGCACGTTTGGCAACTTTGGGGACTACTTCTTTGGTGCAGATTATGATCACCTTCTCCAGCAGCTTGCCGAGAATGATTTGAACCGCTACGGCACTCCGCCCGCGTCCAAGACAGCAGTGGAAGGCATGCCGACTATGAAGATCACAGACGAGCACCTGGCCCAGGATTCCGCTCCGTGTGCGGTTTGCAAAGACGAATTTGAGTTGGGAACAGAGGTCCGCGAGATGCCGTGCAAGCATTTGTACCACCCGGACTGTATACTTCCTTGGCTCAAGCAGCATAACTCATGTCCGGTGTGCCGGTTTGAGTTAGCGACGGATGATGCAGATTATAACCAAGCTCGGATGCCTGGAGCTGCTGGCAGTGGCGGAGGAGGTGGTCGCAGGGGCCGAGAATTTCTCCGGGGCCATCCGTATCGGGTCCCCGTGCCTCCATGGTTATTGGGGAGTGAAGCGTCTGGGTCTGGGGGTGGCGAGGAATATGATAGCTTGCGGGATGTGGATTAAGCTCTTGATTTCATCTGATTGTTTTTTCCTACAGCACCTAGCTGCAGCAGCAATGTTTCATTTCTTACATTTGGCACAAGAGGGACACTATAAATGTAAATTGCATCTGTCAAACGAGGATCTTCTTCTCCTAGTGTTATCTGCATTCTACTTGTTGAGAAGGTAAGAGGTTTGTGAGGGTGGCAGTCTTTGTACACTGTCAAGAGCCTTCTGGTTATACTACTTTCGAGCCTTCTTCTTTCCCTTCTCCGTGACATCCCAAGCAGCAGAGCACAGCTTCTGCTGCAATTGCCGCTTCTCCGTGGGAGGCTTGAAGTTGAAACAGCCTGGAAGGAAGCCATCAAACCACAAAAGAGTGAGAACAAGATGGATGAATCTCCAAGCTTTTACTGTGATCACCTGTGTCCGAGGGAGTCTCCTTAAAACCATCAAGGATTGCAATGATGCCTCCGTCCTGCAACGAAGAGGAGAAGCCAGTTCGGGAACCAAGAGGATCAAGACGCAGCCTTACCTTGTCGTGAGCTATGGTCTGATTTCTCCAGTACGCCAGTGGAGGTACAAGCAGCCTTCCTGTAAATGTTCTAGAGCCGTCACCGAAATGATCCAGCTTTTAGTCAAGAGCGCTTACCACTCCTGGAAGTCTTCAAACCATAAGCCTCGATCACCTCGTCTTGCTTCACACGGGACGCTGGCAGCGGCGGGGGCACATTCTGCGAACACATCAAGTCAGGGACATGCACAAGGAAAAGATTGGACTTACGGAGGAGCGCTTTGGTCTCCGCTTGGTACGTTTCGACTGGGCAGTAGACGCCCCGGCCTCAATCTGGTTGTTAGTGCCAGAGACCACCTGCTGTTTCATACTATCCTGTCCCACTTCTTGAGGAGTAGCAAGAAACTCTGATCCTGGTTGCTCAGTTTGCTCACGAGCCTCTTTATCTTCCTCGATAGAGCTCGGCTCTCCCGAGTCCACTGGAGGTGGTGGCGGAGCTTCCGCTTCCTCCTGTGGAAGCTTGTTCTTCCTAGGCCGGCCACGCTTTCCTGACGGCTTCGACAAGGGCCTCTTCCGTCCCCTCGCCGGTGATGGCTTTATGCTCTTCCGCTGCTCGGCAGTGGTGTCGTTGTTTTCAACCACGGACTCGGCCCGGGCCTCGATGGTATCTCTCGGCTTTGGGCTCGGCGGCTTCTCGGAACCTGGCCCTTCGTGGACTTCAGCAGCCACGGTATGTTCCGGAGATCCGGCACCTGCTTGTTTCAGAGTAAGTTCTGCCACTGTACGTTCTCGAGTTTCTGTTCCCACGTCTTGTTCTCGCTCAGTCCCGAAAAGTTCCTCCACGATGGCTTCGGCAGCAACATCAGCCTCACTTTCGGCAACCGGTTCTTTGCAAGTAATCTCTGCAACAGTAGCCACCTCATTCTGGACCTCAGTCACTACTATAATAGGTTCTGTGTCGCCATGAGCAACGGTAGTCTTCGTCTCCACACTTGGTTCTTTGCTGACCACTTGTGTTTCTGTTGTTGGTGATGCGGCTTGACTCTCACTCGCAGCTGCCCCTTTGCTGCTACAGGGACTTGATCCCCCGAGCGAGCGCTTAGTGTCGCCGACTTTCTTGGTCATTCTCGAGACTTCGGTGTCGTCTTGGAGAACTCTCTCCCACGTACACGGGAAACCAGAATAGAATATATCAGCGACCTGAAATTCGCAGTAAGAACCAAGTGAAGAAACAGCCAAACTAGACCAGCTTACCCAGGCTGAAAACCCATTGGCAATAGTTGTTTCCTCGTCCATGGACCCCATCAAACGAACCTCAACTCCATCACAAGTTTTCAGTCTGCTCTTGTCAGTGCGCTTGGCAATCGGGCCAGTCTTTACGAATTCCGAGTCCATCCTAAAGCATAGAATGCTCAACAAGTATCCCGATAGCAAATGAAGAACTTACCCGTACTGAAAGCCACCCAAGGCTACTTGCAACCTTCCGGACGTAGTGTCGGATTCTTCGAGCTTGATAAGAAACCATTTGTGCAGAACGATCTGGAAAGAACGATAGAACAACTCAAAAACAAGCAAAGAGAAAACCGGACGACAAAAAAGAGGAAACCAGAGCTTTCCACAACCAAACTCTCCCTGGAATTTTTTAGAACCCCTCCTATCTCCTCTCTTCTTAAACAAACCCACTCAAACAAGCAAAATCTCCCAGACCAAACCTGGTTCTCCGGTCGATATCTCGGCATGGAGCACGGCCATCGCCACAAAGAAGCCCTGTCGCCGGTACTACAAGGAGGAGACTCCACTGCGATGTCCCTCCGCAGCGTCATCTCCCGCTTGAGCGGCGTGGCCGGGAAGAGCATCCCACCACCGCCGCAGCCACTCCAGTGCCCAGATTCCGCCGCCGCTCCTCCCGCCTCGCAAAAGAATTTGTGCGATTTGCCCCTGTACTCGTGCTTCGTGACGCACGAGTGGCAGGAGCAAGCCTGCTGCTGTCGCGGATCCATGGATCTCCGCGACGGGATCATAGCGCGCGCGCGCCCGCCCCTGCTCTTCACTAAAACCCTACTCCACTGTCAAAGGCTTGGACGTAAACCCAGTCTTGCTATTACTAGAAAAAGTAAACGCCCTTGTTTGTGGAATCTCGTTAACAAAAGAACAACATTGGAGGGGATCAAAACGAATCTTTTCGAGCTCGAGGCTTCTAAGACCGTGGCTTCTCCTTCTTCTCCTTGAAGAGCGCTAGAAGCGAGACTCCAGAGACCTTGACGACCTTGAATCTCACTCCGGGGATATCTCCCACTGCGTGACCCTTTCGCCCGAATCCAGCGATGAGCACTTCGTCCTGGGGAGTTGGATCCAACCGGTGAGATGCGAGCGAAGATCAAGAGGATCTGGAGCAAGAAACTTACATTCTCTTCGATGTAATTCAAGCAGCCATCGTTGGGGACAAACGCCGCGATCTTCTTGCCGTTTTTGATGAGCTGAACTCTCGCGCATTTTCGAATGGCGGAGTTGGGCTGCTTGGCCTCGATACCACTGCGCGAAAACAGATCAATCGAGGGAAATCGAATCGAGAAGCGACTTTGCTTACATCTTCTCGAGGACAATCCCCTTGGCGTGGGACGAGCCCTGGAAGGGCTTCTTCCACTCGTTGCCGAGGTTGCGCTTCTTGTAGGATTTGTCCGCCCACAATTGCGCCCGGCGGTGGTTCTTGAGCTTACGACCGGCTCCCTGTCCGCGCGTCTTCCTGAAGAACAGCTCGGATCAAACAATGGTTTCTAGAGCTGGCTTACCCCATGGCTCCTCCTCCCTGCGCGGCGCTTTCGAAAGCAGTAAGCCCTAGAGAGCGGCTTCTAGGGTTAGGGCTTTACTGCAAAACCGCTGCCGTCGATCTGAAAATATTTGGTTTTGAAAGGACGGCCAGGATTTTTGTTGTATATACTGTGGGATATTCTTTGTACGGCCTAGAAATGAGGGAAAGAACCATGCCTCAACTTTCAAAGGTAACCTTTCTCTTTCTTTTGAAGGGTTTGTTTGATATCTACTGTTTATTTTGAGAGTCTACTAAAAAAGTATAAATTTCAATGTATAAAATGTAATTAAGCAGCTAAGCATATTATAACATTTTCAATGAAATATTTTTATTTCTATTTAATTCATATATTTATATTTATAAATAAACATGCATTTTGATAATAAAAAAACTTGAAGCAGCGAGATATTTATCACTAACAATTCTCACCTTCAAGAGTTTGGTAGTACAAAAATACACATTTTAGTTAACAACAGAAAGCACAGAAGTTTTTCTAGCGAGGAACTTGAGGCGCTGGAGGATAGAAGTTAATTCCTGGAGGGATTTGAAGCGAGTGATACGACGGCGCTGGAGCACAGACCGGTGGTAGCGGAGGGCCTGGCGGGAGCGGCGGGAGTTGAGGCGGCGGCTGCTGTGGCGGCGGTGGCGGCGGCGGAGGTTGTCCCATCCCTGGATATGGATACGGCATTCTCAAGTTAGCGGTGCTCAAGAACTGTGAGTGCTGTGGCTGGAAACTCGAGTGAAGAACTTGAGCTTGTGGTGGCGGCGGCGCTTGCGAGTGAAGAACTTGAGCTTGCGGTTGCGGCGGTGCTTGCGAGTGGAAAGCTTGAGCTTGCGGAGGTGGCGCTTGCGAAAACGCTGGATGGATAAACTGCTGTGCGAGGCCTTGATTCGTGCCGCCGCCGCTGCTCGAGTCGACGAGCTTGGGCCTCTTGTTGTCCGGCTGGAAGCCGAATTCTTCCGGTGTCAGTGACGAGAAAATTGACGAGAGCATGGCTGCCGAGGACGACGAGGCAGCGAGTTTGGCTGCAACCTCCGCCGCTGTGGGAGTTTCCTTGACTTTCTTGCTTCCGTCGTCTATGGAAGCCATGCTTTGGACGACTGGAGGAAGCGGGCTCGGTGTCACGGATGGGAGAGCTTGTGTTCTCGTCACCGGCTTGGCTGGAGAAGAAAATTCCTGAAAGAACGAAGATTTATGCTTATAGGACAACAAAAGAGAAACCACATTTCTCACCTCTATCTGGCATCTAACGAGCTCCAACTTTCTCTCCTGTGCGAGTAAAAATTTGTATTTGTTACAGGAACAAGCACCGAAGAAACAGTGTTACCTGGTCTTCAAGAGCTTCCCTTAAGTAAGTTACAAGTTTAGACCGACTCCTTTCGATGGTTTCGAGCTGCTCGACCAGCTGCGAGAGATTTCCTCGCTGCTGTTGCAGCTCATCGCGCACAGTGGAATTTTCATTTTCCTGGCCTGCAAAATCATAGCGAAAATGCTATGAGAAACAAAGTACAAGTATTCCTCACCGTGGCTGGCAGCCTCCTTGCCTAACGCTTCTATTCGCCGTTTAATAGAGTTACATTCTTCGATCGTGGCTTCTTCATTAGAGAGACCGTCGTTTACATCCTGGAATGCTTTGGCCACCTTCTCAAGGATGCTACCGTCTAGTTTCTGTCACGTAGAAGCGAAAAACAAAAGCTATGATTTTAGAAGCTGAGCTCGGGAATAGTCTCTTACGATCTTTATAAAACTCGAAGAAGTGGTTGGTTTGTCCTTCCCTTTCTCCTTTTCTTTATCCGGGATCTCGAAGTCCGGAACTGGATTATTTCCCAGCAGAGTCTCTTTGAGGCTTTGTGCACGAGAGCCAAAGACTTTTCTTTCCTCCCATATGTTTACCTGTGCAAAAACAATGTACAAACAACGTTAAAACTCCGGCTCAAAGCAAACTAATGACTTACAAGTCGAGAGACTGCGGTGCGGCCATTCTCGTCTCCATTTGCTTTCACGTCCTTGAGAGCCCCGTTCAACACCTTCCAAAACTCCGACACAAACTCCGATCCTTTCCTCCGGCTGTTCTGTATGATGTCGTTCGCGAGATACAGAAACGAGACGCGCTTCTCTTTCGGTGCCGAGAAAAACTCCTTCTCCCAGGTCTTGGCGATCTGCTTTGCTCGCTTGCGATGATAGATGCACCAGTGTGACAGAGCTGCAAACGAAAACCCGCGTAAAGCGAACGAATTTCATGGACACGAACTTACTTTCAATACTTTGCTGCGAAGCGTTTAGCTTGATAAGCTTCTCGGACAGGACTTCCACTGAAAACGCTCCAGTCATCCCTTCGTTTCACGACGCTAGCTCCTCTAGAAACGAGAAATCTCCGCTCTAAGTCACTCGATTTCCACCACTATCACTACCGAGAAAAATCTAGTAAACCAAGCAGCGAGATTTCTTGAGCGAGGGACGCGCTTACCTGTATGCTGCTATAGAGAATCCCTCCATTCCCAGAATGCCCGCCATAGCCACCACAACGAGCGCTCCATCGCGCAAGAACAAGGGTTTTGCAAATGCCACTGAGTAAGACGGCATATTCCGTGAACAGAAGAGGCCCTTGCTTAAGATTAAGCACTCGATAATTATTCGCATCAACAGTTCCTATGTTCGAGAATATGCGCTCGCGTATCCTTCCTTCGGTTGCTAATCCTGGGGAGTGAAGCTGCTCATCACATTTATTAGGGATGAATCGCTTATGCGGTGGCTTTTGGCGATCGTTCTCTCCCTTCGTACGAGCACTCTTCTTGAGCTCCCACGATCGGTAAAGAGGGATTCTCCAAATCTTGCTCGCAGGAGTGCCAGCGGCATCGCGGCGGCCGATATTATGGATCTCCCGGCGTCGCCAAGCAAGGATTGCGGCAGCAAGAAGCACGTCGTCGAGGTTTTCGAGCCCGGATCGTTCGAGCCGTCGGAGCATTTCTATCCGCGGGTCCTCAACGCGCAGATTCATCCCCTGGTGCGATCTTTCATGGCCCTGGGCAACGATCGCATCAAGAAACGCTACTGCCATCTCCACCCGGAGGCAAACCATGACGCCGTGGCCAGGGCCTTGAGCTTCTCGACCAGGTAGCGCTTCTTTGTTGTCAATGTAGCTTCTCTAGAGAGACTCTTGCGATCGTCTTAAAGAATTCTTTCCCAGATTCTTCCAGTGGGGAGGGGCGGATTTGTTTTCCACGACTACCGAGCACGGGCAGAAGCGTTTCGTGGTCGTCGAGACGAACTCGTGTCCATCCGGCCAGAAAGCCATGCCGCTAGCCAACGAAGAACTCGAGTTTGCTGGCTACCGCACGCTGCTCGAGAAATCTCTCATGCCATACATTCGCGCTGGGAGCTACAATGGTCACCAGCTTCCAGAGGGCAGGCTCGCGGTTTTATACGACAAGAACAGGATGGAGTCGTCCGGCTATGCTGCTACGCTAGCCGAGCTCGCGGGCGAGCCAGTTTTCCTGGTTCCATGCTACGAGGACGATCCCGATCCTTTGATGAAGTGCCGCGAAGATGGTATTATCATGATCAACACCGCCAAGCTTTTGTGGAGGTCTCGCGAAGAAAACGGCAGTGGTGGTGGTGATAAGAGCTTGTTCGTTCCAGAGCCCGTGTGGGAGCCTGTCCGAGCGGCACTGAGATATGTGACACAACGTCCATGGAGCAGAATTCCACCACTCACGCGGACTCTCGTCTTTAATCCAATCCTCGCGTGCTTGGCTGGTGGAAGGAACAAGATGCTGGCTGCCAAAGCTTATGATCTCCACAATGCCGAGATAGCTGCGAGTGGCCTGAGCATCCTGACTCCGGATACTATATGGGACGTTTCCAAGACCGAGATTCCGCTTTGGGTCCGGAGGATGGGAGGACTCGCCGTCGTGAAAATTCCTTACGCGAATGCCGGTATTGGCGTCTGGACTATCACTCACGAAGGTGAGCTTCAAGAGTTTATGGGAATGGACCATCGCTACGATCGCTTCATTGTCCAGGTAAGAGCTTTCAATTGCGAAAACTTGAATTCACTGGTGTTATATGTTCGCAGGCTTTGATCGGCAATCACGGTTGGAGCAGCTTAAATCATGGTGGACGTCTCTATCATGTCGGAACAATTCCAAATCTCAAAGGGAACATTTATGCCGCTGATCTCCGGCTCATGGTTGGCTCATCCCCGGAAGGCTTTTTCCCTGTGGCGATTTATGCTCGACGGGCACGGCTCCCTCTGTCCGAGAAGCTGGAACGAGGAATGAACTCCTGGGACATGCTCGGGACAAATTTGTCCGTCAAGGTATGTGATGTCCTAACATTCTTGTTTTTTTATTTTTGAAAAAGCTGACGACGACCGAAACTTCTCTACCTTTTTTATAAGAATCCTGACGGCACCTGGGGAACTGAAACGGAGCGACTGCTTCTGATGGACAGCAGAGATTTTAATCGTGTCGGGATCGGGCTAGATGACTTGATAGAGGCTTACATGCAGGCAAGGAAGATTTAATCTTGTTTTCTAAAGAGTGTTTCTTTGTCTTTGCTAGACTGTGCTAGCAGTGACCGCCATCGATGGCCTGGCTTGCAAGCTTATAACATCAGAGGTAACGAATTCATCTCGTTCCAAGTTTCTCCCCGCGCTTCTCTGAAGCAAAACTTACAGGGAAATTTTGGCTTGAAGCTGTTCCAGTCCTTAAACCCGGATCCCAAGCTCTTGGCGGAGATGTATCCAACAGAGCTCAAGCCGCCCTTGGCCGCGAGTACTATGGAGCAGCAAAGCGCCGAGTGTAAAGAAAATCGAGAAGACGAAGAACAACCTCTGCAATTGGTACGCATGAGAATCGAGCCATAATTTTTTTTCTCTCTCTCTTTTTTCGTTGTTCTTCCATCGTTGATGATGTGTGATTTTCAGGTGGCAAGACAAAAGCCTCTTCCAGCGCTTGCAGTCTTTTGACACTTACAAAGAGTATAGATAGAACTACTATGATGAAAAATCACTACATAGTTACGTCTAATGGAGAGCTCCAAGTTCTTTTGACGCTTTCTCTATCGTCGAAGAACCAGGATACTTGTAAATATTTGGAGTACAAAACTTTTCATCTTCTTACCAGGTTGCTCAAGTATTTACTTTACTGCCTTTTGTGAGTGGCACGTTCGTAAGTAGTGCTTAGGGTTCTTCGACGAGAGCGCGAGGAGCCGCATCGGCGGCACGGGAGATGATATCAGCTTGCGCTTGCGATTTTTCATCTTCAGTGACCAGGTGAGCTTGGCGCTGCTAGAAGTCCCACGAATTTCCAGTGATTTCGTGCAGGATCGTGCGAGGGAGTATTTCGATCCGCGCTTTGTCTTCGCTAGCAAGAGTAAGCCTTCTCGATCGGGTTTTACCCTTCTCTGATTCATCCATATTGCAATGACAAGGAAGGATATGAATCGTGAAGTGGATCTAAGAGCTGCATTGGGTGTGGTACGCGCCGAGAAGAGAATGAGAAGGACACAAAATGCAGGTATTTCTTTCGTGACTTTCTCGGAGATTTTCCAAAGCGATTTGTTTATCAGATTGAAGCATAGAGATATTTGCAGTGCCGACTGGACAAACGATGAAGCACCATGGAATGCAGCTTTGGAGGCCCAAAGTTACGGCTCAATGTGTATCTTCCGGTAAGTTGGCACAGTTTCGGTCATCTGATATTCGCTTGATTTGTTTAAGATGCTGGAACTTTGGAACCAAATGTTGTTACCAGCACGGGATCCTTGGACCAACTTACAGCCGTCTTTGAAGATGTCACGAGCAACAAACCGGAGAACAAGTTCTCGGCTTCTGTAGAGGTATGAGCCAAGAACTGAATGTTTTTTCTCAAGTAGATGACTCTTATAGGTGAATCAAGCGGTTATTCAGTCAATCAAAGCGAAAAGGTACTACGCTATTCGAAAAATGCCTTGAACATCCGTGAATATCAGAAACAAAATGAAGCGAAAAATTGAAGCGGAATCCAATACCTCGTTGACATTTTCGAAGCAAAAATCAGGATTCTACATAGGTCAGCATGACTCCCTTGGTAACTTTTTATTCTTTTTAAACTTCTCAATTTTAGTTGTTGAGGGTCTGTCGGACGAAGCCGTGCAGCAAGCTACAAGGCTTTTACAACCGGTGATAGACAAGGTATTAGTACCTTTCGAGTTCATTTTTGTGTCTCATGGAAAATTGTCAGAAAGACACCAAAGCTGAGTCAGTTACGGAAAAGTCTGCTAGCAGTAGGAGCTCTTCTCTGAACCCAGGTAAATGCCTTTGCTATTTATTTTTTTTAATTTGGAAATGGATTGTTCTAGCTTCGACAAAACGATTAGCGAGTGGGAGTTTGCAATGGATGCCGAAAGCAGGCAATTTCTTTCTCTCTTTTTTTTCCTAAAAGCTGATTGTGCGCATTATGTGCTAACAGTGAGAACCATGCACACCGTAGCAGATGAATGTAAAGATGTCAGTGATGTCGAACCTAACGACAGCGAAATGGTCTCTGGCTCTATACAGGTATACTGCATTTCATCTGCTCTTCCGGTGTTGATGCTACTACTTTTACAGGTTGACAAGAAGCTGCTACGTCTAGTTAAAGGACACAAGTAGGTTCATTGTGCAGTTGCGTAAGCTGATCTTATTGTTACTCCGCAGGAATGAAGTCAAACAACGGATTGAAAAAGACACAAACACAACCATACGCTTCGGAAACCCTGTCGGTATGCCTATTCGTTATCTGTAAGATATTTTCACGCTAGCGCCTGGTGAGCTTTTGTTTTAGTTGTGGAGGGGTCTTCCGAGGATTCGGTAAATAAAGCGCTAGAGGAGATACAAAGAATAGTTGAGGAAGTAAGTGTAAGTCGATATTCTTGTTCATTTGCTGACACATTTTTACAGGGTGTGAACGACGCGAAATTTCAGTACTCGCATTTCCTTTCTCTGCCACTTAGCGTCCATCCTTCTCTGGTCCAAAAACTGGAGGCCTTTCAAGAATCCGTACTAGTATCGCTGGGAATTCCTCTCGTTGATGAAGAACAAACAGCAGCAGCTGATGCAGAGGAAACACCAGAACAGGAGGCGCCAGAAGAGGAAGCAGCAGCTGCAGCAGCAGAAACTGTGACTTCCGGAGTGGAGGAACATGTGGATGATACTCGCTCGGTCGAAGCAGCAGTAGAGGACGCGTTTCGTCAGTCTGTCCTCGGTTCGTTGGGTATGCAGCCAAATGAAGGAGATGAAACTGATGCCGCTACTCAAGGAACTGTACTTTCGGAGATACAAGTCGAGGAAGAACCAGCAGCCACGGAAACCGTAGGCGAGGAAGAAACAGAATCAGGAAGTCAGTTGCACGTAGAAGATGAAACACTGGCCACTGAAGCCGAGGAAACTGTTGCTGAAGAGGTAACGGAAACAGATAACACCGCCGCATCAGAAACCCTGGAAACCGTAGCTGCTGACGAGGATACGGAACAGGAACAGCAAAATGCTGTTTCTGAGGTGCGGGTGGAAATGGAAACAACCGCAGATTTGCCTGAAGAGAAAGCGGAAGGAACCGAGCCACTGCAAGACGTGCCTCTAACGCTAAAAAAGAAGAAAGGTCTGTGATTGTTTTTCCTCTCTCAGCTAACCGTAGCCGGTTTCGTAGATTCTGGAGTCGAGAAATCGATCTTTATCAAGCCTACGAGATTTCACTTGACGGTTTTAATGCTGAAGCTCTGGAATGAAGAGCGCGTGGAGAAAGCCCGTGGCGTTTTGGAGGTAATCAAGTTCATGCACGTAAATTCTCGGGGTTTTCTTAACTCGTTTCTTCTCTCCCAGAAATGCTTGCCAGATGTAGCTGCAGCTTTGGACGAAAGACCGGTCTCGGTGTCCTTGAAGGGATTGGTATGGAATATCGTCCTTGTTCTGCTTTGGAATATCGACTTTGATTTTTGCAAAAACAATTGCAGGAGATCATGAGGGGAAGTCCCAAAAACACGCGTGTGCTGTTTGCAAAGGTGGCGGACGCTGATGGTGGAAGTCGACTTTCAAAAGTTTGCCGTATCCTTTCTTTTTTGCCTTTTCTGCACTTTAGATCGTATCTAACAGCTCTTACCTCCATTTCCTTAGCATCTCATCACCACAGAGGTCATGATTGACGCTTTCGTTGAAGCCGGCCTAGTGCTTGGAAAAGATGGCGAGCAAGAACTAAAGGTAGATTAAAAATTGCTCGCTTTTTCGCTTTGCAATTGTTTCTAACGAAGTATCTCTCTTTTCTCTGACAGTTGCACGCGACAGTTATGAACACAAGCCACAGAAGGAGGTACTGTCAGTCATGTTCTTTTTCCTTTCTTTTTGTGATTGTGGGTGTTGACTCTGTGCTGCTCGCAGCAAAAGTCGATACAGGAACAAGGGATTCGATGCCACGGATATCCTCGCGAAGTTTGGAGAAGAGACCTGGGGCGACTACCAAATCATGGAGGCACACCTCTCGGAGCGTTTCAAGTATGATGAGAATGGTTACTACCACTGCTGTGGCTCTATACCCTTCCCTGGAAGCACTGTTGAAACGGGCGTATCGCAAGGAACAAGCCAACACGATACTTAGTGAGGTAGAGCAAAAGAAGAATGCAATTTTTTTTCTACCTGGGAGATTGATTGTATGTGATTGTTTTGCTCCATAATATATCTGCCATGGCTTTGAATTAGCAAGCTTATTACGATATCATCAGCGTTGTTTTCTCTTCGTTGGCATCGTTATTATTGTTCTCGCCACCTGATGCTGGTTCTTCCTGTGAAAAGAATTCCACTGTGTCATTAAATGAGAAAGAACACATTTGCTTCACCTTTGGCTGCTGCAAGAGAGCTCGGCTTTGCTCGAAGTATTGATTTGGATGGTTGATGCCATCGCTAGAACACCCGTGCACGGCTTCGAAAACTTCGGCACAGGCCAGCTGCCAAGGACGGGAAAAGTTAGCTGAGCTTTAAAGCCTTTGTCCCCGGAACGAACCTGGTAATGCTGGCTTCGGGTCTTTTCAAGCGCGGAAGATACTTGCCTGGAATTTAATCCCAGACCACCTAGAGAAGCACGCAATTTGTCCTCGCTGCGTGTCACTAGCAACGAATGAATGGGAGCGTCTTTTTGAAACTGGACAGACCACACCTGAAGTGGCGATAGGGACATCCGTGATGATCTCCAACGCCAGGAGTTGACATGATCAGTTTCACACATGAATAAGGTGTATAGTCCTGCACGAGGAGCCACATGTAAGTATTGTTTCCACAAATCTTAAAGAAACCTACCGTTCGCTTTCCTTCTTTTCCATAGTTGTGACGGACGTTATACGCGTACTCTTTGTCAAACTTTTCAACACCCACCTAATAAATTACTCCCGTTAGATACTCGAAACTTGTCAAGTTTTTGCGCACCTTTCGAGAAAACTCGGCTCTCCAGAATGCCAAGGCATCTTCCAGCTTTAGACCGATCCCCTGCACCGTAGAAACTTTAGTATAAAGAATCAAACGAAAGACAAGCATCTCACCTTTAAGAAGAGTCCAAGTTGCTGCCGGCCGCCGTGCCTCAAATGATGGTCATCACGCAGCTGAAACAACGAAGATAAAGCCGTTAACTGATTACTAGATAAGCCAAACCTGAAAGAATAAACTTCGCATGCACAGTGGAAATGAAGCCTTTGCCAGTTGATCAAGATCTTGCAAAGAGATCTCATTCGATGATTTTGGCTGCGAACGAACGTAAATTGAGCTGCCTTTACAAACATCAATACCTGAGTGTAGTCAGGTCCTAGGTATCGTGTACTCAAAGCCTCAACCATCTAAAAAATGCCATGTTGCGTGAAGTCAACCATAAAAATACTCTGAACTTTACCGGTGCCAGTCGATCTTTCTCTTCTCCAGCAATGAACGAAATCCACTTTCTGCGTTCAGGCAGATTAAATCAGTAGTGTGTTGTAGATATCGACGCTTACCGGTTAGTTAGAACGAGAGCTTTCGACAAGCGAGACCGAAATTGGCCAACAACCAAAAAGCTTAGCTGCAACAAATAAAAGTAATTAAATGCCTTTTGTCAGGAATCTTACTTGCTCTCTGGGAACAAAAGCTTCACCACGTCGAAGATAAACCTTACGGCCGCTTACAAGCTCTGGCACGTCTTCAAACGGAACCTTGTAGTACATTTTAGCTGCACGTAAATGTACAGTATAAAAGATTAGAAAGTGACCGCATATACAATCGAAGGCTTACAGTTCGAAACCTGATTTGTCGAACGCGCCACACTCTCTAAATTTTCCTTCACCGCCTGCAAGACCAAGGGAGTTACTTGGGGCGCCTTTGAAATGAATACCTCAATTTCAGCACTGGTCATTGCTTTGTAAGGCAGATTGCAATCGTCCATAAGTTTTTGCTGCAAACGAACACGAGAACTTGAAAACAAAAAGAGAAGGAAATGAAACTTTCCAGACCTGTGCAGCCGGCATTTCACATCGGAAACGATGACGAAACAAAACAGACTCGATTCCAAGGAACCACCGGCGCAGATCCTCGCTGAAGACACGAGAGTTAAACAATCTGGATATCCAAAACAAAGAAAAACGAAAAAAAATGCCATACGTGCGACAATAAGCTAGGCGCAAGATGAAATGCGAAATCACGTCCTTCTTGCTGGAATCGCTCCCCATATGTTTCCTCCAGAGATCGCTCACCTGGCAAAATCAAAATTTGGAACGCATTACAACGGCCCCATTCTCACATCTCACAGACACGCACCAGCGGATCCATCTCCTCCATCTTCTTCCCCCTCGACCGCTCTTCCTCGATTCCTTTCAGCACTGAGCCGGCAACGAAACGTTCCAGCAGCCGAGATTTTCATGAAATTTGATCAAAGCAACAAACCTCGCAGCCGATCCAGCGCGTACTCCTCAAAATCTTCCAGCGAGATCTCCTCATCGGGCGCCGCCTCGTAGAAACTGAGCTTGCCAGAGCCGGCGCCTCCACCACGGCTATCCTCGCCCCCATCCTCTGCCCTACCACCGGCCCCAATGCTCCTAAACGCCATAGCCGAAACACAAAAAAATGGCGGGAAATTAACCCCATCGAATATCCGAGCACAAGTGCTACGTACAGCAAAAGCACATTTATCAGGATATTCGTTAGGGTTCTTGAGCGCGAGGCGCGCGAGCGAGGGAGAGAGCTAGCGAGAGCTGGATTTTCCCATTCTTAGATGGTCCGGAGGCGGCGGCGGTGCGGCGCGGCATTGGTAGTGATCCCGGCGAATGGCGAGCTTGATCGAGGGGCTCCCGGATGCGATTGCAATGCAGTGCCTGGCGCGGGCGCCGCTAGGGATGCACAGGGCAATGCGGGCGGTGTGCCGGTCGTGGCGCGCGGCGCTGCGCAACGGCGGCGGCGGCGGTGGTGGCGCCGAGCTCTTCCGGGTAAGGTCCGCGGCGGGGCTGCGCGAGGAGTGGCTCTTCGTCACATCCTTCGAGCCCGACCGCGTGTGGGAGGCCTACGATCCATCCGGCGGCCTCTGGCACACCCTGCCACTCTTCCCCTCCTCCATCGCGCGCCTCTCCAACTTCGGCACCGCCGCGCTCCACCGCCAGCTCTTCGTCGTCGGCGGCGGCAGCGACGAGGTGGATCACGCCACCGGCGAGCGCGACCGCCCGTTCGCCAGCGCCGCCGTGTGGTGCTTCGACGCGCTCCAGGGGCGATGGGAGGCGCGATCGCCCATGCTCACGCCCAGGTCCCAGTTCGCCTGCGCGGCGGTGGCGGGCAAGATCGTCGTGGCGGGGGGATTCGGCTGCTCGCGCCGCCCGCTCGCCTCGGCGGAGATCTACGATCCGGAGGCCGACCGCTGGGAGGCCATCGCGGACGTGGGCGAGGTCCACAACGCGGCGTGCTCGGGGCTTGTTCTTGGCGGCGCCATGGCGCTGCTGTACAAGGGCCACTCGCTCGTCCAGCTCTACGATCCGGCGCTGGATTCGTGGACGCTGCATGGGTCGCAGTGGCGGGAGTTCCCGGGGAGATTGGCGGTGGTGGGAGATGAGGTTTGCGGGGTGGCGAGCTCCTACTTGATCCGGGGCCTGAACGAGCCGCAGCTATGGCGGCACTGGGCCGAGTACTTCCACAGGATAGGGTTTGGGGTGGCGGGGATTGGAAACGACTTGTACGTGGTTGGGGGGATCTTGGGGCCGCAGCAGGAGAGCATGAGGATTCACGTATTGAAGGAGGTGGATATCTGGAGCGTGGAGGGTGGCGAATTCGAGAAGAAGGGGACGACGAGCATGACTTGGTGCTCCGGGACGGTGTTGGGCTGCGCGGTTGTGAGCCTGTGATCGGTCGATCGATCGGTCTCTTGATTCTTCGTCTCTGGGCTTTGGAGAGATTGATGATCGTGTAGTAGCATAGCAGCAAAACTCGATCTTTCATATCCAGAGCTCTACTTGGATCTTAAAGGTAAACAATGTGAGAGGTTCTCAAAAACCCTAAAAGCATTCTTAGTCTTTCGCATTAGCAACAAAGTATCTTAAAGGTAAACAATGTCCTCAAGAACCCTAAACGCAGAGGAATATACCCCGTCCAGGCAAGTGGGGACAAGATATATCCACGTTGTCCTCACACAACCGAGAGGGATTTTGCCTCTCGAAAGCGTTGTTACTTTTTAATCGTTGCGCTCTGCCACAACAACAACAACAACAAAACTTTATTCCCATTTTTCCTTCTCCTCTTTTGGGGCTCTCTCTCTCTCTCTCTCTCTCTCTCTCATCGTTGCGCCATTGCCATATCACCACGTCGGAGAGCGATGGTAAGTCTCTTCTAACTTCTCCTTCTTCCCCGTGTCCATCCATCCACACTCTTTCCCTTTCTTCTCTCCTCTTTAATTTTCTTCTCTCCTCGCGCATCCATTGCCGCGGGCGCCGCTGGTAGGGAGGAGGCGCCGCTAGTGTCACCAATCTTTTAGTCATGCTGATGTCGCCCACGCTAGTCCTCGCCAGGTCTCCCCTGTTCTTCCTCCCCCGCGCGCTACTAGCTCCAATCTCCATCTCCATCGTCGCGCTTCTCCTCGGGGGAGGAGCGCGTCCGTGCTGGGCCACGATTCCTTGCAGCCCCACCGTCCAGTGCCCCCAGAACTGCTGCTGTGGAGTGAATGGCTACTGCGGGACCGGGGATGGATACTGTGGAGCCGGGAATTGCCTGAGCCAGTGCCCCAAGAGCCCATCTCCGCCCAATCCTCCGCCGCAAGCACAAGCACCGCCGGTGCCCCCCTCCTCCTCCGCCAATTACCCGCCGCCGACGTCGTGGGGATCCTCCGGGGCTAGCCGCTACGCTCCTCCGCCTCCGCAGTACTTCTACGCTGGCGGCTCCGACTCCAACATTGCCGATCTAGAGTACCACGACATCCATCACCACCACTACTACGTCGACAATGTGTGGAGAATTGTGGGGATCGCGTGTGGCATCGCGGCGCTGGTGCTCATCGCCGCGTTCCTCATCGTCTTGCTGGCCAGATCTGCCAAGCGCCGCAAGAATGCGTGTGATTGCGATGGCGATCACTGATCATGGTAATCCGGTGGGGGGGATGGATCTACATCGGATCGCCCATCTGGACGCGCTTGCGAGGAATCGTCCTTGACCATTATCTTCTTCGGGGGGAATTCTAGCGAAATTTTAGAGCTCTAGTTTTTCGGGGGAGAGCCATTGTCCTAATAATGTTCTGACTCTAGCTCTAGTGGTACCATTGTTTTTGGTAACAATCTGATCTCATGGGGTGGGTAACATCAGTAAAAATTGTAGAAAAAAAAATTGGAAAATTTTGCTTTTGCTTCGCGAAGCTCAGCGCGTCTGTGTAACGTACGCAGGAAATTTCTCAGGCAAGAACAGGGGGTCAATACCTGCATTCAATTAAACAGCAGGGAGTGAAACATTTTGGATTTTCTATTTTTATTTTAGTTATATGTGGCTGTTTTGGTTTTTGTTTTTTTTTTAATATCAAAAGCTATTCTGTTGAAATCAACGTCAAACGCACGTGAAAGAACAGCGTCCAAACCATACCATGCTAACACAGGTTGGTCCACTCACGGCAAGATCAATCAACTCGGGATTAGAACCTACTTAAGCGCTTACTACTTGCCATCCCAAACACTCTGCTGCAATCAAGTCTTCCAGAACCGAACATGCTTTTGCGAAAAGCTGTCGGCAACTAATACACAGCTTTAGGCCTGTATCCATTTTTTTAATTTTTTTTTCCCAAAACCAGAGAAAAGTAAAAAAAAAATTATTAAAAAAGAAAAACATATCACTGGCTGGAACCTCTGAAGCACTGGAGAAAAAAAGGGTCACTTACCTCCATCAGTGCACCAGACAGACACCTACTTGATCGTCACTCTCTTTCAGTACAAAGCAACATTGTTATTCTAGCATCCAATTCTAATTCCGCGACTATAGGTTTTTGAGCTGCTTTTTATCACAAACAAAACCGTTGCTTCCAGAACGGTATTATGGAGATAAATCTCAATCCAAGGACAAGAAACAAATGCAAAATTGTCAATCCAAAAGCAACGGATATGTCAAGCATGAGGTGGAATCGACACCGAGGACCGCAAGGGATGCCAATCCAGGCTCGACGAGATGATTAGGAGTTAAGCGCATATAGACAAGCTCCAAGACAAGGTTTGTGTTGCAACTCCAGTCGCTTTCCTTGGCTGCTGCCGCAACGTCCTTTTTGCTCTCTCCTCTTTTGCTTTCAGCAAAGGCATCTTGGATACAGCTCACGAGTGCTGCGTCGTCCGGTCCAATCTCAAGTCCATGATCGTTTCTTCCATCCTCTTGACACTCTATTGAACTCGTCAAGGCGAGAAAATCGAGTTTACATTTCTGAAATATGTGAATGCTCTAATCTGTCTCTGGTGCTTAAAGAAACCAGAAATGGTTCTCGGGGGCAACATTATATGAATGAATGATTGGATTCATCTGATGCTATAGCCATTATTAGATTCGTACTGAAGTAAATTTTCTTGTTCTAAAACTTGTTTCATAAGTACAGCTATAGTATCAGATTGTAAATCAAACCAGCAAATCGAAAGTTCACATGTGATTGAAGAGTGTTTCCAGTAGCAAGGTGTTGAGGAGCTGTCTCTTTCCCATATCGGGCACAGCGGTGGGACCAATTCTCAGCAGCAACAAGCTTGAAGAACTTGTCAGCTCGCAACCATAGATCTCATATCTCGATCACTGTGAAAACCAGCAAGGAATTACCCGTCATGACAAGAAAGATGCAACTAGATTGAAAACCAGAGCTAATCTCTTTCTCTTGCTGGAATAAATGGATTGTCTTGTTAGATGTCGCGGCCTTTCTTATACCGTGGTGGCCCAGTCGTTGATAATGCAGATAAGTTTTGCTTAGGGGGTGTAGCTCAGATGGTAGAGCGATCGCTTCGCATGCGATAGGTAAGGGGATCGATGCCCCTCACCTCCATTGTTTTGTGTTACCACGTTCAGTAAGTTCTGTGATCCATCGAGTACTTTTTCTATACCAAAACTTTGATCCCGAACTTTTGTCTCTCGCATTTCGAGGTGGCGTCTCCATCTCTGCCTCCACATTGGGGGTAATGCATGGCATGAGCTCCCCATATGGTGCTGGCACTCGCTTTTGAGAGTCTATCCTGGACGAGCTTCTTGAGCTCACCCATCTAAAAAGCCAATTCCACGATCAGAACATGAAACTTTTGTTCATCAAACTTCTGAATCACCATCGTAACTAGAGCGTCTGATAGTAAATATCGACCATTCCAAGTGCTCTGGGGCATTTCTATAATTCAGTCAGTCATACCGTGCCTTTTCCCATCGGAACGTTTCCAAACTTTGTGTTAATGTAGCCAGGCATTTTAGTTAACCTCCCTGAATCTTTCAAAAGCTGAAAGAAAAAAGAAAGGTAAATACCTTTCCAACGTTCGTGAATGTCGACGACAGAATAAAATGGAATAAAATGGTGTATGAACACGATTGCAACGGTTGTGGGAGAAGACTCTAGCCATTGTGCTTACAGCTGCATCCATAGCCGTTGAAAAGAAACATCATATCTAAACTAAATTTCATAGTAGTAATGAAGAAAGATGCGAAGTGCTAGTGTACACTAGATAGAAAACCATATTTTGCTGGAATAAATGGATTGATATGTAGTGGACGTGCTTTTGCATACATGCTGATTAATTTTGCTGAGGGGGTGTAGCTCAGATGGTAGAGCAATTGATTCACATGTGATAGGTAAGGGGATCGATGCCCTCACTTCCATTTTTTTTGTCATGGTTGAAAAGATAAAATCGGAAAATGCCGGATCAAAAGCATTTCTCCTCTCTATTATCTTCACTTAAATTTGGAAGTGGAGGAGAGGGGCATCGATCCCCTCACCTATCGCATGCAAAGCGATCGCTCTACCATCTGAGCTACGCCCAAGAAATTTGAGTCCACTCTTTTAAGGTCCAACGAATTTGTTCAATAGCATCATCGACCACGAAGATCTCCCACAAGATCTGGCCAGCAAGAGCAAGTTACTTTTGGATTTTAATCAAATCCCAGCTCTCATCCAGTCCATAATGTTAGAATCGACGATCATATTTCTTGCAGTTGGTCCTACCATTCATTCGAGAAAATCAAAGATGAGGAATAAGGAATATTTGACTATTCTTAATAGTTAGAATTCGTTAACGATGGTTAAGATTTAGGGCTTGCGAGGAGCAAGCCATCGCAGGAAATGTAAGCGCCTATCACTGTTTCCGATCGATCGCGAGCGAAATCTCTCCTCTTCTAACTCTACTGCAGATGGAGGCGATGCTGAAAATCGTCCTGGCGATGCTTGTGGCGGCTCTCGTCGCCGCGCGGGGACTTGTGAAGAAATCCCTCTCGCCATCGGGAGCTGTGGCGGGTTTCGTGGTGCTATCGCTGTCCATGGCCTCGGGAATCCGGTAGAAATCTTGTCCTGGTTGTGTGGGAATTCTTTTCTGTGCTTCTTTGTTCTTGGACTGTTGTGTGTTGAAATTCTTTTTTTGATTTTCAAGGTTTGGAGCTCTCGTCCTGGCGTTTTACTTGAGTTCCTCGTTCCTCACGAAGTATAAGTCCGATGAAAAACGAGGCGTGGACGACGATTTCAAGGAGGGTGGCCAACGAGACTGGTAAGTTTGTAGATTTTGCCCAAGTTTTTCCTACTTTGTGAGTTTGTTCTTGTAGAGAGTGTTGAATAAATTCTTTTCGTAGGCTCCAGGTTCTTGCCAACAGTGCGGGTGGAACTTTGCTATCGCTCGCTGTGGCATATTATACTGGCTGGGAAGACAAGTGTATGGATTCCAAGGGGGATGCTCTTGTCACTGGCCTTCTCGGAGGAATTCTCGGCTACTATGCTTGCTGCGCGGGAGATACTTGGTCGTCCGAGGTTGGAGTCCTTAGCAAAAGCCAACCACGCTTGATCACGACAATGCAGGCAAGCAAAGGAAAAACTTCGAGAGTGAATTCTTTGAAACTTTATCTTTGTCTTTCAGGTGGTACCTCGAGGTACCAACGGTGGAGTTACACTGCTGGGAACTGCTGCTGCTGCTGTTGGAGGAGCTTTCATCGGTCTGGTTTACGTTCTAACAGGGATGCTCACGACTCCATGTCGAGGAAGCACGATGCTTCGCCAGTGGGAGGCTTTGCCGCTTGGATGCCTCGCAGGATTCATTGGTAGCTTAATGGATTCGCTGCTTGGAGCAACCGTCCAGTTCTCTGGAATGTGCAAAGTGAGAAAGAAGGCAAGTTTCTTGAAAGCTTTTTGCTAGTTCTCTTGTTTACAATCTCTGCCGTGGAACAGGTTGTGGGAAAACCAGGGCCGACTGTAAAACGAATTACGGGAGAGGATTTTCTGAGCAATAACGGTGTGAATTTCGCCTCCGCGTTGCTTACTTCTTTGGTAACTGCTGCGATTAGCCTTCTCGTCTTCTAAGAAGTCGGTTGGGCTTTCGGTGGCTAAATAACAAGATAACCTTTTAACAAACTCTCGAGAGAAGAGAGAAGAAGAGAAGGTTGACGTGTCTGACATGAATCTCTCCAGCACGGCAATCCAAGCGACAGGTACTTTATTTATTTTTTATATGCTTCACTTTAAACGTTTCTCGAGGACTAATATACCAAAATTCTACTGTGGAGGGGAGCTCTTCCACTGCAGACGTATCCTTGAGAGTCCCTCGTGAATTCCTTCTCTTTAAAAAACTTTCCTTCTCATCCGTCTAGAGCAGACAACAAGATAGTTGGGACGATGAAAGCCGGTCAGATATTTACAATTTGGCTGATGATGATCAATAAAGGTATGTAACTTCGCTTTGTGTTTTACTAGATTTTTAACTTCTCAGTTACTAAAAATTGATGTTTCTCCAGAAAGTATCCATCAACAAAATACATACCATCCTCCCGATAAACTGTTGACAAATTTTTTAGCATGAAACGTTTACAATGCTGATAATATACTTGCAAATAACACCCCCTTAGATTGTTTGCAATATAGGAAGTTTGTCATTATTTAAAAGAGGTTCTGAATTACTTTAGGAGACAAAGTATTAGATATCAACAAAGGTGAATTTTGATGTTTACCTTCAACTTAGTACATGCTCTTGAATGTCAAACAAGTCAATCTTCATTTCCCAACACATACCCTGGAATAATAATGGTTGTTGCTTTTTTTCTACACATACAGTGATCTGGTGAGAAGTTAATGTTAGACATGTATCCTGATAAATAGATAGATACAATATCTAAATATATAAGTAGACAGATAGACATACTTGAGAAATACTGGCCACAGTTTAAGATTATGAAATTTCATAAAAATTTCAAGTTTAAAATTATAAAATTTTAATAGCAAGTGCAAAAAGAGCATGGACACAAATATAAAATTGAAATATTGGAAGATTATTAAAACACTACAGGATTGATAAATAAATTATTACCTACACCCTTAGTGCTCCAGTTTTATATTTTTCTCTGGACATTTGGAGTGAACTGAGTAACAGCAACTTCAATCATGAAGAGGACACATTTATCATTTCCTTAAAAACCATATTAAAAATTAAATAGAAGTTACTCTTACCATAGTTTATGACAATAAGATCTCCAACTTGACTTTTCTTAGAAAGATCTACCATGTTGTCTATTGTTCTATTTGGGCCAGTAGTAATAATTTGATGAGTCACATTGTGTTCCTTCCTTGTAAGATAAAAAATTTACTTTGAAAAAAATTATAAAACAAAAAAAGAACTTAAAGGATCATCGAGATATAAGATATCTTTAAACTCAAAGCAATATTGATATGGCACCTCATGCAAAAAATCAACATACTCTTCCATAGTATAGTGTTATGAGATTATGTATTTGTATATTCCCTTTATATGTATATGGTTCCAAAATTTTCTAAGCAAGCTCTGCATTATACATAATAAATTACATTAACTTTTATATTAATTACTAATTACCTTGGTTTTAGTAGACTTTGGAGCTCTTATTGAGCTTGTGCTGGAGCAAGGGGGCCATGACACTAACACCCATCTTGGCAATCTCCTCTTCCAGATGTATGGTAGTTGCGGATTGCTGCGAAAGGCCATCAAAGTCTTCCTGTGGTTCAGTGCCTACTTGTGGACCAATTGTCTTCTTAGTTCACATTGTTTCAATGCTGTTGCAGTAAAATCTCATGAGGAACTCAATGTCTTGCATTCAACTAACTTAAATTGGATACATATCAGAAAAGTGAAGCAATGATCGACAATTCTAAGCAACCAAAGCTCCTTACCCGCTAGGAAGCCAAGAAGCGTTTACTCCTACAAGCAAAAGAAGTAAGGTTTTGATTCATGAGAGAGAGAGAGAGAAAGTAATTTGAAGGGCCCTGGCATCAAGTGGTGTATGTGCATATGTACTATAAGAGCAGTGAGTCTGATTGTTGTTTTCTCAGTGCTGTTACAATAAAATCTCGTGAGGAATTTGCTCCATGCCTTGCTTTTGACAGCTTGAATTGGATACATACCACAGAAGTGTAGCACAGAGCTAAGCAACTGAAGCTCCTTGCCCCTAGGAAGGAGGGAGCGCTTACTCCTACAAGCAAAAGATATAAGTTCTTGATTCCATGAGAGAGAGAGAGAGAGAGAGAGAGAGAGAGAGAGATTTGAAAGGCCCGGACATCAAGGTGGTATGTACTTACTATAAGAGCAGTGTGTTTGACTGCCATTGCCCACATCCAACCTGGGAAATTTAAAAGTTGTAGTGCTAAAATCCTAGTGAAATTGCATAAAGATTATAGGAGAATGAAAAGAAAGTAACACATACTAAAAAGTACAGCACATTAGTCAATTGATCACCATCACCAATTCTTCAATCTCATTTTATGGCAAGCTAGAGAACACTTACAGTGCACCATTGCCACCGATCACATGTCACTATAACAGATTGTCATCCTTAAGATCAATATTGCCCCTTTATATAAACTCTATTAAATGTCCCAAGGGAAGATATCTAGAGCAATTGCTTGGCCATTTTATAAGATTATGAGATATTTAACATTGCTTTTCAGCAGAACTCAACTTCCCTTTGATGAGTCGAGGAGTACTAGAAATATCCATTGGGACCGGAGTAGTAGGTTCAGGAGTATGCCCCGAAGACTCAAGTTGAGATTCCTAAGTCTGGGACGGGAAAACGGCGGTGCGGTGATTTTCCTGACGACGTTCAAAGAGACGATTGTCGCATCGAACAACTTTGTTGATGGCATCCGACAGGTCCGTGGGATCCTCTATAGTGAGCAACAAATCCTTGACACCTTTGTTGAGGCCGAAACGAAATTGATCAATCAAGGCCCGCTCATCCCACTGAGTGTCCAAAGCAAGGAGTTGGAACTCTACAGCATAGATTGAGGCAGGACGAGACCCTTGAGAGAGACGTTTCATCTTTGTAGTGGTAGTCCGAACCCGATCCATCTTGCCAAAACATGCTTTGAGCTTCTCTTTGAACAACTGAAGATCCATCAGCACGACCTCTTTCATGCTCTTCTCTAGGAGAGGAGAAAACCATAACAAAGTTGCACCTTCAAGCAACATCCCGATAGCACCGATTTGAGACTCGGGAGTGGGGTACCGCCAATGTTGAAGTGCGAAGATCAGCTCCATCTAATTCAAGAATCCATGAAGCTTTGAACGCTTGCCTAAAAATTTCACTGGGAAACTCACCTTCGGTTCAGGAACTTTGCTGGATCCTTGAGCTGAAAGTGAAGCAAGCTCCTGCTGGCGAAGAAGGGTCACCTTCAACTTCGTATTCTCAGATTAGATTTTTGCAAGGACTTCGGCAAAGAAATCAAAATGGCTTGGAAACTCCATTGGCAAAGAAGAAAGAAAAAAGGGGGAAAAAGGCAAAGGCAATCAAACAATCAAAACAAGCTAAATCAAAAATGAAAAAACATAATCTGAATCAAACTGTCAAGACCCCCAACAAGATCAAGACTAGAAAATGTAGAAGACAAAGAGAAAAGTTAGTGGAAACGAAAAAAAGGCCTTACACTAGCGTTAATTTAGATTGTGGATAAATGGAACAAGGCTAACCTATATATACTATAAGTTGATGAAGCTCCACCACTCTTGGATCGAAGACGGCCTAAATATAATTGAGGTCAAGGAGGCACCATGTCATCATCAGAAATGTGGCTCGAGATTCAAGAGTCATACGGGAAATCAGAAAGTTAAAAATAGGAAGTGTCTTGAGAGTCAGGAATGTGGTCTGTAAGTCAGGAATTCAGCAAGAGTCAAGAATGTGGCAAGAATTGGGGAATTCAAGAATTCGGCAAGAGTCAGGAATGTGGCAAGAATTAGGGGATTCCTAATAGAATGCATGTGGGCCTGCATACTTGTATGTCTTGCTACTATAATATAGTTTATATTTCCCTGTAATCTATTTTTTTTCTAGAAAGTTGGCATAAGTGTAAAAAAGAATATATATGTAATGGAGTAGATGGTCATTAGAATGATAAATATTCTAGCATGTGTATCTTGAATTCTAGAAGCTCTTCTATTCACAACTAGACTAGGATTTTGAAATCTCATTTCTAAGATTGACATTTCAAGAATCTGAGTATTATTAGTGTCATAATAAATAAACCTCATTCCCAAGACTAAAATTTAATATATAAATTGTCAAGAAAAGTTAGTTATTATAATATTTTTGTTATCTTTATGCTCTTTAGAAAACTAAAAAGTTTAATATAGAAATGGCTCAAAGGAAAGTCACTATTACTCATATTTGGGTCTCTAGCATCTCATATCACTCTCCACCTCTATTCCCAAGTTCTAGTAATATTCCACCTTCACCTCTACCATAACTATATTACAATCCTCTTTCTATTGATGGCTTTTATAAAGTTAAACTAATATAAAATTTTAAATATTGTTATTACCTCAAACACTTCAAGAGCAATGCTACATATTTTTGCAAGATCTTGCTTTTGGTATAACAAAACTGCTTAAAAACACAAAATCCTATTATATTCAATGTCTATTATGCTAGTTTTTTTTTGATACAACAAATGTTTTTATGGGTCTACAAACTTTTCTTGAGCACTATAGCAATTGCCTAATAATGGGTTTAAAAAGTATACATATATAATAAATTTAAAAACAAGTTATAGACCCATACCCACTATTGCTGCATAGTGAGGAATAACATCCCCTTAGAAAGCATTGCATTAGCTAGTGCAAAATATAGGTTTTTTCAGGATATTTTACAATGAAGTGTAAGATTTAGTGCCTTTAAAAGAATATATATATAAGGAAATGATATTAGTTATAGGGAGCATACTCACTTCAGTGTAAATCCTTGGTTCGACGATCACACTCACGACTGTCTATCACCAAGACCGATCAAGGGTGGCCAGTGGAGCTCTACGCCAGAAGCTCCAGACTAGGAACGTTTCAGAAACTTGCGTACATGGATCTCTCATACTCTATCGATCGCGACGATTTCATCACAGAATATCGATCGCGACCCCAAGAACAAGAATTCTGGAAATCCAGCGCGTCCCAGGCCGTCGCCAGCACATCGCGGGCTTTTATGCAATTTTCCCTTGGCCTTTAAAAAGTTCTTGGTTTGGAACAAGAGCCAAGCAAAAACCAAACTAGGATTTCAAAAGTAGATGTCCGTGCACGAATCCATATGCTCCACGAAGCCCTCAAGATCAATCTCAAAAGCAGTTCCCTACCTCTCCAGAACAAAATCTTCCAGAGCAGGATGCTTGAACACCTCTTCAGCGGGGAAAGCCATCTTGAACCTCCTTTGCCCCATGACCGGCAGCCCACAAAAAACTTGTAGCTCCCCTTTCGAGCCATCTCGTCGTACTCGAGAGAAAACGCAAACACCAGATTCACAGACTCAAGCGCGAGAGAATCCAGCAAGTTCATTGTCCTCGTTGGTGAACGCAACTTCTCCCACAAACCCGTCGCTGCTCTTGGCTCCTCTCGGTTACAGCGCAAAATCCACCTTCTTGATCACGCCGGAGGAAAGGATCAAATGAGGGAACTCAAAACATACCCTCCTCATGCCGGTCTCGGGTATGAGGGTGGCCGCCATCCACGTCCGAGCTTGGCTATGGAAATCCCCGCGCACCAACAAGCTGCCATTCTCGTATTGCACGCCATACCTCGTGATCTCTTCGTAGTTTAGCAGCGCCTTGGCTTCCTCCTCGGTCACGCCATCGCACACAAGAAACGAAGCCTCTCTGGCGAGTAACATCATCGAGCACGAGCTTAAACTTACTCTAACCCTAATATTGGTTGTGAAGTTTAGGAATTTCACCCTTTCTTCAAATTTGATTAACTTTGATTCTTTAGTTTGAATTTTCTCTTTTTTGTTAATTTTTTGTTGAAGCTTGTTTTCTCTTGATCTTGTGCATTTTTATTATTGAATCTTAATGGATTGTGATGCTTGTAGATTCTTGATTCATTAAACTTGGAGTTTAAAAATTTTCTTTGAATTAAGTTTTTGAGCAGGAAAACTTAGGCTGACGTGTTTGACAAAAGGTGCCACGTGTTCCCCAACACGGGCCTGCCCGGCAAGTGCTTGTGGCTGAGAGCGCGTGCCACATGCCCTTTTTAACTTCTTCCAGAGCTCTACAAATTTCTCGTTTCGATCGATCAAAGTGAAGTCCAGAGTAATGGCTGCAACGCAGAGATTTGGCTTCAACTCTTCCCCAGTGGGGGCTGTCGAGGTAAGAATGAGTGAAAAGAATTTTCCAGAACAACTCTCTTGCACAGAACTTTAGAGCCGAATCCTCGAGGCGATGGAGTAGATTAACAGCCAGGGCCTCTGGAAGTGATCCGAGCGATCAAAGTGATTCAACAAGCGATGGAAGTGAGTGAAATTCCTCTTGTTTTTCCTTCTCTGATCACAGCACGGCGTTGGATTGATTTCTCGCAGAGGAAAGTAGCACAGGCACCGACTGGGACAAGGCTTGGTCGAGCTACAAAACGGAAACTCGAAGAAAGCCTCTGTTTAACTTCAACATGGAGCAGTACGTTTCTCGGAAACCAATTCACAGGAACTTTTCTGTCACCGAGGAAGTGGACGAGTTTCGCAAGAGCGAGAGAGCAACGCTGGATGCCTGGACGGATCCAAAGTTCACATACGCGGGCTTCAGCGTGATCGTCTGCTTGTTTGTCTACATGGTGATCAACACTCCACACGCATAGAGAAGAAAGAAGCAAAGAAGAAAGAACTCACGACTTATTTGAAAAATTGCTAGCAGCGCGATGTACAGAAATTAAATGATGAATGGTCATTGGTTCTCGTTGTTTATTTTCTTGAGCTCGCTCATGTTCGTGGTCTCGACGCTGTGACACACGCAAGGAACAGCGTTAGAACACGCAAGAAGTGGCTAGTTTCGAATTGCTTTCTTACGTGCTTCCTATCAGTGAAATCCTTTGCAGCTTGGTCACTTCTCCACCGCTCTGGTTGTCTTCAATAAAGACTGTCACGCTACACTTCATCCAAATTAGCGGATTGGACACGAAAGCTCGATGCGTACTCTACCTTCGAACGTTTTGGAATTTCACGTACTTGAGCAGCACTGGCTTTCCCTGTTTCAAGAGATCGAGTGTCAAAAGGACAACTTCGCAAGAACAAACAACATACCTTTAAATGCTCAGGGGTCAGAGTGATCACATCGTTTGGAGGAAAATCCCCAACATTACTGAAAGAATGCAAAGACAAATCAATCCATGATACGAGAGAAAACGATAGCCTCGTACCTGAAACCCATGTTTTGGCGATTGGCAAAGAGCCTGACCGTCTTTGGTCCTGGCAAAACACAAAAAAGTTGAGTTTCGTTACAAAAGAAAAATCTACCGCGCTATACCTTCGTCGGCAGGGGCTTTGATCATCACCGAATGGAGCTTCACGACCTGATTGAAAGGAATGTAGAGCAGCAGCTGCTCGTCGGTATCACTCTCGAGATACAATTCGTCGTCCTCTCTGTATGCCTGAATTGTTACTAGAACTTAAAATCACTGCCAGACAAAGAATGGAAAAGGAAATCCCTGTCGCTGACCTTCTTGAGCGCGTTCGCGTGCGTGTGATTTGCGCTCTCGTTTAGGCATTCTACCATGGACCAGTCCACGAATTCCACGAGATCCGCCTAAAACACCAGAGAAAATCCCCAGAAATCCCATCAAACGATCAAAATCTCACTTACAGGCCCGGCGATCGTCGAAGGAACTGGCGTCGCGGCTACGCTCACTGCTGCCGCCATGGATTCGCTCCTCTACCCAAACCCTAAATGTCGAATCTAGAGAATCAACGCTCTACATTGTTGTAGTGATGTCAGCCGTTGATCCTAGACCCACGTGGAAATCATTCTCCTTCGTCATGAGTAGGGTTTTGCTGTCTATTCTTTTGCGATTTCAATCAAGCCGATGCGCTCCTGAAATCGCGAAGATCGGAGCTGCGGCATCGATCTGCTGAGGAGAATCGGCGTGATTCGTAGGAGTTTCCAACCCTAGGCGCTCCAGGATGAGTCGCGGCCGCGGAAGAGTGCTTCCAGCCCTCGCAATTGCGGTCTTGATCTTCACGACGTCGTGCTGGGGGAAATTTCTAGTGGAGAAGAATAGCATCAGCATTACCACGCCTGACAGCATCAAAGGTACATACGATAGTGCCATAGGGAATTTTGGCGTGCCGCAGTATGGGGGTAGTATGGTCGGAAATGTAGTCTATCCAGAGAAGGGCGCCACGGCATGCCGGAATTTCTCGGAGTTTGGCATCACTTTCAAAGGCCTCAAGAGTGGAGGCCTTCCCACAGTTTTGCTCGTGGATAGAGGAGGTAAGAAAAATTGATTCTTTTGTTTGGGTAGTGGATGAAGTTCATTTCCTTTTCTTCTTCCAGATTGCTACTTTGCATTGAAAGTATGGCACGCTCAGCTCGCGGGAGCTGCTGCTGTTCTTGTAGCGGACGACAAAACTGAGCCACTGATCACTATGGATTCTCCGGAGGAAGATAACGTTTCCGCGGAGTACGTCCAAAACATAACTATACCCTCTGCATTGGTGGAGAAATCGTTCGGGGACAAGCTCAAGGCAGCTCTCCAAGCGAAGGACATGGTGAACATCAATCTCGACTGGCGAGAGTCATTGCCTCATCCAGACGACCGCGTGGAGTACGAGTTTTGGACGAACAGCAATGACGAGTGTGGACCGAAGTGTGAGGCGCAGCGGGAGTTTGTCAAGAACTTTAAAGGCGCCGCGCAGATTCTCGAGCAGGGGGGATACACGCAGTTTACTCCTCACTACATCACATGGTACTGCCCCGACGCGTTTATACTCAGCAAGCAGTGCAAGTCTCAGTGCATCAACCATGGCCGCTACTGTGCTCCTGATCCGGAACAAGACTTCAATCATGGGTACGATGGAAAGGATGTGGTGGTCGAGAATTTGAGGCAGCTTTGCGTTCACAAAGTCGCCACTGAGATGAAGCGTTCGTGGGTGTGGTGGGACTACGTGACCGACTTTCAGATCAGGTGTCCGATGAAGGATAAGAAGTATAACAAGGATTGTGCCGAGGAAGTCTTGAAGTCGTTGCGTAAGTTTTTTGCATACATTTTCCTTTTCGCGGCTCACTTACATGAGTTTCATTTCAGGCTTGCCGATTGATAAAGTGCAGAAATGCATGGGAAACCCTGAGGCTGATTCAGAGAATACAGTGTTGAAGGAAGAACAAGATGCGCAGGTAAGAGGCTTAATTTTATGATCCGAGGATCCCTATGGAAATTTTTTACTCAGGTGGGACATGGTAGCCGCAGTGATGTTACAATTCTTCCTACATTGATCATCAATAATAGGCAGTATAGAGGGAAGCTAGACAAAGGAGCGGTGCTGAAAGCAGTGTGTGCTGGCTTTCAAGAGACTACCGAGCCGGCTGTCTGCCTAAGTGAAGGTATGGTGTTATTGTTGATGCGATGGTTAGCCTGAAAACTAACTTAACGAGCTACACAGGAATGGAAACGAATGAGTGTTTGACGAACAATGGGGGGTGTTGGGAAAATAAAAAAGCCAATGTCACTGCATGCAAGGTAGGTTCTGCTTCCAGTTCTATGGACCACTGAATCGTCTCTGTTGTGGTGCAGGATACCTTCCGGGGCCGAGTTTGTGAGTGCCCCGTGGTGCAAGGTGTGCAGTTCGACGGAGATGGTTATAGCCACTGCGAAGGTGCGTAGCTCAAGCCGAGAGCCCAACTTAACTGACACTGATTTCGCTCGCAGCTGTTGCCTCTTTACGGTGCAAGATCGACAATGGCGGTTGCTGGCACGACACGCGCGATGGTGTGCGTCACTCGGCCTGTCAGGTGTTAGAATACTCTCTCCGACGAGAGAGTTTCCGTTTTTCTTGTCTGACCGCTTTGGCATCGTCTCGTTTCAGGAAACGCATACAAAAGGTTGCGAGTGCCCCGCCGGTTTCAGGGGCGACGGAGTGAACCAGTGCGAGGGTGAGACAAAGGCATCTTGTCTTGCACTTCGTTGCCAGCGCTTTGGCCAACCTTCAAAGTACTAACGTGTTTGTTATATGCTTTTCTAGATGTCGATGAATGCAAGAGCAAGCTCGCCTGTCAGTGTAAGGAATGCCACTGCAAGAACACATGGGGGAGTTATGACTGCCAGTGCGACGGAAATCTCCTCTACATCAAAGAGCACGACACTTGCATCAGTGAGTCAAATCCCTTCCCAAATCTCTCCTCCTTGTTTTGGCTCATCCCTGTCCTCTTCCCAGGTAAAATAAGTGTTACGAGAGTAGGATGGTCAGCAACATTCTTTATTCTGGCGGGCTTGGCCGTTGTTGGAGCTGTTGGCTACGTTATTTACAAGTATAGAATCCGGGTACGTGATCTCTCTGGCATTCATTCCGGTTGGTATTGAGCTGTGTGGCTGCTGGTTGGCAGTCTTATATGGATTCGGAGATTAGAGCGATCATGGCGCAGTACATGCCTCTGGACAGCCAGAACGAAGTCCACCGCCACCTCGAGGAGGAAGCGTAGTGATTGATTGGGTGTAAGTCGATCGTTCGTTCGTTTGTTGATGCCATTTCTCCGTGTGTAACTTTAGAGGCTGTCCCTTTGTTTTTTTCCCAGAACACTTGCGCTGCATTGTAAACCTGGAGAGATCAGGCCCCGTCTCTTCGCTCGCTTTCTCCGTTTTGTATTTCCACTTCGCTCTTGTAGGTAGGCATTGTACATAGTACCAGAATGAAAAAAAAAAAAGAGAAAACTTTAGGAGTACGCAGAGCTGGATGGACAATCGACTGGAAAGATAAAATATAAAAACATTGTAAAGACCTTACAACTTTGTCGCTGTTAATTCTATAACGGAGTGGCTGGCTGGCTGGCTTGTACGCTTTCCCTGCCTCGAAAGAACACAGAAAACCATGAGAAGGATTACAAAAAGAGCTTTGACCGTGATTCTGTGACTCTGACTCCCTCACCGAGTAGTCCAATTCGCAGTGATCCAAATCGTTCGGATGGTCGTTTTCTTTTCTCTCATCTGTGCAGGCTTTAAGGATCCAGACAAAATTTGCTGCAGGCGGGGGGCCTCCGCGTGGTCCATAGCTTTGTGTTTGCCACACCAACCCAAAGTAGAATATCTCCTGGGGAGAGAAAAAGAAGAATTTATAGAGATCGATCGATCGATCCCCTTTTGCTTCCAAGCAAAGTGTTCTTCCTTCTTTGCCTCCCTGTGCGAGCTGAGCTTGCTAGCTTTAATATAGATTTCACGATACCTTCTCCTGATTCGTCCCGAAAAACTATAGACTTTGCGCACCCATCCCCCTGCAATGATGGTGTGAGAGCTCTTAAAACCATAGCAACGAACCAAACTAGCAAGAAAGAAAAAGAATTCTTCTTCTCTTCTCGAGAGAAGAAAGAAGGAATGGTGGTCGCGGGACTTACTTGTCACGACGACAATGAGTTTAAATTCGAGCTCCTATCCTCCTGGAACAATCAATGGGCCGAGAAATCGTGAGAGGGGAAGCTCGAGAGAGAAATTCAATCGAGAAGGTCACTCACTTTGAGATTCCAAATCGCTTCTTGAGCCACCGGATGACGCTGAATCCCTTGCCCTTGCCGGTAGCGGCCGGGCACGATTTAATCGGGGGCTTGAGCTCCACCACTGGCGTCGCCGCGCCGGTCGTGTTTGTGCTGGTCGACTTGGAGAGATTGTGGTGATCCTTGAGCTCCAGCACGGGCGAGAAGATTTGCATGGCGGTGCCGACGGTGCTGCCCACGCTGCCCACGCTGCGGCTGCGGCTGAGCTGCGCGGTGGCCTTGGCGTCGCCATGATCGATCGTCGCGGAGATCGCCGAAATCTGTCCCAGCGGCGCCGGGTGCTCCATCCCGGCCGGATCTTGATCTTGCTTCCGGAACATACCTTGATCCGTGAATGTCCAATTCTCCGCCCAGCTCATCCCCGACGATCCCTGCCGCCGGAACGAAATCCCTCTCGTCAGCGTTGCCATGGCAGCGAAATCTCTCGCGGGATCCCTGGATTCTACCGCTCTGCGCGATTTTCCAGAGAGATCCTTCGATCCCGCACGGCGCCACTACCTAGAATCTATCTATGCGATCGTGACGCTAGAGATTTTCGCAAAGCATCGCCATCGCGTGCTCGTCTCCCCCGTCTTCTTCCTCGTCACAGCAAACCAAGAAAACCAAGAACATATCGCCCTGTTTAAAAACCCCGTACGGCTGAGATTCGTGGAGAATATCCCCAGTTTATAAGAACGGATGGGATTTGCCGCGAATATCCCCCACAACTGAGGGAATCTCCTTCCTTTTAGTGGGCATATAATTCCACCACTCACTCTCTTTTTACGTGTAGGGTTTCTGCGATGAGGTTTGTCGTTCTCTTCTTTTTACTTTCGGACGATTGATCGATCGATTCTCTCGCAATTGCAGTGGAACAGCGCCAGCAGCAGCATCATCGGCCGCAAATGTGGGATCGCTGGATTTAAATCCTCCCTCGATGGAGCTCCAGCGGCGGATCAAGGAGGCGACCGATACCCCGCGAGAGAATCAAAAGGATTTTCGCCTGGAGCATCTCAAACAGCTGCCCTGGCCCGACGCGGCTTACATCCGAGAGGCGAGGAGAAGAGTCCTTGACAAAGAAGGATTTATCATCGACATGGATGGAGTGATTTATCGTGGCGATCATTTGCTTCCAGGCGTCAATGAGGTACTCTATCAAATGTTCTCCCCTCTTTTTCTCTGGTTGTATGTGTTTGTGTTTACTTCTCCTTTTAGTAGCTAGTTTCCTTTTGAAAAGCTTGTACGTGTTGTTTGTGCTCGAAGTCCACCTCGATGATATGTGCTAATGCCACCCGTCAATCCTCAATGCAGTTTGTAGCGTGGCTCACCGATCATGGAAAGCGTTTCGTCTTTCTTACGAATTCCAGTGACAAGACGCCAGACGAGCTACACAGAAAGCTCTCTCGTCTCGGCGTTGTTTCTCACGGATCTAATTTCTACACTTCAGCAATGGTAAGCAAGCCTTTTAGTTTCTACGTATCCAGCTAAAACTCACAGTTTTCTTTTCAGGCAACGGCGGCCTTTCTTACAAGCCAAAAGCCGCAAGGCAGTGCTTACGTCATCGGAGATCCGGGTCTTCATCAGGTACGTGTAAAATCTGAATTTGAGATCGGAAAAAAGCTCAAGGGTGACTTGCAGGCGCTCTACGCTTGTGGATATGTTATGAACGATGTTAACCCGGACTATGTTGTGGTCGGCGAAACACGCAACTACAGGTAAGAAACGAGGCCATTGAAGTTCTTGCTTTTATGTAAGAGTGGAATTTACAGCTATGAGAAAATAGAACACGCCGTGCATTTGGTTCTAAACGGCGCTAAACTTATAGGAACGAACTGCGATAAAACGGATCCGAGCCCTGCTTATCCAGGAGAGGTAGAATGTTTGCTTGTCTATACCCAGGAACAAACGAAAACTAACGTAAGTAACTTTCAGGTCATACCAGCTGCTGGTTCATTGATAACTCCCATTGAGAAGGCCTCTGGCGTGAACGCTTATTTCGTTGGAAAGGTAAAGTCCTAGAAAACATGGATTGGATGACTGAAACCTTTTCTTACAGCCAAATCCTCTGATGATGAGGAGCGCTCTATCAGTGCTCGGAACGAAAAGAGTAGAGACTGTAATTATCGGCGATAGGATGGATACCGATATTCTAGGCGGCCTTGAGGTAAGATCGACTTTATTCAGCGAAAACAGATTCTAAACGTTTTCCGTTTTTCTAGGCTGGGATTGATTCTGTGCTCGTTCTCAGCGGGGTGACATCGTTGCAAGACACGAGGCAATGGTCTTTCCTGCCGCGGTTCGTGCTGCGTGGTATTTTTGATTTAGTAGACAGCAGCGGGAGCTAAGTTAAGTTCTCAACCCGCCATTGTCATTCCTCGGTTTGCATTTTTGGAGCTCCAGCGCAACCTGTAACGTGCGAAGAACAGTATTGACAACAGCGATTCTTTTCATGGACGAAGATCCAGATATTTTCTACGTACCGTCATGTAGCCGGGATGGGTGCCAATGGCAGCGATCACCTGTCGAGCAGAGCTTATTTGGAGACAATTCCAAAGAAAGAAGACTTTGACGCACCGTTTCAAACTTTTCACCTCGGACGTTTAAGCGGACGACTTGCATTCCTTTGCGAACGGTGACGCCTTGGTAGACCTCTTGATCCGCGTAGACAACCGCGCTCGTTGCAATCAGCTGGTCGCCGACTTCTACCAGGCCACTCTTCTCTGCGTTGCCTCCTGGTGAAACTTCGGCCACGAAAATGTTGCCTGCAGCGTCCTCCTCAAGGATCATGCCTGTTCGAAATGAAACATCAAAATAAGAAATGGAGGAGTGTTTGTTGCTTGTTCTTCTTCCTAGATATACAGACCCAAAGGTTTTCTTAGCTCCACTTTGACTCTGCTGCATCCGGGTGGAGGAGCATCTTCCGAGGAGCTGCTGCTGATTTGTGGTTGATTCGTTGGAGATGTTCTAAGAATGAATTTCTTGTGCTTGGGCAGAAGAATGGTCTTTTCACCTGCATAGAATTGGAAAGGATATGTATGCACACTACCTCGATTTCTAGCTAGGAGGATCCTTGTAGCACAGGAGCAGCAAGGCCATGGATTGACCAAGGCCATGCCTTTTACCACACACCACTGATTTAAATGAAATGGATATTCTTTAAATGGTAGAAAGCCGGTCGATCCCTTAACAACTCAACACTGTGCCTCTTGCGGCCCAGGGAAGAGATGGATGCGTTCGAGCAGCAGCTCCGCTGCGCGAGCCAAAGCCAGAGATTCCACTTCCCTTCGTCCGAGGGAGCTGTGTGGGAGGCAGATCAAGTTTTGGATTGCATAATAAAAAGGCGCTGCAGGATGAGATCCAGAAGCTCGAAGCCCATGAGCTGCTTCGATGGATCCGTGATCTACGAGACCAGGCAAAGTTCCAGGACCAAGAGGTGATAAAGAATTAATAATCTCGGGTTGAGAAAGTCAAGAACGAGGGCTGGAAGAACAGATAGAGATCGAGCGAGTTTCCCTCGTCCATGGCGTCTGGATGTTGCAACCAAGGGTGTTACATGAAAGTGGTGCCCAGTGATCCAGACACTCCCTACGACTTCACACTCTTGGCATTTGCTTTGGCCGCGACAATTCCATTCATCGTGGCGAATGGCGCGCTCTTCGCCCATCGCGGGCGCTCCTACTTTCGAGCGCAGGGAGGTGTGTATCTCATCCTAGGGAGTTCGCTAGCGGGCTTAGTCTGGATAGCATCCCAGTTCGTCAACAATGACCACTTCAGCAGGATCGGGCCGCTCAGGAGCTGCTTGCTGTGGACGTTCTGGCTCCAGGGGACGGCTATTTGCCTGTGGTTCGTGCTCACTATTCTCCGGCTTGCTCGGATGTACGAGCTCAGCAAGAACATCGACAACTGGTCGTGGAAATACTACGTTTTCGTCGCCCTGTGCCTGCTTCCCAACGTCATCCTGTCCACCGTTGCTAGCTTGAGTGACTTCCATGAACACGAGAGAAGGTACAGTTCATGGCTTGCGATGTTTCACCTCTTTCTCTCTCGGACTGATTGCTCTTGATGCCAGCGTTCGGTTGTGCAAGCTAAGCAAGAACTGGAAAACCACCGTCTTCTCCGTGTATACTCCATACTGGCTGGTGCTCATCTTCTTCATCTATAAGCTGCGCAAGCAGGAGGATCCACTGCTATCTACCGAGTACAGGGACACTGTGGACTACTTGGCTGTGACTATCGTCATTATCATGCTCGCCAGCATGGCGGATGTGACGATAACTAGCGATACTATCCCTGGCAGATGCGCCCTAACGTTTTCAACATGCTGCCTCGTGTTCTTCAACTTTTGGATACGCTTCGGGTGGCCGATTTATCTGTGTCTCTTCAGGCCCAAAGAGGAGATGGACAACTTCGAGCAGGAGCTAACTTACGGTGGTGCCCAAGCTCTGGACATGGTTTGCAGCCAAAGGATACACTTCCCTTCCAGTGAAGGTGCTATTTGGGAAGCTTTCTCCAAAGCTAGTGACGATCGGGACAGATACAAGGTATAGCTTGCTTCTATCTCTTCTTCTTCTTGCTCTCTAGCTAATGCTACACTGAAACAGGATGAAATACGGAAGCTGGAATTGCAGAAAGCGTTGCTGGAAGGGAAGATCCTAGAGTTACAAATGCAAAAGAGAAAAGCACTTGGATCTGGTCACTCTTAAAGTTAATCTCTCAATTGACTTTTTTCTTTCTTTTTGATTCTTTACTTGACTTTCAGTCCAGACTTATCTTCATCATTATATATATAGAGAGATATTTAAATATCTATAGAAAATTATAAAGCAAAATAACTACACTTAATTAGAAAACTTGAAATAACTGCTTACACTATCAGGAGATTGAAAGAATACTTATTACCATGAAGTCGTTAATTTTTCTCTGTACAATAAACATCAAACTCGTGAGTGTTACAAAGAGCCATCCCAAAATCGCGCTCGCGGATCAGGAGAAACGAAAAATGAAGAAAAAAGAGAAACTAGAAATCCCTTTTGGTGTGGTGTCAGTGGTGTTGGTTTGTTGTCTGTCACAGCCCCGATGGATCAATCCTCCATGTTCCCCTGCAATATGGACAGCTCCCCTTCCTTCATAAGTATGTCCTCCTCCAGGAGATGAACTCTTCGCTTGAGCACTTCCACCTCGGCACTCATTCGCAGGGCCTCTCGTCCCAATTGCTCCGCCTCGCTTTTGATCGAGTCCCTCTCCTTTCTCGTTCTCACCAGCTCCTCCTTGACTTTGCTCCAGTCCTGGACCCGATCGTTCAGTCCGCGTTGGAGCCAAGTTATCTTCTCCTCCTTCTCGGCAAGCTGTGCAAACATCACCCAAGTTCTACCATCAGAAAAGCAAATAAATGCGAGAGAGAGAGAGAGATGGAGTACCTTGTGCTCGAGGCTAATCACTCGCTGGGCGGCCTCGTCCACGAGTGCTTGCAGCTTCACAGCGTCCTTCTTCAGCACGAAACGATCCTCCACGGTCCTTTTCGTTTCAACGTCTTGGTGCTCGAGCTCCACTTCTCGCGCGCACAGCTTCTCCCTCAACAGCACGCAATGCATGTCTTGCACCTTGAGCCATGAGCTCCTCTTTCAAATCGTTAGGTTGCTCTTTCATCTGGACAAAGCACAATCACAGTTTGATTAGAACAAAGTAGCCACGACAAAGCTTTTACCTGCTCCAGCTCGGTCTCGCTTTTCTGGCAAAGCTCCGATTCTTGTTTGAGCCTCGTTTGAAGGTCCACAATCTCCTTCTCCTTTGCATTGTACAGCCTGAACAGCTCTTCATTTCTACCCGTCAGTCGTTGGATCCGTGTCTCGAGCGTCTTTCTGGCCTCGGACATGTTTTGCTCCAGCCCCTGAATCGTCACATCCTTTTTCCCGCACTCCGTACGCGCTGCAAAAGCTCTGATTCACGCTCCAGCAACTTGTCTTTCATCAATTCCAGTCGCTCGCTCATTTGGTTGAGCTGCTCGGCAGACACCTGCACATTGTCGGACTGATATGGTAAGATGCCAAGAGCAAAAAAGATAAAGCGCTCTCACCTCTAAACACTTTTGAACGTCGCACTCCGTGTCTTCATTCCCGTCCTCGCTTACCCTTTTCCTGAAGGCCGCCTGCTTGGCTACGATTCCCTGTAGGAGCCTGTTCGTCTTCACTACAGCTTGTAACCGTGTTTCTAGCCATTTGAAATCTTTGTCTTTATCCTGTAGCTGCAGCTTCCGCTTCGCGATCTCGTCCTGTAAGCTTTTGACCTCCTTGTCGACATTTTTCTTACGCGATTCCATTTCGCGGATAGAGTCGGTTTTTGTCTTCTCCTCCCTCAATGCTTCTACCAGGCCACTCTTCTCTGCGTTGCCTCCTGGTGAAACTTCGGCCACGAAAATGTTGCCTGCAGAGTCCTCCTCAAGGATCATGCCTGTTCGAAATGAAACATCAAAATAAGAAATGGAGGAGTGTTTGTTGCTTGTTCTTCTCCTTAGATATACAGACCCAAAGGTTTTCTTAGCTCCACTTTGACTCTGCTGCATCCGGGTGGAGGAGCATCTTCCGAGGAACTGCTGCTGCTGATGATTTGTGGTTGATTCGTTGGAGATGTTCTAAGAATGAATTTCTTGTGCTTGGGCAGAAGAACGGTCTTTTCACCTGCATAGAATTGGAAAGGATATATATGCACACTACCTGGATTTCTAGCTAGGAGGATCCTTGTCGCACAGGAGCAGCAAGGCCATGGATTGACCAAGGCCATGCCTTTACCACACACCCCTGATTTAAATGAAATGGATATTCTTTAAATGGTAGAAAGCCGCGTGGCCCGTCTATCAGCAGTGTGCCCCAAGGGAAGAGATGGATGCGTTCGAGCAGCAGCTGACCAGCGCCGCTGCGCGAGCCAAAGCCAGAGATTCCGCTTCCCTTCGTCCGAGGGAGCTGTGTGGGAGGCAGATCTAATAAAAAAGCGCTGCAGGATGAGATCCAGAAGCTCGAAGCCCAGGAGCTGCTTCTCCAGGAGAAGATGGATCCGTGATCTATGAGACCAGGCAAAGTTCCAACACCAAGAGGTGATAAAGAAGTAATAATCTCAGGTTGAGAAAGTCAAGAACGGGGGCTGGAAGAACAGATAGAGGTCGAGCGAGTTGCCCTCGTCCATGGCGTCTGGATGTTGCAACCAAGGGTGTTACATGAAAGTGGTGCCCAGTGATCCAGACACTCCCTACGACTTCACACTCCTGGCATTTGCTTTGGCCGCGACAATTCCATTCATCGTGGCGAATGGCGCGCTCTTCGCCCATCGCGGGCGCTCCTACTTTCGAGCGCAGGGAGGTGTGTATCTCATCTTAGGGAGTTCGCTAGCGGGCTTAGTCTGGATAGCATCCCAGTTCGTCAACAATGACCACTTCAGCAGGATCGGGCCGCTCAGGAGCTGCTTGCTGTGGACGTTCTGGCTCCAGGGGACGGCTATTTGCCTGTGGTTCGTGCTCACTATTCTCCGGCTTGCTCGGATGTACGAGCTCAGCAAGAACATCGACAACTGGTCGTGGAAATACTACGTTTTCGTCGCCCTGTGCCTGCTTCCCAACGTCATCCTGTCCACCGTTGCTAGCTTGAGTGACTTCCATGAACACGAGAGAAGGTACAGTTCATGGCTTCCGATGTTTCATCTCTTTCTCTCTCGGACTGATTGCTCTTGATGCCAGCGTTCGGTTGTGCAAGCTAAGCAAGAACTGGAAAACCACCGTCTTCTCCGTGTATACTCCATACTGGCTGGTGCTCATCTTCGTCATCTATCAGCTGCGCAACCAGGAGGATCCACTGCTATCTACCGAGTACAGGGACACTGTGGACTACTTGGCTGTAACTACCGTCATTGTCATGCTCGGCGGCATGCCGGATTGGACGATCACTAGCGATACTATCCCAGGCAGATGCGCCCTAACGTTTTCGACATGCTGCCTCGTGTTCTTCAACTTTTGGATACGCTTCGGGTGGCCGATTTATCTGTGTCTCTTCAGGCCCAAAGAGGAGATGGACAACTTCGAGCAGGAGCTAACTTACGGTGGTGCCCAAGCTCTGGACATGGTTTACAGCCAAAGGATACACTTCCCTTCCAGTGAAGGTGCTATTTGGGAAGCTTTCTCCAAAGCTAGTGACGATCGGGACAGATACAAGGTAGGGCTTGCTTCTATCTTTTCTTCTTGTTGCTCTCTAGCTAATGCTACACTGAAACAGGATGAAATACGGAAGCTAAAATTGCAGAAAGCGTTGCTGGAAGGGAAGATCCTAGAGTTACAAATGCAAAAGAGAAAAGCATTTAGATCTCAGGAATGACCCGCATCCCATCCTCCACCAGATTCTAAAATATGCCGTTTTAATTGACTTTTTTCTTTCTTTTTTTATTCTTTACTTGACTTTCAATCTAGATCTATCTTTGTCATTATATATAAAGATGTGAAGTCAAAATATACAATTACAAAGCATAGTGGGATTTTAGTAATTATTGAATTGGTTTCAATATGGAACATTCACTCTTATATATAAATTAAGGTTTATAGGTTAATTGGTATGTATATTTTCTATATTCCCTTTGCATATTTCAAACACTTACAGAGTATTTATAAAAAATTATAAAGCAAATTAACTACACTTAATTAGAAAACTTTAAATAACTGCTTTGAAAGAATACTTATTACCATGAAGTCGTTAATTTTTCTCTGTACAATAAACATCAAACTCGTGAGTGTTACAAAGAGCCATCCCAAAATCGCGCTCGCGGATCAGGAGAAACGAAAAATGAAGAAAAAAAAGAAACTAGAAATCCCTTTTGGTGTGGTGTCAGTGGTGTTGGTTTGTTGTCTGTCACAGCCCCGATGGATCAATCCTCCATGTTCCCCTGCAATATGGACAGCTCCCCTTCCTTCATAAGTATGTCCTCCTCCAGGAGATGAACTCTTCGCTTGAGCACTTCCACCTCGGCACTCATTCGCAGGGCCTCTCGTCCCAATTGCTCCGCCTCGCTTTTGATCGAGTCCCTCTCCTTTCTCGTTCTCACCAGCTCCTCCTTGACTTTGCTCCAGTCCTGGACCCGATCGTTCAGTCCGCGTTGGAGCCAAGTTATCTTCTCCTCCTTCTCGGCAAGCTGTGCAAACATCACCCAAGTTCTACCATCAGAAAAGCAAATAAATGCGAGAGAGAGAGAGAGAGAGAGAGAGAGAGATGGAGTACCTTGTGCTCGAGGCTAATCACTCGCTGGGCGGCCTCGTCCACGAGTGCTTGCAGCTTCACAGCGTCCTTCTTCAGCACGAAACGATCCTCCACGGTCCTTTTCGTTTCAACGTCGTGGTGCTCGAGCTCCACTTCTCGCGCGCACAGCTTCTCCCTCAACAGCACGCAATGCATGTCTTGCACCTTTAGCTCCTCTTTGAGATCGTTAGATTGCTCTTTCATCTGGGCAAAGCACAATCACAGTTTGATTAGAACAAAGTAACCACGACAAAGCTTTTACCTGTTCCAGCTCGGTCTCGCTTTTCTGGCGAAGCTCCGATTCTTGTTTGAGCCTCGTTTGAAGGTCCACAATCTCCTTCTCCTTTGCATTGTACAGCCTGAACAGCTCTTCATTTCTACCCGTCAGTCGTTGGATCCGTGTCTCGAGCGTCTTTCTGGCCTCGGACATGTTTTGCTCCAGCCCCTGAATCGTCACATCCTTTTTCCCGCACTCCGTACGCGCTGCAAAAAGCTCTGATTCACGCTCCAGCAACTTGTCTTTCATCAATTCCAGTCGCTCGCTCATTTGGTTGAGCTGCTCGGCAGACACCTGCACATTGTCGGACTGATAAGGTAAGAGCAAAAAAGATAAAGCGCCCTCACCTCTAAACACTTTTGAACGTCGCACTCTGTGTCTTCATTCCCGTCCTCGCTTACCCTTTTCCTGAAGGCCGCCTGCTTGGCTACGATTCCCTGTAGGAGCCTGTTCGTCTTCACTACAGCTTGTAACCGTGTTTCTAGCCATTTGAAATCTTTGTCTTTATCCTGTAGCTGCAGCTTCCGCTTCGCGATCTCGTCCTGTAAGCTTTTGACCTCCTCGTCGACATTTTTCTTACGCGATTCCATCTCGCGGATAGAGTCGGTTTTTGTCTTCTCCTCCCTCAATGCGGTGCTGAGCTTGATCGTGAGGATCGAGTTGTGTTCTTGCAGCTCATAAATCTGTGTTTTCAGCCTGTCTACCTCCGAGTGATATTCAAAGCCAGGCTTTACAGTGCCGTTGCTGCCATCCCTCTCTTCGACCTTTGCTTTGTCCACGAGTTTCTTCAGCTCCCGCCTCACGGCTGTTGCTTCGCGGTTTGAAGCATCTAATTCGCGACGTAGGCCCTGTTCTATTGTACTCAGTCTCACGAGCTCGTTTTGCAGCCTCACGACGGCTTTGTCTTTTTCCTGTGGCCTCGAATCTGTAACGTTATTGAGCCCATTGTAGAGACCTTGGATGCTTTTTTCGTGGTCTGTACACAGCTGCTGTAGCCTGGCCACCAGACGACGTAGATCCGTATTCTCATCCTCCTTTTCTTGACAAGACTTTCTCAAGGACGCAAGTTCATCTTCTGTATGCATGCTCTGCTTACGGGTGTTGACAGAGGATTCCCGTATCTCCAAAATAACTTTCTCTGCCTCGTCTAGCTTCTTCTTGTGTGTCGCAATCTGATCTTCATACTGCCTTATCTGTTCCCGCAGGCCTTTCTCCCTAGCAGCCATTGACGCTGTCTCCTTTTGCAAGCTTACATTATTCTCCGCAATGTCCCGGACTCTTCCCTTAAGCCTTGTCTCCTCCATCTGTGCCTTCTCCAGTCTCGCTATCCAATCTGCCTCCCTTCGCTGTAATTCCTCTTCCAATGAAGTCTGCTGGTCAGATTTTTCTCTTTCCGAGGTAACCGCGGCTAACTCAAGTCTTCTCTTCATGAGTGCCAATCCATCCTTGATGGTTACTTGCTCAAGAAGACGTTGCTTGGCTTCTGAAGCAGCCTCCAGCGCCAGCCTGAGCTTTTGCTCCAGCAACTCCCGCGCCCTGCTCTGCACGTCGGGAGTTTCCTGGACGCCATCAAAATCCGAGTCGTCACTTAAGTAGGAATCTGCCAGCTCTGCTTTCACGGCCTGGACTTGCTTCTCCGCTTCACTTGCACGTTCTTGAGCTACGTAGTGCATGTTGTCAACTTGGTCCTCGTACTCCTTTAGTTTGTTATCTAAGTTCATTAGCTCACTGTCAGTTTTAAGGGCCTCCCGCCTGCCTAGTGGAAACATTTCCCTGGATCTGGAGTTCCTGAAGCTACCGTAGCTGAGGTATCGATTGTCGGAAAAATCCAGAATGATCTCGTTGGGATCAACCTCTGCTGCACTCGATTCATTGAGATAACTTTTGAGAGCGCGGGTGGAATTGGAGTCCTTGTAAGGGCTGCTGTTAGCCACCCCACTGCTGCCTTCAGAAAAGCTAGCCGGCGCTCTCAAGTCCTTCTTCGAGCCACCGGTCCCCCGAATAGCCTTGGCCAGCTTCTCAGCGACAAGCCTGGCGCCTTTAGCCTTCCCAGGCGCCTTGTCATTGTCCCTACGAAACTTGTATGGAACAATGGCTTCGTCATACTCGACGATTGCTCGCCTCTCCCCGAACGAATTCGAGCCCGAAGTAGCTACTGACAAATTCTCTGCCGAGTCTGTCCTACCATGACCTCGCGTTCTGCCAGGACTTAAGTGTGACACGAAGCTGGACAGCATTGCAAACGGTCCCTCTGCGGAAGGATTTCCATCCTCAAACCTGTGCTGACTCGACTTTGCTTTGGAGTCTCCAGAAAATGGCATCCGCAGCCTGGGAGCGCTCTTAGTCCGTTTGGCATGCTGCCTTTCCTTGCCAAGTCCAGGGGGCCTGAAAATTCAAGCGAACAGTTCAGAGAACACGAAGAAGAATTTGTCTGTAAACCAAAACAAAGAAACTCACGGTTGTAGTACTGTGTCCATGCTGGGCCTGTATCTTGACTCGGCTGTGCTCCTTGTTTCATCCGTCAAGGCACGCATCCTATGGGCCGACTGGAAGTAAGCCGTGGGAGAGCAAGCCCGCACGCTGAGAACTTGCTTCTCCTCGCAATCGTCCTCGCAATACGGGCCACTGCGAGAAGCCGGCGACGCCAGGTCCATCTCTATACTCCTTCCTGGATGCGCTAGCCTTCTCGCCGCTGCCAGAGCCGCCTTTTCCTCCTTACTTGGTGGAGTAGCGTCCCACATTTTCCCCTCTTTTGGGAGAGTGTGCTCCCTCCTGCTGACGGCCCTGGTTTCTTCCCCGCGAGGAGTCGTGCTGCGACCCCATTTGAAAGGAGATCTCGAGCGAGCTGGGGATTTCTGGCGAGCGGCGGGCGCTGTGACGCATTCCTTGTCCTGCGTCAGGGTGCTTTGGCTGGAGACGTCCTTGAGAGGGGAGGGAGATTCGCCGGACGATGCCGGGGAGAGGATGGAGGGAAAAATCCGCCTCATCTCATCGACTTCCAGCACGGCAGCACCAGCATTGATCCTGTTTCGCCCAAAGGGAAAATTTTTCAAAGCTCTTGATCACTCCACATTGATGAGAACTCTCGCTTACCTCGAAAAGGAGAGTCGAGTGATCCTGCGCCTTTCTCCAGTCAACCTCGCAGCCGGCGCTTTCGCAGCGCTCAATCACCGCCAGTGCCGTAATTGCTGAAGAGGACCGCCCGCTCCATTCGATTCCACTTCGTCCCCGCGGCACAGGACCGACGACGCTGCCGAAATTTCGATCCACAGGCGCGTCTTGCCCGCATCCAAGCGATATTTCGCTCGAAAGGCCTCGAGAATCGCTGAGAATCTCCGAGAAGCAGCAGCTTTCCCCCCGAGACTCCCAGGATCAATCAAAAGCGCTTGAAACAGCGCTCGCGCCTGGCGTCGCGGCACCTGGTGGAGTGAAGCTCACAGAGAACCGCCGAAAACCTAAAGGAGCAGCGGCAGCGCCTAGGCTGAAGTAAACAAGCACAAAGAAGAAAGGAACCTTGCTACTTATTTATCGTTTAGTATAGTAGAACGATAATAAGGCAATAGAAAATTATAGCGTTGGTAGATGTGTCTCATGGGCATTACCATGCCCATCCAGCACGCTCCACTGAACACGTCATGCATAGAGCGTCCCAAGAGCGTCCCATGCCCATGCATACGAATTGGCGCCAATGGGGCCATTGCTATTCTATACTAAACAGCGTAAGATGCGCGCGGCAAAAATGGTTTTGAAATTACCATGACCGCGGAATTAAGGAGCAATAGTGGGGGGCGTGGTAGGAATTTTGGGCCTGTCCGTACATCCCATTTCATGCCACCTGGCAGCGAAAGCAAGCAAACGTCCTTGTTCCTGGAGATATGAGGAAGATTCCCTCTTGTCTAACCTCGGATGCCTTAATTCGTCCACCGTTTGGCACCTAGAAAATTCCTATCAACTGTTGTTAGTCGTGAATCGTGGTGGTGGAAGGAGGAACCCTAGAAATTTCTCAATGGAGCGAGAATGGGTGATGTTTTCGGTGCGTCGTTACTCAAACTCTTTCCACCTCGTGGTGTGTGGCGGCATTAACAAAGGATTCCACGAAGAACAGATCGACTCGTATGAAAACTAAATGCAAAGGTTGGGAAAACATGGGATTTCATTAAGATTTCATGACCTTTTTAGCGGCTTAGAACATTCGGTACGTGGCGCGGATCTGTGCACACATGATCGTTCGTTCCCGTGTTCTTGTTCTACGTTGTTTTTAAATGGTTAGCGTTAGATTATGATTGACCTGGCTCAAGATTGTTTGCCCACGCTCTTTTCCTCTCCCAGGTTTTCTTGTTTGTTTTTCATCTCGAATGTATGTATGCTGCCCAAGGTTCATCATTGGGAAACTGGCAAAAGGAAAAACCCATGGAGCAAACAAGCAAACTTCCTCTCACTGTGTGTGTGTGTGTGTGTGTGTCAGGGGGGTTGAACAAGACACACACAGGCTTCACGCATGCTTCCCAACCAAACCAACACAAAGGACTCCCTCTCACTCTCTGGAGACGGAAAAGGCTGCAAAGGGTCAGCTAGGCAGCCAGGAACAAAAGCAAGCTTTTTTGTGAAATCTGGTGCTGCCAGAGAGGCCAGCCATCACCACAATCCGGTTGTTGCTTGCCAGCATTCTCGCAAATCCAGCCCGTTTAGCCGATCCAAATCGAGTCAATCCTCCAGAAACTATGACATTGCTTATTATGGTTTGCAGTTTTGGGCCACTACTCCTCTTGAGTGCTCAAATCTGAGATCTTGAGCTCCTGAGAGGATTCATCCTAAACTAAGAACTTTTCCCTTCTCTCACCTCCCTTTCCAGAGCAGAGGTTGGTACAAGCTTCCTTTGAGGAATAGTGCAAACCAACCTGGCATGCTGATCTGGTTGGGGCATTTTTATTTCTATGCTTTCTTTATGGTTATTTTTTACCTCTTTTTTCTTCAAGCTTTGAAGCTAAAAAGTGGTGTTTGGCATGTGAGGTTGATTCCCTTGAAAGAAAGGGCAAGCAGCAATGACAACAATGCAGCACACACCCACACACATACACTCACTCACTTCCCTTTACAATCCAGCATTTGTGCTGGATTGGGTAGCAATTGGAATGCATTTGGGTTGGTCCCCTCTCTCTGCTTTTGCCCTCTATAACTTAGAGAACAAAACACTTTTCCCTTGGAAAGAGGTGGAAGCTTTTGCAGGTGTAGTGTGTACCACAGGTAAGCAGGCAGCTCCACCACCTGAAGCCCACTATCATTGCTTATGAGTGAAATGGAAATAATCATACACTCTCACAGCTTCACCAGGAGTTGTAAGCCTCACTCTCAGTGTTGGTCAAGAGAAATCACCCACCCAGCCTTGGATTCCTTTGAAGCAAGGCTAAAGCTTTTTGTTTATTACTTTTACTGTACAGGGCCCCGTGACCACTGTTCGTAAAAAACAGAAGTTACCAGGTACAATCATTCAGGTTCTCCAGGAAACCGTTTTCAGCAAATGATAGTGCAAATCAGAGCTGGTAAACTGCGTCAACTTGTGCTCGATCGCAAATGGAATCTAGCAGTTTGCATGCAATTTGCTATAGACAATGGCATTTGCACTTTCTCCCGTAATCTTCTTAAGATCGTCTTCAAAGAAAAAAAATGAAACAAGGATGCATGGTCCGCTCTTTGTGTGTGACGCCACCTTTTATAGGCGTTACATAAGCAAAACAAAGGAGGCCTCTCATTCCATCGATGGTTCACGCAGAATGACTGGACGATGAGACCTCGCTCGTACTCTACGACACGCGCCAAAGCGTAGCGAGCAAACAAACAAAACAAACAAACAAACAAGGAGAAGGGAAGCTCAGTGTGGCTGCAAGGGCGAAAGCGAGAGCAGAGCAGACCTGACTGTGAACAGCGACTCTCACTGAAGTTGACCCTGTGATGAACCCACTCAAGCTTCCCTGCTCTTTTATATCTTTTTTTTTAGTTTGATTTTCGTCAGAAATTCTGCATGGTCCTAGTACCGAAATCACTGTTTTGCACAAGTATGTCTGTACAAAAACTTCCACTTTTCAGTGGTTATACAGACAAATGGATCTCTAACAAATATCCCATCTCGGGCTAAACGACGCGTCAGTTTGAGGGTTTTAGAGCATGAAGAACAGCTCGTCCTGGATCATCGGAGCGCTGCTGCTGGTATCGCTTGCCAAAGCTACTTCAGGTAAGCTTGTTTGTGAGCTATCTCTTGCTCAAAACATTTGTTCTAGTGGAGCCTGGGTTTACTGTCAAGACCTTGTTTGATCTCGGCAAGCACTCGGCAAATGCCTTTGCCTTGTATCCAGACCCGCGGAACAAGTTTGTGTTGGCGCTTGATTCCAGTGGCAATCGCATATGGAAGCTGAGACTGCCACTCTCGCAGAGTAAGCACTAGAAGCTTTTCTTATGCTTTGTTTTGTGGCTTCAAAGCTTAAGAATTTTTTTTTCCTCTAGACAGCAGCTTGGAAGCTTTTGCCGGTTCATTCGTGGGGGAGTCCGGCTATGTCGACGGCCCCGCGGCAAAGTCACTTTTTAATCGCCCACAAAGCCTTGCTATTTGCGACAATGGCGCGGTCTTTGTGGCGGATACGAGGAACTTGGCTATACGCAAAATCAGCAAGGATGGCGAAGGTAGTTTCGTTTCCTCTTTTAAAAATCTCTAGAACATTTTTTCTAGTTCCAACAGTGACCACCATTGCCGGAGGTAGCTCTCGAAAGCCAGGCTTTGCCGACGGCCCCGGAGACACAGCTCGTTTCTCAAGCGAGTTTAGCTTGGCGTGTTCTTGTGGCTCCTTACTCATAGCCGATCGCGGGAACCGGCTGATTCGCGAGATACAAATCGATGATCCAAAGTCGTGTGATTCAAGCGATTCAGCCGTTTCAGGTGACTTCTCATCCTTTACCTGGATTTTTTTCTTTCGATTGGATTTAAAACTCCTGCTTTTTGTTGATTTCATGATCAGGATCACAAAAATGGGCTTTAATTCCCGTAGTGCTGCTTGGCGTCTGTCTGGGGATGCCTCTGGGAGCTTTTATAATCTGGAAGATACTTGATCAGCGGTGCCGGCAAGTAAGTTTCACGAGCAAAGCTGGTGACTCTTATGAAAATATTTCTAGGCAGGCGATCAGCTGGGAAACACTGAAAGATTGCTGGCGGGCGTTCCGGAGGACGATGATCTGCAAGTTCGGCAGCAGAAGCGAACTTGCTAGCGCCGTCTTTAGTCTTTTCCTTCTTGTATGTCATCAGGCACAGCTCCTCGCGTCTGTCTTCTTTGGTGTTGCACACGAAGTAAAAACGAAGCCAACTGCGCCTGTCAAACAAGATCAAGACCTCCACTCTCTCCTTGGAAACACGAAAGATGAGCCTCCAGACCTCATTGATTTCATGGACTTGGAATCTTCTGTTGCTCCTTCTCGCCCTCTTTCTTTTCCGGATTTGAGGAATTTGACTATGGAGCTCGAGTGTTTGGAGAAGTTCCAGCAGGAATTCAAGGACAAGCGCAAGCACAGCTAAGAATGTGCTCACACAAGCTTTGTTTTTCCACTCTTCTTGAATAGTCCATTGTTTTACAAATAGGTTGACGCTCATGTTCCGGCGGAAGGCGTTCCTCCGGCGAGGAGATGGACGAGCTCGAGTTCCAACGATCTGGTGACCGAGTACCAGCAGTACCGGGACGCTTCCATGACGACGATGACTTTGGGGAGGATCCAACTCGCCTCGCAATCCACAGCGTAAAAACCATTCTCTTTTTTCACAAAGGCAAAAGTATTACTATTTTTTTCCAAGTCAAGGGTTAGGTTATACTTTCTCGCTTGGATTTTTCTATTCGAGATGTCGGAACGCGCGGTTTCGTCAGGTATGGATGCTTCTCTCCATCAAGAAGCTATGGTCTCTCGTGATCATGGGCCTCCAACGCTTGGCCGCCGAGCTCCAGCGCCCTGGCATGGCGGCCATCACCGAGCTTCACACCCGCGAGCTCCAGCTCCAGCGCATCGAGCAGCGCATGGACACCACCGTCCTCGAGCATCTCATGGAGGCCACGAGCCAGCGCCAGCTTTAGCTCCAGTTCCAGCTCCGGCTCCAGCGCCAGCTGCTTTCGTTCATGCTCGCGGCCACCACCCTGGTGATCGAGCTCCAGCGCCTCGCCACCACGATCCAGCTCCAGCAGCAGCGGTGTACTATCATCATCACGGTGATGGAGCTCCTCTGGTTGTTCACCACCATCACCATGGTCACCATCATGGAGGCCACCACCATCACCATGGTCACCATCATGGAGGCCGCCACCACCACCACCACCACCACCACCACCGTCGCGACGGTCACAACGCAGCGATGGCCACACCGACACCCGCGGCAGTGGTTACAGTGGCTCGGAGGACGCCCTGGTCGCTGCTCCAGCTTCTTCTCTGGGTTTTGGTTGCGATCTTGGTGCTGCTTGCGTGCTGTTTGCTAGTGCGATGGATGTTATCTCGAAGGAAACAGCGCAGGAATGCGATCTTTCAGGACCCTCAGTGGCGGATCGAAGTGACGAATCCTCTGGCAGTTGTGGTGGACGATTCTCTGACTGAGAAGAAAGAGCCCGAGTGGAGGATTAAAGTGCTAAACGCACAGGAGGAAGACGATTCTCTGACTATGAGCTTGTGAAAGTACGGTGCTACCAGCATAGCGAGTGCTCGAGAGGTTTAAGCGGCGGGATTAGTGTGGTCTAAACGGCACCTGACGATGCCTTGCTCTCATGAGGTACCGAGTCTGTGATCTGGACGCTCAAACGATTGATACTGCAGTGGAGGGCCTGTTCCAGTGTTTGGAGTGAAGAAGACACAGAGAGCTTCGTCGATCTGCAAAGGTTATATTCGTCGCGACAATCTCTATGCAAGGTGTCGAAGCCTCGTCAAGTTTTTAAACGAATACCCCGGAAGCAACATCGTGGACTATCTTGATTGCCGGCTATGCTCAGCACAACGAACCGGGATGCTGATAAACTATCGTGGCAGAACTGAAGGCTTGGGCAGCTCTGGCAATTGGGAAGGTAATTCACTTGACTATCTCCAGATATAGAGACGAAGTCATTGCGTCCGTGGCCAACTCAAAGCGAGCATGTAGTACTGTGAAGGACTGCCGAGTTATGGTCACCTGCGGCTTTGTTCTGGAAGTCTTAAAACCGGACGGGATTGCTTTCACTTCATCCTCACTGAGTGTAGCGATGCTGACTTGGTCGACACAGCAACCCAGGCAATGAGCTGATCGTAGGTAACTCCAGATCTGGAGCACTTTCACTGTATGGTGGTGAGGCTGTCGAGATGGCGAAAACGATATGCTTTATCGACTTTTATTTATTGATAAAGAAGAATGTGTGGAATGTTTGAAGGAGATTAAGTAGTTGATTTCACCGTATCTTTTATTAGCTAATAATTTTATTATTTTGGCAAAAAAATAAAAAAATTTAATGGAGAGGCTATAACTTAAATAGTATGGAAAGGTGGTTTTAAAGAATTATAACTTTGTTTCTCTTTCTCTTTTCTGTCGACATTTTTGGTTCTGAATCCAAGCAATTCATGGATTCAGAATGCATACTCTAACGTTTGAATTTGAACACATACTTGACCAATTTGGTTATAAATCTGGATTTGAATCACAAATTCTCCATGCTCTTCGTGATCAAACCTTGGTTGTTCATTTTGCCTTTATCTTATGGTGATTTACTATAGGATAATCACGAAATGGAACTTAAACCTTTCATGTGGCTCCATTTTTTTTGACATCCAACACTAACATCCGCAAAATGGTAAAAACCACATATGCTACATTTGGTATCAGAGAATGAGTTTCGGCAAATACTATCTAATGAGATTGAGTAATTAGTCTCATTGCATATGCAGAGATGAAAATGATGATCTGAGTGGGTACACATTTGAGTGCAATCGTTCCTTGAGTATGGTTTTGGTTACCTTTTTATACCATACTATGTGAATTTGCTCTTGGGCTCATAAGATGGATTGAGGAGTTCCGTTTGCACAAGTTTGCGCTTGGGCTCATGAGTGAGGCACATTAGCAACTCATGGTTACACCTTGAGTTGGCAAGATTAATATTATTCTATTGGTGATTCCATGAGTTGTTCCATGTATCGTCGGTGAAAGTAAACCTCCCATGGGTTTGCTATGAGTGGCAAATAAGCTGGTCTATAGCTGTTTAGCATGACACTAGTAGATCCTTCCTATACATAATTATAAGTGGATCAATCAAGATTGTAGGGGTTAGTCTATTGGTTTAAGTAATCATTGTTGCGCTCTCTCATAAACTTTTCTTGGATTGAACTGAAGGCAGTGCAGACGCAAGCTTGAGGTTTTGTCAAAGATGAGACCGAAAATAGAGTTATTAAAGACAAAAGTGTAAGCAACCAAAGAGAACGACTTGAGAGACGGTCCATGGGATTCAAATATAGAGGGAAAGGGCCCATAAATAAGAGTGCACCCCTTTTCCAATTGGTTAAGGGTCTTGGGATATTTGGGGTTAAATGTCCTTGGGTTTGAATGGTACTGGTCCCGGGTGACCTCCCGGGAAGTCTAAATTTAGGAGCTTACAAAAGGATCAAACACGTAAATTATCTTCTCTTCTTTGAGATATAATTTGTAACAAAGAGTGACTCATTGCTCATGTTCACATCATGCAATCAAGAATCCCTACATTGATGCATGTTGGAAATAATAGTCTTACAAGTAGTGAGTTGTGAGATGAATAGCGGTGAAACATTAAACCATTTTGTTTAGGCTTGCTATTGAAAACTTAGGTTACAATGCTCAATTCTTTTCTGGGGAACCTTGCTATTGCCCCTTGAGTAGCTCGGTGTTGGATTAGTTTTGAATTTGGTCGAAAAGAGAGTGGTATGAACTTGTCCATGTTATGAATAAAAGTTAGTGGTGTTAAGTGTTGTAAATCTTTATCGGTGGGGTGTGGCATTTATGTTGCATTTTATCAAATCGAGTTGGCACTTGATAGTCATATAAACCTTTATAGTAATGACATGGGAGTTTCTCATGGTGTTGCTCAATTGATGATCAAGTCATTGTGATTTTTATATCATATCTATGTGATAATGAGTAATACGTTTACGAAGTTGCTTGGTTAAACGATGATCAACCCCAAAATGGTTGATGGTGAGGCTAGTCTACTTACATGTAGTAACATTGTAGTAGCTTTGATTGAATTCTCGAAGATGATCCATTATGCTAAGTTTAAGTTGATTTTTTGTTTCCTTAAGTTTGTCTATTGAGGTGTTGGAAAGGGTTATAGCATTCACTTGTTATGGCTTGTTGATTATCTATTAGCACTTAAAGTAGATTGTTGGATGGAGAAGATGTGTAGTTAGGGCATTAACATCATTAGCACTTGTGTTAATGGAAATGGCATTATTATTTCAAGTGATAAGGAATTCTTCTTAGAACTTGATTTTCCATACCATTTTTTTTTTTAGTGTTTTGAGCTTCGCATTGGATCTTGAAGGTGGTTGAAAAAAAGTGTTAAGTGTAATGTGGATGTCCGAAGATGTGGTCTTCGTGATCAAACCTTGGATGTTCATTTTGCATTTTGCAAATATCGGTATTAGATGTAAAAAAAAATAGGCAAAGATGTAGCGCATGTGATCATAGGATGAGATTTGGATATACTGTCACCGTGAATCCTAGGAACCTTGCGGGATAAATGGGGATAAAATAGCCACTAAGGGCTCTCTCATCAAGCAATTTCCCCTTTTCTAATTGGCTTAAAGGGAGAGAGATAAGGTGTGCTACAGTTATTCCCCTTGGCTCAGTAGGGGTTGTTAGTCAATAGTCAATGAGAACATTGACATCTCTGAAGGGGGGGTGAGTGTAACACATGTGATCATGGGATAAGATTTGGATATACTATCACTGTAGATCCTTGAAACCTTGTGGGATAAATGGGGATAAAATAGCCATAAGGGCTCTCTCATCAAGCAATTGCCCCTTTTCCAGTTGGCTTAAGGGGAGAGAGATAAGGTGTGCTATAATTAGGTGATATTGACAATCAGTTCGGACTGGTTGGAGGACATTCGGGCTTCATATGGAAGTGATTCATTGGCGAAGGCAATCTTATGCCGTGCGGGGTTGTTAAAGCAGAGCCTTGGTAGCAAAGTAGCAAAAGTTGCTAGTTGTACTAATGCAAAGCTTCACTTCTTAGTTCGGGATGGGCTTATATTCTATAAGCAAAAAAGATTGTATCTTCCCTCTAAGGATCTTCAGCAGTTATTTTTGTGGGAACATCATGATGTTCTAGCAACAGGACATGGTGGACAGCGAAAGACTCTAGCTTCGTTGAAAAAGGGATTTTTCTAGTCTGGTTGGAAGGTGATGTAGCGAATTATGTCCGTTCCTGCCCTATATGCCAGCAATGTAAGCACAGAACTGAGAAGTAAGCTGGAAAGTTGCGATGCATTCCAGCACCGGCATGGCCATTTCAAAGTGTGACACTTGATTTTGTCACTTGCTTGCCGAAGTCTAAGGGTTATGATACTTTGATGGTGGTTGTGGATCGGTTGTCGAAGATTG